TCACAATATTCTTTAGAAAATGATATATATTTAAACTATAATTCATTAATTTAGAGAGTTATCAATATCGATATATTATATATATATTATATATATTGCTTAAACGATATATATAATAGATCTATAATATATAAGTATTAATCTCAAAACAAAGCTTTTTCTCTTCTATATATAATAATCATTCTAATATTAGAGTATTTATATTGCTATTATCTTGGCCGGCCTTATAGAGGTACTATTTGTGAATATCATTACTCTCTTGTGAATCTACGCACTCTAGAGGCCTACTAATAAATCTAAATCGAGATCGAAGTCAAAGTCGAAGTCAAAATTATCAAATATAAATAAATATAATCAAAACTGGGCTATTATCGATAATAGAATCTTTTGAAGAATCGAATATACTATCATAAAATAGATATAGATGCTAATAGAAACTAGATAAGATATATAATATTCAATAAGAAGAGAAGGAGGCATATAGAGCGACGCCGACTATATAGTGGGTGGATGCCTAAGGCATTTATCCGAGCTAACTAGGAACGAGTAGTGAACTCGTAACACTTATAAATCTATATACTATAGAGGTCTATTAATAATTAAATAAGAGAAGATGAAATAATTTAAAGGTTTTTATATTATTCTAATATCTTATTAGATATAGATAGATTGAAGTCTTAAATTTGAGATATTTATTCAAATTAGGATTATTTTATTTCGAATTTAGAAGGAATAAGAGATTTGATTTTTAATCTAGTTTTCAATAGATATAGTATTTCATATCAAATATGATATAGATACAAAATATTGAATTGGATATAAGATTTTAATTGGATCTATGTTCGATGTATAATAGATTCTATAACCCCCCAATCTGGCTGACACGTGATTGTCGTGATTGTCTCGCGCTAATGTGAATGGCCCGACCAAAAGCATTCAAAACTTCATCAAGAAAAAAAAACCATCAGGAACATCAGGGAACAAATCCCCTTATAATCATCAAGCTGGCTGCGATTTTAACAGGATATCTCCAAGTATTTGTCTTGAGATATTTTAGTAAAGTCATGGCAAGCCCTGGTAGAACACAGAAGAGAAAGTTAAGTACTGATCGCCCAATATCACCTCCACCACTGCGTCGCAAAGTACAGTCTACAGCCACGCGTAAGCTTCACAAGGACTTTTGGAGGAACAATGATTGAACCAAGTCACAGAAACTGCTGTTGCATCGTTCTTCACACCCACATCACAAAAGCCACCCGAAAAGATTTCCTGGCAAGAACGCGCACCAAATGATGATACACCAAGCACGCTTTTAGTTGGCAAATTTGAACCATCAGACAGCCCAACTACGGATGTATTATTCCAAAATACAAAAAGAAACAAAGTTGCTGCTTTTGATTTCGTGAGTATCGGCTTCACAATATCTAGAGTCACTCCCTGACTCTCACAATAGGACTCAACTCTCATACAAACATCATCTGGCAAGAAGCATTCTAGTAATGGCCAAGATTGGAAGTGGTGGCACGCATCGGTTCCTGGTACTCTCAAGAAACTGTACTTGGAGGATGGGTTGGTAACACATTACCTCGTACACAGTTCCGAAATGCTGATGGTTCTACAGTTTTCGTGTCGTTGTGATCAGTAACCAGGCTGGTATTTCACTCAAAATGGACCCCAAACCCCCCAAAGCTCGACTGGCGGAGTTCAAGACCAAAGTTTCTGCGGTTTTCAACCATCTCGATATTCCAGTGAGCATCTATGCAGCAACGGAGAAGGATGTCTACCGAAAGCCACGAACGGGCATGTGGAAGGAATTACTTGAGGACTACGATATTCACCTCCCAGGTGACCTCAATCTCGAAGAATCTATCTTTGTTGGAGATGCTGCCGGGCGCCACGCAAGTACTGGACAATCAAAGGACTTCTCTTGCTCAGATCGGTAATGTTATTTCGGACTCGATGCTGGATTGGTTGCTAATACTTTGCAGAAATTTCGCTGAAAACGTCGGAATCAAATTCTTTACCCCTGAAGAGTACTTCCTCAAAGAAACACCAAGACCATTCACTCGCACATTTGAGCCAGGAGATTACAGCTCTGGAAACACTACAGGTTGAGATTATTGAGCTCTGCCCGTGGTTTATTTGTTTTTGACATTGCTTTAGTGTCTCCAAAGTACGAAAAAGAAAACCCGACAGACGTAGTCATTCTCTGTGGTAGTCCTGGTGCTGGAAAATCTACATATTATTGGAAGGAATTGGAATCTCTTGGTTATGCTAGGGTAAACCAAGACAATCTCAAAACGGTATGTGCAGCGTTTGCCAGCGATTACAGAAGATAAGCTAACGTCCTGCGAGCGAGATAAATGTTTCAAGGTTGCTGGACAATACTTAGATGAGGGGAAGTCTGTGGTTGTGGGTGAGTAGCTGAGCTTGCACTGCATTCCCACAACAACAGCAACATCAACAGCAAAACTGATTTTCTCTAGACAATACCAACGCAGATCGAGATGTCCGAAGTAAATGGATAGCATTGGCTGCCAAGCATTCCGTGCCGATCCGTTGTGTTCATTTCTTAGCAGGTGCACAAGTATGCGAACACAACGATGCCGTGCGAGGCTTGAATGAAATTGTATGTCTTTCTTCACTCCAACGGATTGTCTTCATCATTGGCGAAAAGGGTTCATGCCGTCTTTCTTGAACCATGACATTCTAATCCGTTTCAGATGAACCCGGAGAAGAGAAAGATACTCCCTAAATTGGCTTTCACAAGCTTTACTTCGAGGTATCAACGACCAGAGTTGGCCGAAGGGTTCCAGGATATTACGGAGGTACCATTCAAGGTATGTCCCACTGCAGCACACCATTTCTTCCCCTGTATGTTTAATGCTGAGGTTATAAGTTCGAGGGAAGCGAAGCCCAACGAGAAATTTGGACTCAACACTGGACTTAAGAGATCACTCAACAATCTTGATACAGACTGGAGTGCACGAACGTGGCATATTTCACATGGCAGTCGATATGATCCGAAGAATGTATACATTTATCCTAATATTGACCCTCGTGAACTTGACGGGCTGCAGCAACGTTACAAAAGTATGCCGGTATTTGTCTTTTGCCTCGACCATCAAAATTCAATTTACGATGTTGATCGAACATTGAAAATTGAACATTGCTCATTGATGTGATGCAGCGTGTATAGTTTGATTATGATTGAAATAATTTTCGAATACAAGATCATTTGTGTGCCAAGGTTACAGCTTACATTATTGAAAGTGCGACGGAGTACTCCACGCGAGGACTGGCTCAATCAGGAGGTTACCTACCTAGGTGTCTGGACCACGCCGATCTGACCCCATCACTAAAAATGATCCACGTTTTGAGTGATCCAAGGAAAGCTCTCCACCTTATTCATTCTTCATTCATGTACGGCAGTTTTTATCAACAACCTATAATAAATGTTCAGAGGCTTTTCTGAGTTGTTCGCCTTGTATGCCGAAGACAATTACAGTACAGTATTGAAAGATAACTGAAAAGAGTACATCAAATGTGAATTGGAACCTGAGGTTGTCGAGTATGTCATACTATGAGAGTCTTAGATATGCTACGACTCTATGAGTATATGCAACGGATTTTAATAAAATTGCTGAAAAGATTCCTCAAATGGCGCAGATTATGATTTCCTCCAAGGATGAATAAGAAGAGCTTTTTAGCTTTTTAGGTCTCCCACTTTTTTGTTCTTTTACAACTTCTATATTCCTGGCTGTGTTCCTGGCTGTGGGGTAAGCATAGGTATAATCAGTGGATAGATACTAGAGACGGAGCATTTATTGGGTTATCCGCCAATTAGAAATCCACGGAAAATGCACCCTTCCTTTTCCGTATGGATTGGATTAAATTGAATGATTTAGCAAACCAATTGTTGTGGATTGACCCAAAAATGTGACAGTACCCGTAATGTCATATGTACAAGAAAAGAAAAGCACACTTTTGCTTAATGAAGTCATGCGCCTGGCGTCTCTTTACCGACGATAAGGCAAGGCAGGCGGTAATGTATTGCCTGGCACAGCTTCCACTGATGAACAAGATCAGATGTGATGAATCGCAAACAGACAAGTACTCTGTAGGGGTGGGAAAAGGGGGTGGCACACCTTTGCTTGAAACAGCGAGAAACAACGGCATCCATTGGATCGACGGTCGGGTTCCTGCACCAGGGTGCCTCAAATGCTGTGGACTTTGATAGGGCAAAGCTTATAAGTTAGCTTCAATAAGCGATCCAAGACAGTGCATATAGTATATATACACATAAATATATATAGAAACCATTATTTTAGATATAGAATATCTTTTTTTAATAGATGCAGTGTATAGCTTCTGTTTGTATAACTTTGTCATTGTCTTTGCTTTAAAAGGGAAAAGAAGACTTAACTTCTGTAGAGACGAGAGGGATACTGGTAACAGTGATAAACCATCTTCATGTAAGTGGTGGGAAACTTTTCAATATTCTATTCGAGTAGATAAAAAAAGATTATTATCAATCGAACTCAAATGTTCTATCCGACTTCAATGAGCAACTTACTTCCGCCTTATGATCTGATATTATGGTCAGTCAGCGAGAAAAGAGAAAAAGAGCGCAGTGTACACTAATCTTGAAAGAGACTTTTTCTCTCTAAAATCAATCCACCACTATAAATGCAATGCAATAAGGCCGATTTGCTCTTTTGCCCTTGTTCCCCGGAGGTATTGAGATCCATACATATATCCATAAGCAAGGGATTTTGAACAAGCATACGGATGATACCGCGAGGGCCGAGGCATTGTAAGAAAGGGTTGGAATTCAATTCATGACTAGGATGACAATACGACCCGCTCATTCTGTTAAAAAGAATCTGGACCTTTTCAATGGGAGGAGAGAAGATCCGACGGCATGTTGGTGTTTCCATTAATCCATATATAGCAAGTTGTTTGGAAGATCCTGCAAAGTGAGAGATTCGCTAAGTTTCTGAGAGTGCCATCATTAGGGGTTATTCAATGTCTTGCGCAGGCTCCGAGAGAGCGAAAAAGGAAGGTAAGTGAGCAAGCAAGGATATGTATGTGTAGTGTCAATGACAATTATGGAGCACATTGCGGTACCGGTACGTACTCGTGCATGTGGTAACATGTGACTACGGCAGTAAAAGAAAAGCTACCTTTCTGGGTATAACCAGTAGTGTATAAGGAAGAGAAAACTAATCGATCCATCCCTTATTATACCAAATATTGCCATAGGTCTCTAAGAGCTATGAGCGCTTCCCGCCGCGTGAGCTTCTATGGCCACGAAGACGCAAGGTCGGTGCAAGTTGTTCCCAAAGAAAAAAGAACTAAAAAGTGGGCTTTCCGAGATACCTGGGTAGTGTAGATAGATGTAAAATAAAAGGAAGACAATGAGACTAGGCGAAAGAGTACATTGTGTTAGCTTGTAGGTTCTAAAATCTAAAAGTTCCTATGCTCCACACTTCTCTTCTTAAAATCCAATCCACTGTCCCGGGGGACACAGTGATAAAAAAAAAACAAACACTGGGTCATATCAAAACACAAACACAAATTGGAATGACTACCTAGAACTATCCATTCCCACGGGTTTTGTTCACACAACTCTTTTTGGACTTTCTCGAAAATCGACTCCCAATCTCCAATATTTCCAATATCTCCATATCTTCAACCTTCTGACTTGTTCCTCTCTGCATCTCAAAGCACCAGAATCCACTTTTCAACCTTATCGACCAGCCGGACCTAACTCTAACCAGTCAGACCTCAACAACAACCACCCCGATAACCTCTTCACCGTCGTATCCCGTCACATACATCACTCCGCCCTTTTGTCAAACATTACTATCATTTGAAGACAATATCCAATATCGAACTGTCCAATCATTGAGAATCTTACATAGTCCCCGAAATTCTACAAGTTTTTTTTCCAAGTCATCCTTCACGTGAGAGTATTGGAAGAGAAAAGCTAGGTAAAGCAATATCTGATTGGTTCTGTAAAGAAAAGTTCGCAACGCACCCAGAACTCCCAACCACGAATTCAACCTTCATATCCATACATTTCTCCCACCGCGCACTCACCTACCTATACACCCAACTACGTGGTCCATTAGAAAACGCATAGTTTCGAAACGTCCACGTATGATTCCAAGTTGTGAACAAGTTACTTGTGCAGTCTCCTCTCTTCGGTACCGCTACATCACTTCATCGGAAAAGAAAAGAGAAGGAATACCTTCATATTATGTTGTCAATTGAGCTATAAACTTTGCACCCGTTTTGATTGCAGTATACTATCGATACGATACGATAACAAGTCGCTACATCGACCAGCTTCCAAAATTACATCTTCAATTCACTCATCGACGCCCAAAATGCCAACAGGATTAGTTGAGTTTCGCCTTCCTAGCCATATCGCCGAAAGAAAAGCCAGAGAAAGCTTGCCAGAATTAGATATGGACCTCTCGTGCTCAATTAATACCCAAAACTCATCGGTATCTGAGCTACCATCACCAGTAACACCAACTTTCTCAACCCGAGGCCATATGAGGCACCCAAGCTCAGCTTCTTCGATTGAATCGCAATATCTCTATGAAAGTCCTTCCTCTCCGATATTCACAAGCAACAAATCCGGCAAACGATCACTACCTGATGTCCAAGAAGAACCTCGTTCTGAGAGGGAGAACGACTTTATGTTCGAAGAATATGACGACGATGTTCCGGATTGCGATGAACTTTACAATTGTTTATGTAAGTCTCAAATATACATTTCTTTCATACCTTCAAATGTTTATTTACAGTATTCATTGTTTACATTTTGATGTTTATGATTACGTGGGGTCTTGATTGATCTGATCATATATATCATGGCGAAACAAACACCATTGGTCAAACGCAATAAATACCTAGGCTAATCCTTGCTCTTTGTGATATTATAGGCGATGATCTGTATTGCTTGCATAGAGATACATCTTCTACGGTCCAAAGCTCAGTTCAATTATCTACAAATCAAGACCTTGATTATGATCTTTCCGACGGATTCTTTAGTGATGGGGAATTTTCATCATTAAATTCAAGATATAAGAAGAGAAGAGGAAACGAATCGCCATTAAATGGACTCACATCTCGATTCGGTACCAAGTTCCCTTCCTTCGCACGCAAATGGAGTTCCCGGAAAGGCACGGGTTCGTCAGCAGCATCTATATCATCTGATACACAACGAGATTATGCAAATTCAAGAGCCCCTTCTAGTAGATCATCATCAAGATCAAATTCGGGTCGTAGACATCTGGACGATAGTTCCGACCTTCACTTACCGCCTACTCCAACCGGGAGTGTCTTCGGAGGCCGCGATAATAGCTCGACGACATCCTTCCTCGACATCGAAAAGGCAAAAAGTAGTACCTCGGAATTCGAAGAAGGATTGGCCGGCACGCCGCTGCTTCCACCTCTCATGAGCGATGCCTCAATTAATGCGCAATTTAAAATGCAATCGCCATTACAATCACCATCTGTCGCGGACGCGAGTGATCCATTGTTTGGCACCAGCGCACCCATGGATTTCATAACTACATACCAATTACCCGGAATGCCATCCCCGCCACTCAGTACTAAGCCCTCCATTTCATCTTTTCATCGATCGACAATAAGATCAAATTACATAGCCCCTTCTGAGATTCCAGCCATTCTCATCGCCGAGGAAAATGATGAGTGGGCGAATAAGCTTGGGCATGCTAATTTCGTCATTCATCCCGAGCCTTACGTCCCTGAGAATTTCGACCTCGAAGCTTGTCGACAACTTCGAGCTGATTGGGATCTCGCGCGTTGCAACTATACCAAACATGTTGTGCGCACAGGTGAACACTATGGAGTTACTTCAAAAACTTATAAATTGACTGAGGAAAAATGGGCTCAAATAGATCTCAAGTGGATGAAAAATAATGAACTCACAATTGCGACTACAGCTCAGAGCTCCACAGACGCATTCGCAACTCTAAAACATAATACACTTGGCAATGGTTCTTCTAGCAACGTAATGACCAAGATTCCGTCGCTAAATGACCCCCGCAGCGAAGGAAAATTTCCTCAGCTTGGAGATGAAGACATCGTGGGACCAATGGTTCAAGCAGCCGCGCAACTTCGGCGAAATCCCAGCAAGAAAGCCAAGCTTTTCCGATTCCTAACAGAAAAGTTCCCTGTAGGATTAGGGAAACCTTGAGTTTCATCGAAATTGAGCATTTATTAGAAGCTCCCAACCCCTACGAGCCATTCTCTTTTTTCATTCCTGTTCTTACTTCTGGTCGGTTGATGGTTGCACTGTCCCGCCACATCTTTTTTAACGACTTTAACGAACGAAACGAATTTTTATTATACCCCAACGCTCTTTAGCACGCTACTTTGTTATCCTTTGAAAAACACCAACTTGAGATCCGAGATCTTCACTGTCCTTTAAGCATTATTATCATTCTTGTGTATTGTTAATTTTCATACTCATACTATGAATCCTTTTCTTTTCATATGTATTTAGTTTGTCTGGTATTTCTGTTTTCGCGTGCAGCATTGCAGCTGGAGCGCAAAAATATCGCTGTTGGGGTTGGGTCTAGATTGGCTTGGCTATAGCTCGGCTTGGGAAGGGAGATGGATGGGGCCTTGGATTATCGGATCGGATGGGATTAGGCAAGGAAAGGAAAAACCCCATTGCGGTTAATGGGACTTTAAAACACCTATGTGCATTTTTTCTTGTAATATACCGGTAGCAGGGGGGAGGGGGGATGATATACCAAAATGGAGGAAGGGGCCAAAATAGAACGCTGGGTGACAAGGGAGAAAACAAGAGCGATCTTGTGGAACACGAGATGGGAGAGTGATGAAAACAGAAAAGCAGTGGAGCTCAATGGGAGGAATATTCTGTATCGCATGCACGCATTGCAATGGCGGCTATCCTTGAAATCATTTCTTCAACGAATATTTCACCGTGGAAAAGCGTAAATGAGAAGAAGGCGTCTAGATGGATCGTTCCATAGTCAGTCAGTCAATGGGTGATGAAAATCAACACGGAGGCTTTGTTGAATCTTAGTTCTAGACCCCCTACCATTGGATAAAAGAAAGGAAATGAATCTTATTGAAGATATATGTCTGCTATCTATCTAATATGACATGATTGTAATCGATAACATGCCGCCTACTTGTAGTAACTTTAATCTGTCTGTGTATTCACATAGCACAGTTTAATCTATATCTTCTCCAAGAGTCTATTTACTTGATTGTTTGCTATCTTGTTCAATGTACCAGTACTACATACCCTATTCAATATAACGCTCTGTTCATCTCCAATTTTCATTCTTGAGCATGCAACAATATGCTCGCAGCTCTTTTAGATCTTTACCAATAGTTATTCATGTACCGTATATACACTTTATTGGGAAGGGTGCAAGGAGTGCGTGGCAGGGCAAAAGGAAAAGCGAAAAAGTGTACCTGCAGTGATGGTCTAGGCATGAAAATTGAAAACCGCCCAATACTTAAAGTATTATTATTTCTTTCCTTTTTGGGTCATCTACGCTGCATTGAGGTCTGGGATGGGTGTTAATATTAGCTTTGACTCTGAGACGCTGTAATCTGTATGTCTGTGCTGTCCCCACGTTTTTGGAGGATATTTGTACAAACCGAAGGCTAATGCATGAAAATCCCTTGATTAGGGCTTTTGGTTGGGGATATGGGGGTGGCAATGGTAAATTCTAAGCGGTTGGATGGATGGGTCCTAGGTGACCGACCGGATGAGACGGTGCTGTAAGGATGTGCGGAACTGGAGAAGAGACCCTGTTAAGACGTTTCAGAGGAATGGGATGGTATGCTACATTGATAGGCTGTGATATGATACCGGTATATCTGATCTCGCCATCTGAAGCTAATCAGTAATTGTACCTAGATAAGAAATGCGGGAGGGAGAAGAATGTAAGGGAGGGGAATTTGAGGGTTCCGACGGAACCTCATCCATCCCGTCCCCTGAAGTCCGATACAATAAGCTGAGAGTTATACCAATGAGTAACTTGTAAGATCTGGGATTGGACTGAATCTTAGATAGCCCGAGTACTTTTCTTAACGTTCCTATACCTACGTTCCTATCGTCCGTGATAATATGGAAGGCGTTTGTTATCGCTGTAAGGCTTCACGAATCATCTTAGGATGTACTCATCCCGTTGATACAGTTAGTGTAATGTTCGTTCTGAAACGTTGGGTCTCACTGTATGTACAGTACTGTAGACAAAAGTTCATGTACTCGACCCGTTGGCTTGCAGGTAGGAAGATACATACACGAGTGCATTCGGGGACGTTGATCTTGCTGCTGTGTGCTGTGGTTTACGCACTGTACTCGAGTTACTGTAGGTTCATCAATAGGTCCGAGTCCGACGAAGATGGCGTTTTGGGGTCTTGACTTGGGGGATGTTATACTGTTTTGAAAATCCAGTAAGTGAGAGTGAGAGTGAGAGTGAGGATACAGTAATTGTTTTCCCGTATAGAGACAGAGTACTCGATTAGATGTTGTGATCTTATGAAATTGAATTGGCAAGTGACTTCTTGCATATTAATTCTCGAGATATTTCGTCCGATAATACTTTAATTACTAATTACTGTACGAATACTCGAGTATCAGTTGATAAATAATAAAATAGACAAATTCTTGAAAGTCGCATGACTTGAATGTATGTACTGTACTGTACTGTACTGTACGTACGAGTACTGTATTGTGTTGTATTGTATAAGTATATAATCTATAATTAATATCATAACAATCTGTGTAATATGTATACTCTACTCGAGTACAGTATATGCATATATTCGGAGATATATATTCATAATACCGGCACTTCTTGGCTTGCATCATGGGCCAAATGCATGAGATAACTCTGAGGCTTTCACCTCCATTCAGCTCCTTCATCCTACAATGTCAAGATTAGAATCATACGATATATGATATGTATTGCAACACACAAGAGGCAAAAATTCAAGCCATGATAGGTTCAAATTTATGCAGGTACAGAGGTCTAGATTTGATATTGGGGGTGTTTCTTTTGGGATCACTTCATGGGAACTGCAAGCGGACCTCCCAATTGCATCAACGTGGCAAAGTTTGGAATGCGGAAAGGTCCATTTCATGCTACGCATTAAAGCTGATTTATCCTGGTTCAAGCATAGGCGAAGAAAAGGAGAGACAAGAACCGTATAAGCACCAAGTATCCCCAACAACTAACTGCACCTCTGCTTCTCAACGACGTCGTTCTCAAATTTATACTGGAGTTTTTCTGGGAAGGATCCATACATAATATAATAATTCTGGGTCCTGAGTCCTGACTCGTTGAAGTTCTCGATCATGCTTAAGTGGAGTGTGTTTCTGAAATCAGACCGAGCACTACTAGATGAAGAGTTTTCATCTCTTTTCTTCTTGAGGGATCTCCTTTTTGGCTTTAATGCTAGATACTGATGATAGTGGGGACCCCAGTAGTTCGAAGTTCCAACTTTCTAGGGTTCTAGCTGCATGATTGCGTAAGGAGGAGACTTTTCGGGATATACTCATGCCGCCAGAAAGTCCGCAACTCGGGTAGACCAGTACATACTATATACTGGTAAACTACAAGGGAGTAACCTAGTTTTCTTAGTTCCCGAGTTGCGGACTTTCTGGCGATATGAGTATATTGATGGGTTCGGCAGCGGGGGCGGATGTGTTATTGGGATAAATAGACTTTATTCAAAATTTTGGAAAAATACTACATAGTTTGGCCTTTCCGGGTGCTTCCGAAGTTGCAGCTTAGAAATGAATTGATGATTGGTAGGCGAATGTGAAAATTGACATGGGAGGTTGCTAATGAATTGTAACCCATGAGTAGATGTATATGAGGGGGAGCAGGGTGTTTGTTTAAGATATCTTGTCTACTTTGTGAAGGGTACAAAAGTAGATGCATGGAATTGGGCAGGCAACGCGAGTGCTGTTGTCTACTCGACCTTGGGGTTTAGACTTTCGGGTGATGGATGAAGTACTAGCAGAACATTAGACATAGGGGATTAAACCCTAAATCATTGTTTAGTCTCAACGTCGAAGCTGCAATGGCAGTCTCTCCTCGCCAGCGTAAAACGTGCACTGTATTCTCTGTGTACAACATTTGAGATTGAACAAATTCGACCATGCTAGTAAGAAACATACAGTTGCATGATTCTGCTGAGATACGAGAATGCTCTCCAAATCATCAAATCATAAATACCAGTATCCCGGCGGAAGCTTCACATCAACAGTTAAATTTAGCAGGAAGACCCAATATCAATGCGAGATCTATGTTTCTACTCTATAAACATCCTGATTAGGTCAGGATCTATAGCAGCAGCTGCCATGCCATATACCACGAGGACATACTACAATCTATGTTCGATATCAATATCTGGAGTATATAATATGCTTCTCGTCGTAGTCGAATAAGCGGGAAAATCTCACAAGAGACGAAAACGGTCTATTGTGATCACTCATAGGACCTACTCAAATGACATTCCTTTCAAGCAGGGAAAAAATGTGCTGATCCTATTCAGACATGACACAACTACTAACTAGCGACAGAACAGCTCCAACTATTGCAATCAATGTTTCTGCTTGCCAGTGGAGGAGGAACGAACCCTGCGCAAAAGCTATCACTACCCAGATCTGTCTTGTACATCTCGAGACGAGAGTGTTGAGAGTGTAAAATTAGCTAGCGTATGGGGAGGATAAGACATAAATACGCTTCATTGAATGTGCGAGAGCTTGATAATGTTCGATTGACAAATGATGTAATGCTAGGATGTAACTCAACATTAACCCAGGTAACACCTGAATCATTCAGACGAGATATCAATATTTGTAAGTCTGTGTTAACATCAGATGCCCCAGATGGTATGCACGAAGTCCGGATGGAAGATGGTGCCTTGGACACGAAAGAAACCACATCTTATGGCAAGAATTTGTGAACATTTGTCCCCTTGTGCTATTCATACAAGTGCTATTTAGCACTCAAATAACTATATGTCCAAACAAAGTTTGACTACGCATATCTTACAGAGATGCGACAGACGTAATGATCACCCTTTTGACAAGATATAAGTCTTCTCAATCCTACAACTCTTCCTCCTCCCCGTCATCCCCATCCTCATCCTTCTCAGCATCCCCAGCATCATCATCATCATCATCATCATCCTCCTCACCATCACTCGTCCCACTCCCTTCACTCTCACCCTCACTCCCCGGATCATAATCTTCCTCTTCCTCATCTTCCTCATCCAACGCCGCCTGTTCCGCTTCCTGTGCTGCCCTATCTAATTCTCCCGCCTCCGCATTTCCTACTACATTCCCCTCTTCATCCTTCATCACATTCACATTCAACCGCTTAGCCTTACGCTGTTCGGCCATACTCTTATCTTGTAATCCATGTCTTTGTACAAACTCGTTTATGCCGGCGAAATCTTCTTGGTCTATCATTTGGAATTCCATCTCTTCGGTAAGGTCTTCGCCGCCTGGAGTGGACATGTCGATATCCAGCGAGAGGTTGAAGGTCCGTTGCAAGACGCTTGTGAATGATAATGCAGCGATGCGGTTATGCGGTAGAAATAGCAATGGCTTTTTGTAGCCCCATAATATTCCAGTAGGCAGGAAAAACAGATATCCATCTTTAGATCCTCTGAATGCCCTGACATGCACTGCTTTCTCGCTCGGCCGATGACTTTGCCTTATTGCACTAGAAAATAATCTAGGGTCCGATTCTGCTATCTTGAGAGTATTACCGGCAGCCTTCAACCGAGTGGTAAGAGCCCAGTTGAAAAGGGCTTTGTAGTCATCGGAGACTGATGAAGCCGCTGAACTATCTGTTCCCCCAATAGTACCTATTTTTGGCGCGCCATCTGTGATGGTAAAAACTAAAGGTTCATTTGTGGGTGGTGCAGAAGGTGAAGTTTTGGAGGGTGTTATAATAGAGTTCTTGGGGAAGAGTATGTAGTTATATTGTTTTTGCGTCTTCTCTGGGACTGGAAGACAAAATACATATTCTGCAAACACATATAATCAGCGAACTATCCAGCAATAAAAGAGTATAAGAGCCTGAGAGATACCAATGTCCTTCCAAGCATAGCTCATGCCAGTCACAGGTTCCTCGGAAGTTGGCAATTGTGCGTAGAGATGTGCTGATGTGAAGCAGAGGGTATATTTCTTGCGCTGCGGTATGACCACTGAGATTTCTTTGATCTCAAGTAAGACTGAATCTTCTCCAGTTGCAGGTGCACTACCGGCACCATTTGATGTGCCACTTGTGCCATTCTGAACGCTTCGACTTGCAAGGCTCTCGTCTATGCGGCGTTTCTTCGAAGCTGGTTCTGAGGTTTGCTGGGATATTGTCTCGCAGATGTGTAGAGAAATTTGATTGAAAAGCTCGATATATTCTGGGCCGGCTGTATTCGAAAGTTAGTCAAGGAATTGGAGGTGTTACTCGTTCAAAGCTGTGAGCACAATATTGGTCTCGATAATTCTTTTTCTTGCAAGGCTGAGATGTAGGCGCTTACCTTGCGATGCTGCTGCTATGGCATTTTGTATATCTGGACGGGATTGAAAAGCCTTTTGTAGACTAGCTTGATTTAATTCGATACCCATATTGGAAACGTAGGTATGAAGAAAGATATGATGCTAATATTTTGCAATTAGACGCAAATCTTTCAATGTATGGACAACGCGCTCGGGTGAAAGACGAAGCCTTGTGATGATGTCAGGCTATTTTGGGTACGAGTATATACGGAGTATATTCACAAAAACTATTGACTAAATTTCTGTAGTTTGTTCTTACCGCTCATTTCTCCATAGCTCTATATATATAGCCGCTATAATCAGTATTATATTACATTTTATATAGCCAAAATATCACATAGAAGTATTGCAAGAGGATTTCAAAACTCGTATATTAGTTTCAAGATTGTCAGTAGAACCTTATTAACATAGCCCATCCGTTACCTCAATGCTGAGATTGCTCTAAAACATTCCGAGGTGCAGTCGTACAAAGGATAATGAAGTGTAGAGTTATAAAAACCAAATGCCATTGGAAAAACACCAAAACTCCCCCATGGATATAACACATTGAACCGTTGCAAAAAAAAATTGTGAACTGTCTAGCCTAGCGTCGCTGCCAGTATGATAATAGTGAGAATGACCGCCAATATCAATAGCAGGCAACATGCCTTTGACCGAGCATTCTTTTGATATCTTGCAGCACTCCTCAATTCCAGGTCTGCCCCCCTTGTATTCGAGTGCACGTTCTCCACATTGTTGGCAATTGTATCGAGGCTCTCGCCTTGCTCGTTGACAATATGTGCCACATCTCGGAATAACTCGTTCAATTCAGTGACGCCTTGTTCGATATTGCGGATCTCGGCCTCACGTTCTACAATCAAAGAATCTTGGAAATCAACTTCGTCCTGCGAAGCCAATCTAAGCTGCTCTTGAGATTGTTGCTGCCCAAATTGATTGCCGCCCTCAGGCCCTGGTGATTGCGCTTCCTCCATTGCCGTTCGGGCTGCTGTAGCAGAGGACCGTTGCTTCTCGAGAGCTTGGCGCTGCACATTTTGGAATTCGGTCAAATTGTTCTGGAACTCGCGCGCAAGCTTTGTTTGAGTATATTTTTGCGATGGCTATCATCAACTATCAGCAACCCTTCCATATCATCCATTCCGACTCGTTACTTACACTAACATCCTCCCATGATTGTATCTTTTTGACTCCATCACCAACCTCCTTGAAGGTATCCTTCGACTCTTCCAAAAGATCGTGAACTCTTTCTCGTACTCTCTCGGTATCTCTCTTCGTTCCCAATAAATTTATCTCATTTGAAAGTCTCGAGATATTTCCTGTCAATGAAAACAGCTTCGTCATAAGGTCTTGAGATAACCGTTGGAATTCCGGATCGTCGGCGTATTGAGGATCATCTTCTCTGCGCATGGTTGTCGGTTGTGACTCCAGCGATGATAATTGATCGAAAGACATGATGATCACTGATGTATTATTGATGAATGTACTCAGTAGTTCATTCGAATGACTGCAGATTTTATGTACAAATTCGCTCGCTGGCTGATTTGACTATTAAGATACAATTCCGTACAGTAAAGTAAGGTAAGGTAGATAGATACGAGTTATGGAAGTTGGAAGTTTTGGCTGTATTGTACTGCACCTCGCCAAGGATATTTGCTGACTGGGGCGGGCCCTTTCGCGTCTACCAATTCTAAATTTCTAAATCTATTTTACCTAGGTAGGAACTGAACACTGAATGTCAACAAAAGAGTTTCAGTAATGGTATATTTTGTTTACTCCAGTTTGACAACGACAACATGAGGAGTAACCTTTCTTAGATTTATTTCTCCTATTGATGTTAAGTCCTTTGAGGCGCAACATCTTCAAACAGTTCCCATCATGCCACCTGCGGTACGGATTCGTCCCTACAAGGACTTTTTAACTCCAGCTTTACATAGAAGATTTGCGCTGGCAACAGCTGTACTTGCAGCAGTATGCTACGTTGAAGCGGTATGGATTGGGGAATGGAAGTCATGTATGTATTATTCAGCTCTACGAATATAAAATGCTGATCAATCCCCGCAGTCCTTTGGTCATGGTTTCCTTTGGGTAGGGCTGGCATACGAACCGGTCTCTTCTTTCTATGCGGATTCATGATATTCATCCTTCGGGTGGCCCAATTACACGTTGGAATTCGAACCTCAAACTCAAGCTTCCACACATTCACACAGTATGCGCCCAAATTTCAGACGGTTCAGACAGCTCTTTGGTATCTCTTTTCGGCATGGTTTTTCAGCGAGGTATACATATGGTCTGTTCCTGAGAGCACAGGTCTCAATCGCATCAAGCTTGCAGCAAAAACCAGTCGGCCAATATTGAATGAGAAACCCATCTATTTAACAATGTTCCTCTTACTTAATGCTATTGTACAAGCCGGATTTCACCTTTGGTACGACTATGATCGCATCGATATTCCACTTACGAAGACTGGACCAGAAGTTTCGTCTGAACAACCTTCGCATACAACCGTCCTGCCAATAACACAATTGAAAGCGAAAGCACTACCTTTAGCTATAAGCTGTCTCAAGCGCGTTGCTGTGATGGCGGTGGTATCTCCGTTTATCTATTCTGTCGATATTAGCCTGCCCATCCCTTTTATTCTACCGGTTTTCACGTTCAATATTAGAGAGAGCGTGTGGGGCTTTACCCGTTCATTTGCAAAGATATTCTGGAATCTACCAAAAGCTGCAACTCCTCCGAATGAGTTGCCTTTCCACTGGACGATGGTACTTAGGACGATCATTGCCGGGCTCATGCTTACCTTATTGTGGGAATTTGGGAATCTCGCGTTCTCGATTTATGTGGCGCAAGCACCTTTGAAGAACGACCGACCAATTACTTATGAATCTCGAGATCCAAATGGAAGTTTATTAACCGGCTTAAAGGGCAAGAAGCTGCAAACAAGAGTAAGAGCCCCACCCCCAATACCCCCCCCATTGATTCATATTAATACCCTTCAGGCTTTCGCATTTTGGGAACTCGTAGAAATTGCACAACGATACCAGGGAAGGCGAAAGGCCATTTTCGAAGACATTGATCGTGTTGGCGGTTCAGCTTGGTCTCAAATCCTTGCAGCATGCCTTGAGACAATCGACGGAATCATTCAGCGTATCGAAGAATATGATCCTAAAAAACAACCACCTGTCATCAACATCTATGAGGAGCAGGAACCTCTAGAGCCAGTATCGACACTGCCTCGGTTACTGACTGCACCCCTAAAGGATGAACCAAAAGGGGGTCTTGTGGAGAAGCCACAACCAGTAGAGACTAGAAGCAGGCGTTATTTAGAAGCGATTGGCTCATTTGCAAAGAGTCAGGGAGAATTATCACCACCTGATAAATTATCTCGTAGCCGCCAGTTGAAGGCCGATAAAAAAAGAGCAGCAATCCAAGCCGCATTACCAACACAATCCCAACAGCCCGAAGGACTCCAAAACCTATTACGTGAGCAGGCGATCAAGATCCTCAAGACGCCCCTTGGAAGATCGTTTAGACAGGAATACCGAAAAGAGATTGCAAGTGTGGTATTAGGAATGCCTCATGGCGATATAGGTATCATAATTGATGCTATCGATTCGATAACTAGATTTGCTATGTGTAGTCTTGTCGAGGACAAATATGGGAAGGTCCAGAAGGATATCAAGGACATCGTGGAGACGTATACCAAGACGATCGTCAAAGTACAGAAATTTAGGACCAAACTAGGGGCCCATTGGACTGACGTAGAAGGAAGACAAGAGAGCCCTGAAGTTGATTTGCTGCTCGCGGTCCTGAAAAGCGGACTTCGAGAGCTCGTTGAGGGATTTGGGGATTATAGTGTAGAGTTAAAAATAAACCCAACTGGGTTAAGGGCAGCAAGAGAAGCTATGAATATGGCACCTCCAAGACAGGAGGACATGGAGCAAAGGCGTCGTTGAAAAGGGGTGTATAGTATAAAATCAACGAAATAGATGTATAACGATTCTTCAAATGATAGCTTTATATTCCAACAATGAGATAGAAAGTACTTGGTATCTATTGACATGACAAGAAAATCCATAATTTCCAACTTTCAAAACCAATAAGAGACAAATAGTAGTATACTGTATTAATTTGTCTACTCGAGTAATAAGATGTTTACCGAATAACCGGATTTGTTGCGATGACGGAGCTGGAGATCTCCTCACAACCGATCATTGCGGGGCAGCAGCTCTGCCGGCCTCCAACAAACACGGGGATTGAGCTTCCTCATCCATCATCTCTTTACATACCATGGTGATTATTTAAATTACAAATACTCCCTCTATCCTCCGACTTCAATTCACATTCTCTCAATCTCCTCTCCTCTCTTCTCTTCTCTTCTCTTCTTTTCCCTTTCCCTTTTGTTTTCTGTTTATACTGTATCTATAGCTATAGCTTAATCCTTTTAAAGATGGCTTCTTCGGCAGCTTTGACAGCTTCTGCTGCATTGAAGTCTCGAGTTAGGAGACCATCTTTACTCAATAAGCTCGCTCATGCTGAAGATTTGATCCCTCTATTCCCCAATGGAGCTTACATCGGATGGTCCGGATTTACGGGTGTTGGATATCCTAAGTGAGTAACAATTATATTATAGCTGCGGTTTGGAGCAAGAGAGGGGTTAAATGATGTACTAATTGAAGCTGTATAGGAAGATTCCAACAATGCTCGCGGATCATGTCGAGAAAAACAACTTGCAGGGCAAGCTTAAGTACTCCCTTTTCGTAGGTGCCAGTTCTGGGGCGGAAACCGAGAATCGATGGGCAGAATTGAATATGATCGAACGACGAAGTCCTCATCAGGTTGGAAAAGCTATTGCCAAGGGTATCAACAATGGCAATATCAATTTTTTCGACAAACATTTGTCCATGTTTCCTGTAGATTTGGTTTACGGATTTTACACAAAAGATCGTCCGAACAAAAAGCTGGATGTGGTTATTGTTGAGGCTACTGCTATCACCGAAGATGGTGGAATTATTCCAGGAGCTTCTGTTGGAGCATCGCCAGAATTGATTCAAATGGCGGATAAAATCATTATTGAAGTCAATACCTCTATGCCTTCTTTCGAGGGTCTTCACGATATTACCATGACCGAGCTCCCACCAAAGCGAAAACCATATTTGATTATGGCACCAGAAGATCGTATTGGAACAACTTCTATTCCTGTTGACTCTGAGAAAATCGTTGCTATTATTGAATCTGATTACCCAGATCAAACCGTACCAAATGCCCCAGAGGATGCTACCTCTCGTGCAATTGCTGCTCATTTGATCGAATTTCTTGAGCACGAAGTTAAGCACGACCGCCTTCCCAAGAATCTTCTCCCAATTCAGTCCGGTATTGGAAACATTGCCAATGCTGTTATTGGTGGTCTAGCCGATTCCAATTTCAAGAACCTCAAAGTCTGGACAGAAGTGCTTCAAGATACCTTCCTTGATCTTTTTGATTCCGGACGTCTAGATTTCGCAACCGCAACTTCTATACGTTTCTCCCCAGATGGGTTCAAGCGCTTTTACGATGGATGGGAGCAATACTTTGACAAACTTTTGCTCCGTTCACAACAGGTTTCTAACTCCCCTGAGATCATCAGAAGACTGGGAGTCATCGGCATGAACACACCAGTTGAAGTCGATATCTACGCGCACGCAAACAGCACGTGTGTTATGGGTTCCCGTATGTTGAACGGACTTGGTGGTTCGGCTGATTTCCTCCGTTCATCTAAATACAGTATCATGCACACACCATCAACCCGGCCATCTAAGACTGATCCTCACGGAGTTTCTTGCATTGTTCCTATGTGCACACACGTTGATCAAACCGAGCACGATTTGGACGTAGTTGTTACCGAGCAAGGTCTTGCTGATGTCCGAGGATTGAGTCCAAAGGAGCGAGCCAAGGTCATCATTGAGAAATGCTCCCATCCAGACTACAAGCCCATTTTGGAGGACTATTTTAGAAAGGCCGAGTTCGAATGCATGAGAAGAGGCTGGGGCCATGAGCCGCATTTGTTGTGGAATAGCTTCGATATGCACAAGGCATTCGATCAAGAAGGAAGCATGAAGGCACTCAAGACTTGGGGTTAGAGAGTGTATAAAGGGCCAAGAATACATGGCAGGGAGCTGTAGATATTAAAGAATCTGGTATATAGCACCTGTCATTGTGGGCTCATTGGAATATGGCGCAAATGAGGATTGGATTCATAGATAAAGTCAAAAGAAATTTCATTTAGGTGCCTCGCATTGAGTGATAGAAGAACACCAGAATCCAATGCTAAATCCTCGATAATTCAGCCCACCGCTCGCACCGGAGCATGTGGCTATCAAACCAATCAAAAGTCATAATTAGTGCGAGATAATAACATTGTAAAATCCGACATCTGATTCAGAGAGAACCGGGTGCTCGAGCTCCAGCAACTTCATCAACCCTGATCTGATTCACTATTCAAATCAGTAGATGTAACTCCTGAATCTTTTCCAGCCGCGATATTGCAGCCAAGTCAAGTCTGCTGTATTTTGCTCCACAAACTTTTGGCCAGTCTTGATATTTCGTTCGGAGAACAACCTGACTGTAGTTATGTAGCTCTTTTGCGAGGAGAAAATGTAAGGTGTGCGATGATAAAATGTTCAGGTATTGGTAAGTGAAGATGTGCTAAATTTCCTCTTATTATGACACTGTTCTTGGGTCATTAATTTTGGAGTAAGTCTTAAATCACTTTTCAACATGGTCAACCTAATCTTGATTTTCATGTTTTATTGTTTACCTTATTTTAGGCTTTAGGTGTTGGCTATTTTCATATGCGCCAAATAGGTGTAGCCTGTCTAAGTCGAGTTCGGGTATGTGCCACGTGATTCTGTGGCTTGCGTGTCAATGTTGGAGCTGAAGCTTGTGCAAGAAGAGAAACCATAGTAGGTATATGATTGCTTAGGCGTAAGAATGTGCGTTCTTATTAAATGCATCTAAAAGTCACGCCGAACCATTCTTTATCGATGATACCCTTCAGTGTCTAGCCAGCCAGACACATGTCTGCTCAAGATTCCATATCCTTTACGCCCAAATCTATAGATTTACTTATGTCTCGGAGAACGGTTAGCATACAAGTATTTTCGATACTTCATAGGAGGATTCCGAGATAGTTTGGGTGTTGGAGATACTTACGAATGATAGTTCTATTCATGCCTGAAGCTTCTTGACATTCTCATAAAGTGCTGTGGCCATTCTTTGTAGTTTACGAATGGCTCTCTCAGCAATATCCGATCTTTCCCGGGCGTGTTGAAGTTTGTTGAGATGATCCCTCAGCCGTTTGACATCCTTCAATTGTTCGTTTGTGGGGTCAGTGAAACATCCCCTCTCAGGTATGATGATACTGCGGGTGAAGAACAGATAATCGTGAACGAAATCGTGAGCTAGATTGGTTGAATACCTACTATACTCGACTGGACAGTCTGATAACCTCTTTACAGCTTGGCTATGATGCGTGTGCTTTGGTCGAAACGATTTTGTATTTTGTATTTTGTGTCGTTTTGTTCAAGCTGCGGTGCTCTTGGGCATATTGTAGACTCTTTGTACCAGTAGACTATTGTTACCTCTTAGCATGCAGACTGGACACTAGAAGTTCATGGCTTGATCCTATGACCTTTCATACATCCATTTACTGTATGGATACCAACGCCGAAACCTGAATGCACACAAACACTTGGTTGACTGCTAGTAAGCGAATTTGGCTACTATAGGGTCAAGAGTATTTCGAAAAGTCACGCTGTTTCTCTGAAAATTACACACTCCCGACGAGTCTCTATTTACTCATTTCAGGGCATTGACTACTGCACGAAATGACCATCTATCCTTGCACTGATCATCTAGTCTTCAATCCTGAGTTCTACTGTACGATTCGCGTTTTAAATATGCCAGATTTGACTCTGCGGACTTTGTGTGGTACTACCGAATCATTACTCTAAAAATATTTAGCACGTTCTTTTTTCAGATTAGCCACAAGCTCTTACACAAGAACACCATTATATGCACTGATTTCCCCTCTCCTCGTTTTCTTATCATACCATCGTCATCAAATCATCAAAGCATTTAACCTTCTCACACCGAGGTTTCTATTATGTCTGGACAGTCCTGAGAATTTGTGTCTTGCTTGTATTCTTGTATTCTTGTACATGGTGATTATTTGGAATTACGAATCGCGTTGTTGAGCTGCTTGGTCCTTGCTGAATGTACATGAATTATGGATTTGACTTCCTTCAGTTCGTGCTCTAGGCTTTTCAGCTTGATAAATTGTTTGGAAACTTACTGTGAGGGAAAATGGTGTCGCTCTGGGTATTGATCATGAAGAATCTCTTACGTATTTTGTCTAAAGTCTGCAAGGCTTTGTATGCTGTTGTGATACTTCATGAAAGGTGCTCTCTTGAGATTTGCGGCCACTCCTATGAATATCTAGTGCTATTAGTAAGAATGTCCCATGACTAGGCACGACTAATTCAAGATAGATTTGAGAATTATTCGTTGTGTATCATTCTAGGCACGCAATACTATGAATGATCGTCCACTGCACATTGTCTTAAGTCCTCTAGTCAGTGCAGTCAATAATTAACCAATCAAACTAATATACTGAATTTTGATAAATCTAAACTATCAATTACCGGTAGTCTGATTAATAATATTCGAATTATTAATCTAATTAGCCGAATCAATTAAACTATTATTATAATAAGAAATTGTTAATTCAATTGATAATCAGTTTCGTTCATGATATTCAAACTATCAATCGAGCTATAGTCTTTCAAATTCCTAGTTTCCCGACTGGTTTACACTACTGACTACAATGTTCCTAGTGTCGCAAAAGAGGGGAAATTAGACGGTGCTCTTAAATTGCTTGAGGAAGGGCTGAGAACTCACGATTATCGTTTAGTATGTTGTAGGTATTAGGGGGTTATTGTTTGGGCTTAATTTGGAATTTGGCGACGGTAGATATTTTGGGAACTTAAACTTGATTTATGCGCCTCCGGGAAGATAATCTATTAGGGTGCATTGCCATGAGTTGTGATTCGGAGATATAGTCATCAGTCTGGCAGTATTTGATCAACTCAGGGGCCATGACCAGTCACAGTCAACATTCCTTGATGAGCCCGAATCTAGGATTGCCCTCATCTTCTAACAAATATGAGGAGGGCTGATTTGTAAGTTTTTGGGGAAGGGGAGGAAATCCCTCAATGTTGGAAGTTTCTCAGAGCTCGTACCTTCTCTCCCCCCGCCTATTGAGGCTTTTGAATGTTTTGTTTCCATTGTTTTGGCCATGATGCGACGTGACAGAGAGCTTCTAGAATATGTATGATTTCAGCTTTTGGTATTGTATCTTCCGACACGGTTATCAGGGACTCCGTGGTCTTTGTTGCTACTACGATATTTGGAGGTATGTTGCTCATTTTCGAATTGGTTTCTTCCAGAAGTTAAAAGAATACAACACTAGCATATCGGGAGCTTTTGGAAGAATAACTCTGACTTCGGGCCCTAAAGAACCTGGAGTTCAGAAATCATGATGCTTCTCAAAAAAGCAAGCAAATTAAACGTAGTCAATTGAGGATACATTTGTCGAAGAGGATAACAGCAGTTAAGAAACATAGCCTATGTTGATGACATGTGCATCCAAATATCCTCCTTGCTGATGATACAAATAAATCTAGAATTCTCCCCAATGCAATGTATTTCCGCCTATCCATACCACACCAACCACACCTTCTCAAACTATTACCATTATTCCGCTCCATGATTCTATTATGCGTATCTTCGACCTTTCGGAGGAATATCCTCGCAAATTTCATCCAAAGCCCCCATAGGTGCCCACTTTTCCAACTAATTTTAGGAACAATCTTCAATATCCTTGAAGATCAATTTCAGTATATCCTCCTCATCTAAATAGAATCAGTAACCCATGAAGTCTGTATATCTCTGCACATACTTACTGATAATCGGCCGTTTCTTCGTGACACCAGACCCACTATTTCTAACCGACCATTAGCGAGATCTCCTTTTGACATCTGTGTGATCAGCCTTTAGTGACAGCGACGACTTACCCATTGGTACCCGTATTATTTTCGCCACGGGATGATCTGAACTTCTTGTTTTGGTCTGAGAGTCGTGGAACAGGTGAATCTGGGCAGAACTCTCCATACGTTGGCGCAAAATCCGATTCTAGAGTGTGAACCCGAGTGTCAGTGAAAGACCAATAACCGAGAGATGAGTGTAAAAAAATCCCCACCTCCGCTATTGTGCCTCTGCTCACTCTCTTGCTGGCCAGCTTTTACCTTAAACTGAAATGGTACCAATCCAAGTTGCTGGAGCGCCCCATAGTGCCTAACCTGACTATCAAGAAGCTCATCCACAGATGGATCAAACGGTTCCGTATCAAAATTTTCTACCAATTCCTGGCGTCTCCTTTCCATAACTTCTTCTCGAATTTCCTGAACTTCCTCTAGTATCTCTTCGTCTTCTGGATTTCCGGCCATGACTACTCTTCGTTTCTTGGAGTCAGTAACAGAAAGTCGAGCATTGCAGTCGTCTTTATGCCGCATTGTGTAGTCTCTAAGATGTTCTTGATGCTGTTGGATGTCCAATTGATGGCCCTTTATCATGCGAGTTCTGAAATCTACCAAGGGCCCAGTTGTGGCAGATTGTCTGTGATTCGTTTCCATGGTGAACACAGAGACAAAGGATCTATCAACCTTGAGTTTAGAGCTTAAATGCAGCTTCTCAACTGAAAGAAAATTACTTTATGTGGTTTTTTGGTCCAAAAAGAGAAGTGGCCTAAGAATAGAGGATTCCGGTTGACCCACCAGAGTGGGTTGTTTCAAGTGAATTGTTCAAAGCGACACCACAATTCGAAAGTTGCAAGGTTCCCACACCTATAATTCTATTGTCAATGGAAATAGTCCCTGGACTGTATTTTATTCCAGTATGCACGACTGGGTATGATATAGCCCACTGTTTAGAGTTCCAATAAAGCAAAGACTTCATGTCTGCAAATGAAGATACATTGAAAGTCCGAGCATTATAGTAGTTAAGAATGTCTAGAAACACTTATATGATATGACTGCCTTTCGCAAATGCTTCCAAAACTAAGCAGTAGTAGCTCTTCCTACCGTGGTGGTCCTCACGAATTACAACCAAATCTCCTACTCTTTTCGCAGTTAGTGATATATCCATCACATACAGTATAGAGCAATTGCTTACCACTATCGAAAAGAACCCTAATACTCCCCAGCGAACGGCGATATTGTGGATACTCGACATTGAATTGATATAGCTCCAACCTCGCACGATTTGATAACATCCTCTCAAGTCATGGCCTATAACAGATCTTTTCAGCTTTGTCGAAATCGATGTTCAAACCCACACCCCAGAAAAGTCATCTCCTTCAATAAATTGAACTTCCATCTTCCTTCAAAATCCTTGTACAAAACATAGCGAGAGCGATCCTTTGAATTGTTGTACCCCCCTACCTCAGTACCTTTTATCTACCTTGTCCCCCAAAATTCTGTTGAAATTGGCCATTTATTTTGTCAAACCAGAACTGACATGCTGATCCTTCTCCTCCAAGGCAGCATTAAATTTGCTTTGATCGAGACCCAAATCTAAATACAGATCGGTCTCCTTCATCAATCCTTCGATATGTTCCTCGATATCTTCATTGGCCTCTTCTTTCTCCTCCTTGATCATGGAATTAGAGGTTCCATCATCTTTCAACATCTTGAGAGTGTTAATCAATTGTTGTGCCATGTCACTCATTGTTTTCCAGTCCTCGCGTGAGCCACCGGAAGCTTGAATTCTTTTAAGTTCGTCATATATATCTTTCATTAAATTTTCGGTGGCCTTCTCGAGTTCGAGTTGCGAATGAACGGCCTTCCATAGCAGTTTTGAAATTTTACGTTCATCTTTGACCAATTGTTCGGTGGTTGACATTGTGCGATTAGAAGGTACTTCGATCGAGAAAACAGACAGGAAATGCCCTAGAATTATGCGCTTGTCTTTGTTGTCTTCTTGTAATATAAGTGATGGTGTTTCGCGTCGACGTGACAATTCTGATTGAAAGGTGGGGCAGAATATAAGAAACTCGTGGGCTGGTATTCGAAGGGGAACGAGAGAAAGAAAGTGTTGTGAATGGTATTGAGATGTGAAGTGTATTGTGATGTGAAGGGTATTGAGATTCGAAGATGAGGTTCAATGTCAAGTCAAGTTCATATTTGGCAAGTACATATACTCACTTGTATTGGCAGGCACGATCGACTTTAGTTCCACACCACCAATTCTGAGATTAAACCCAGATCTATAACATAAATCATTAAACACAATGTATGAGAATCAAACACTACTACTCAGTAGGTAGTTATATATTTAATTTGAAAGTAGCGGCAAATTATAAACTTGGACAGACTATACAGTAACCTAGCCTGCTAAAATACCCCTTCAATCTCTCAGGTTTCTTGAGGAATTCCCGTTTTCTCTCATTTTGTAAGACTTCTTATAAGTTATAATCTCTTCATTTTCTCTTAGTAATCTTGCATTCAAAGTCATAAATAGATCATGACAGTTCTTGTTATTCTAGTGCACCGCATCAATCCTCCATTCTAATTTATGCTCAATAACCTGTGCTGATTGCCACTGAGCAACATTGTAATATTTCTATACCTATGGTCAGTGCATGGTTTATATATACCTGCGATAACATACCATATCATTTGGAACCCTCGTCTGCCTCTCTCAATAATTTAATGTTATCTCTAAGCTGCGAGTTTCGTTTCTTATATTCAGCAATCTCGCTTTTGTTCTTCGCCAGTTCTTTTTCAAACTTCTCAGTCTCTGCTTGCAAAGATGACTCTTTTGCTAGCAATGATACTATCTCTTCTTGTAGTGATTCATCTTTTGCTTCGAGCGATTTCATTTCATCATCCTGCCGTTCTTGACTTTGATCTCTCAAAGAGGTTGGAGTTGGCTGAGAAGTGTTGAGTTTACTTCCACGCATTTTTAAATCGATCTGGCTGGAGAGTTAGACAACATATCTATCTGCTAAAAGAACATTCCACAGAGGATACTTACGACACAAGGCTGTCTTAATCAAGTATGTTTTGAGCTTGATCTTCAAGGGGCGAAGAGTAAAGTAGGTACAGTACGGTCTTATTTGATATGTTAAACGATGACTATTGTATATTATGGGGAGAGGTCATACTCGATAATGCTTTGCAGTATTGATTTATGCTAGATGTGATGTTCGTTGTTTAGATTTGCTGGTTGTGTTGTAGAATAGCATGACGGTAAGGAAGAAAGCAAGAAGTGAAGGATCTCTTAAAAACGATCAGAAAGGGTATGCGTGTTATCATGTTATTACCTGGAGCTATAGGGTAAATACTTCCAAGAACATATCAAGTCATTTCCAATGCAACATATTATACTCAGTGACTGTTTACTCCTGAATTAATAAGAAATCAAGCTTCCAAGAAGCCACATCAAAAATCATCTAGGCTTGAACTTTACTCATATACAGGTCAATGAAGTTCAAATGTGTATTCGATATAAAGAGGCTTGAATATTCTACTTTTGATTCGGAGAATGAGGTTCAGTCAGAAATATACAATTTAATAAGGAGATGGGGTAATGCGCGTTCACTAGGTTCAGAATTTCTGTACTTTTAAGTTTCAACAACTGTCTTCATTTGTGTGTTGTAAATATCAAAGTAATGGATAATATGGTCCAAACCCGACTATAATTCTCCCAACCACTTGAGCCTTTGAGCCGCAAGTTTCAAGACTGTTTTAACTATCTTCTTAGTTAGTAAAGTTGTAAATCTCAGTTCCAAGCTCATACCAGGGAGATATCTTGTTAGATTTTCGTATTCTAGACACCATATTATTCGCCGGCCTCGCCACCAGTCTAAGGCTCCGCATCTATATTGAAGAATGTTATACCAATGTGCGACCCCTGAGCTATTTGTATCCGCATGACTAGCCCAGACGGTGTACAGGCAGCTAATTTATCGTGGAATCGGTTATTGCAAGGAAAAGAGCAGATTATTTCACGGAAAAAAGCGGAGAATGATGTCCAAAGTAGTCCTTATACCTACCGAGGCTGATATAAATGTACTCGAGTAATGTAAATTCGGAAACGGGTTGATAATATAATACGAGAAGTTGCGATACACCTTTATGACCGAAATAACGGAGGGTTGTAGTAATACTAGTAAAGAAGGCTTCAGTGAAAAGGCTTGGATATTGGTATTGCAAGTACGAAGTGAAGGTATTCTTAGAGATTGTTGAATTTCTTGGTTGGTGTGACGACGATGAAGCCGCAAAAAGAAAGAAAGCAGAGTTTGATAGGCTAGCCCTAGCTATTTGAGTATGTTCCAAGGACTCAGAAAATAAAGTATAATCACATGATTAATAATGAACAGCCAACGGACATATGTTCCTGAGTTATGAAAAAACGGGCCATTAACAGCATTTCAGCTCTACGTACTACTATGACTCACAAGTATACACGAGTACAAGTTGAACCTTGAGCCCATACGATACCCCCCTCCCAAAGGCACACAAGGCCATATTTCCGAATTGAACAACCAATATCATCACTTCTCTGCCCACATAAACTCAAACATCCCCAGCACTCAGAGTTGACCATTCGCGTCTTTCTCCTATGTAGAAACCAGACAATATCCAAACTGTATCATAATACAAGACTAATTGAAATACTTTTTTCACTCCAACAGCTCTAGGACCACCGCCGAGATATAATTACTAATCTCTTAAGGAAGTCTGTGAATGATAGATCAGCCCCTATTATTTGATCAGATGTTCTGTGAAAGAAGCATACAAACCTTTAAAGATAATTCGTATGTCTGAGACTCTTCTCCTGACTTTTCCGTGCCAGTAAAAGTGCAGTTTCCAAATGCCTTGGCCAGATCATCTCCATCTGTTGTGTCTGTATCGGGGCCATAGTAGAGCCTATCTCTGGTGGCTTTCTGGCTCCGAGTATCGTCTGTGATTGAGGATTTCTCATAGACCTTTGAGAGGTCCACGCCATTAATGGTGATGGCGGGGATAGGTGAATGACTAGACATCTTGAAAGGATAAGTAACGGGGAATATATATGCTAGGTGTTCTGATAGCTTTTGAGTGTTCATGTGTATCTGTATGCGCACGAAGTTATTTTGAATGTCTACAGACCGTGTGGGTGGAAGGAATGACCTCGCTTTAAGTTTTTTCAGAGTGCAAAGCATCTCAAATTAAGTTATGATTCCTCATATCGTAATCCCCAGCAAAAGAGGACCTGCAGTTCACCCAAAAAGTGAATAGCTTACTCGACCGTGATTACGAGTCATCTTCGTTCACAAAATATGGTGCTATTATCTTTGAGTCAGCCCAATTGTAGTTTATTCATAGCACCCACTGGCCCCGCAATAAACCAGCGCTTCAAGAGCTTGAACTGCCTCACTTTCGAGTTATTTTACAACACATCGGCAAGCCAGATTTCCGAGTTACCACACGACGAGATACACAAACAGAAACATCACATAGGCGCATAAGGTTTTTCAAGAACAACAAAGTCAAAGGTCAATATCACAATTACATGAAAGATTCTCTCGACCCACTCCTTTTGGCTCTCGTATCCAGCTGTCGACATAGACATAAAACCAACATCACATTACACAAGATATCTCGATACCCACTGTTCCGTCCTATCACACTGCAATGTCGACCAAACTATCCACTGGAGCAACCACTCGAGATTCTCAAGTCAAAAATCGAAATATGGCTGAAGCTACGGGCCTCCAACATCAGAAGAGCACCGAGGGTGACAAAAAGTCCGATGAATGGCTCTATGAAATGATAGACTCTATGATAATCCAATCTGATAGATATCATAGTAGCATGTCGGCGTTCGTCAAATCGGGGTTAATCAAAGACCGGCAAGATGTTGAGGAAGCAATAAACAAAATCGAAGTCAGTATTCATGAGTTGAGAGATGCAAAAGGCAGGCTATCGGATACAACGAGTGAAGATCAAGCGTCTCAGACCGCGCATTGGTTCGAGGAGCTGATACCTCCAGGCTCAAGCTGGGAGAAATTAGTAGAGCTATATATACTTGAAAACAAGTCCAGCTGGAAGGTGGGCAAGATCTTTCCCTTGGTAGAAGTCTACAGGTTTCCATTAGTCTAACTGATAATCTGCAGAAAAAATTGAGGGGCTTTATTGTTAGCGTGCGTGGAGCTATGGGGGTATGTGGTTGATTGAAGTGTTAATATTACCAAGGAGGTCGGATGGGATGCGCATGATGCTGTCTGAAAGTTTGGAATTGCTACTTTGCTGTCAAATTACTTGACGTGTCATGGTACGGTGGAAATATGAGAATTGCAAGTGGAGGATATATTGTTTGTACAAGAAATACCAATCGTAGCTTTTACATTTCCACTCAACCTGCAAGCATATATGAAGGAAATTCTCATATTCTAGAGGAGTGTCTAATAATTTAGCGATAATTTATAGTCATTTCCATTCACTGAAAGTGGGTTAATAATTATAGAGCTACCAACTTAGTACCACGGGCCTGTTTGATAGCCGAATGAATATTGGCGTTTATAATATTTGAAAGATAGCACTCGTATTATGATAATTAGTAAAATTTGCATTTGATATTAACATTCGTGTATTACTGGTGATTCTGACCTTGCAGAGACTCGTTGAAACCAACAAGCTTTGTATCTTCACAGGTGAGCCGGTGGCGTAGACGTCCGACAAAATTGGCATGCTTGGGGCGGACCAGCTGAAGAAGAACACTTTAAACTGACATGAAGTATATGTGAATAGTTGGACACGTATGTGTATCGCGGTTTTCCCCAATTCTTAATCCCGAGCCAACCAAATTGGCAGCCAATATTCATTCACGAAGAGTGGTATCTTTGACTTGAGAGAACCCATCTTCAATGATTCACAGCACTAACTGACTTGATCATATACCAAAGGAAACGTTTGAAAGGCTTCGAGCACCTCATTCTCGGGCATTCTTACAACTTAGTCCAGTATGTACTTTGTTGCCAGGCACGTCCAGTCAATACACGAAAGCAGATCCATACTCTAAAAACTGCGAGCTCATAATCGATATCATACCATTCGAAGCACTTCTCATACCCGTTACAACTGCCCAGGATGTTCAAACTCCCTGAACCACTTACGGCAGATGAAATTCTGAACGTTATTGATGAACCCGCTACAGATATCATGATCATATTGGGCCACCCATGAATGGGGTTCGGCCATGATGATACTGTTGACAAAACCTCAAAGAAGCTCCGGTAGATCTCCGTAGCCCCGCAATCGAATATCAACACAAGATTCAAAATCGAGGCAATTCGGACAACCAAGAAGTAGAGACAGAAAAATTATAACAACCCGATATTTTCTGATAATGTCGTAAAACTTACTAAGTTTCCATCCCAGCGTTCTCAAAGATTGAAATTGAACCCCATCCAAGTTCGAAACGGAGAGTGTCGTCTTTCTCGATAGTATTGCCAGCACAAGTTGTAGTAAATTGCTAACAAATCATTAGCCTCCCTTGTTAACCTACAAGCTCCAAATTCTCCTAAAGAAGTTGGCGAAAAGAATTGAAATTTTGGAGGAGGCTGAATAGACATGTGATTGAGAACGTATGTTGAGTCCAACTGTCCATATTTTTCTTTTGGAGATTAACATGTATGTTCGGTTGTCTTGAGGTGGCATCGAAGGTAAATTTAAATGGTACAAACATATGCATGTATGTATCGAATTTGGACATCCAAGTACGATGAGGATCATGGGTTATGGCGGGATTGGAGTGACCTTCGAAGTTGTCTTATCGCTGGGGGTGAAAGGAACTTTCATCGAGCCTCATCTTACTTGGCCAGAACGGTGCCTTGCTCACACTCAATCATCGTTCATCGTTCCTGGTTCCTGGTTCCTGGTTCCTCTTTTGCAATTATACATGACACTTGTCAGAGTCATCTTAACGATGCACTCGAGTATATCAAAACTCTTGCAGTGTATGCTCCCCACGAATTATGGCGAAAGGTGACCTTCTGCACTGGTACTCGAACGCCATCTTCTTGTAGCCCTTTTCTCCACGTAATCTCTCCATGCGTACCATACAGAACTTCATATCCGTCATCTCGGCCTCCTCCATACTTTGAAGTTGTCATGATATGCAGAAGAAGCCCAAACGGGTTCTCAGATAATAAAATTGGCGGACATCACTGTGCCGAGTTCACCGAAGAAGGTTGGGACGGAGGTGGGGAAATTTACATGTGACGTTCTTGCGATCTCTAATATTTATTCAGTAACTGGATATTGTTTCGTCCTTTGAGTTCTTATATATATATTTGTCAGTTACTTTATTTCCAGATTCATTAAAAAAAAAGGGTAACTGCCTCGGAACGACAAGTTCTTACTTTTCGACGTATTTATTATGGCTGAACCAGATTCCACTACCCCACGCTACGACCCCTCCATCTATGATACCCCCTTTTCCAAACTACCAAACCCTAAACGAGTATGGATAGGAGAGCCTGGATCCGCCCTTGAGGGTATAGGTAGGTATATTTTTATCTCGTTTGAACCAAAAAATCACCTGACAATCTCCCAGGTCGTCTCTCCCTTCTCACACAAGAAGTAGTCTCCTCGGCGGCAGCTTCAGAGATTAAAACGGGCAAAAGAGTAGGTCTCGGATGGGACATGACCAAATTGGAGTATTCACAATTTGGACGACAAAAGTGTGGGCATAAGATTATTCCACTAAACGGGCCTGGTGGAAGCGGCTATGGGGCATGTTTTGATGATGTTTATCATATGAATCCTCGTAGGTTATAGTAGTTCTTTTGGTCGGCTTAGACACTCCGTGATGCTTTCTTGGGGTTTCATACTCTGTGGTTTGGACCTTACTAGTTGGATGAAGGGGATGAGATGTGTTCATCTCAAAGCGGCAGGTGAAGCCCACGATCTGAGAGTGACCTAAGAATTTCATCGAAGTCCACTCAGTTGTTGTTGCAGCATAATTCATTTGATTCCACGATCCACAAGAACTTAAACTTACAGCTCCAAATTCGACTTCCATGATCCTGAGCACTCAACACCAGTATACAGCCATTGACTAACCCAAAACACAGAGCAAAGTAGTCAGTGGGATGGCTTCCGTCACTACTCCCAGCCACGAAATCCTTCCGATCCCTCTACATCTCAAGATCGAGTTTTCTACGGTGGCACTACCAAGGACGAAATCATGGATACATCGAACCATCGCATCGGACTGCAGCATTGGGCACCCGAAGGAATTGCCGGTTAGTTTCCTACCCCCCCCCCCATTCCCTACTTTCATTTCAAATCATCAGAAAAACTCATAATCACTCCAAGGCCGTGGTATCCTAATCGATTACGCTCACTGGTGTACTCAACAATCTTCACCCATCAAGTACACCAACTTTTCCCTCCACAACATCCCCTTCCAAACCCTCCTCGCCATCCTCACCGAACAAAACATAACCCCTCAACGCGGCGACATCCTCTTCATCCGCATGGGTGTAATCCTCGAATGGGATAGCTTCACCGATTCTCAAAAACAAGACTATGCCTCTCAAAGCACTCCTGAGCATGCTGGCGTTGAACCTAGTCTGGAATTATTGGAGTGGTTATGGGATAGTGGGATATCGGCGGTGGCGGGTGATGCTATAAGTTGGGAGGTATACCCTACGCAGGGAGAGATTAGCTGTCATGAATATTTGCTCGGAGGATGGGGAATGCCAATTGGTAAGTTGCTTCTGCTCCCTCTTCCTTTCAGACCCCGATTTTTTCTTTCATCTTTGTATCCATATCCATTCTATATCTACATCCATCCCTACAGCTTCTCTTCTCGCGTCCCAATTAGCCCTCTATTCAGATTTTCCCCAATATCACCGGTCACAACAACTGACTCCTTCCAAACAGGCGAAATATTCGATCTCGAGGCCCTATCCCGTACCTGTCGCGATCTCAAACGTTATTCATTTTTCCTAACATCTATGCCATTAAATATGCCGGGAGGAGTGTCTTCACCTCCGAATGCCATGGCTATTTTTTAGGCGATGATTGGGAAGATGAGAGTGGAAGAATATAACAGTGAGGCGAGGATGAGAGATCAAAAAGGAAGAGAGAGATTTGAGGATTTTGGATATAGGGCAGTGAGTTTGAAGAAAGTTGATAGTTGGGATAGTGCCACATCATGAAGTATCCAGATTTCAAGACATGAAGATAAACTGCATATAATATTGTGCTGTCTTTGATTGCCAGATACTTGAGACACGGTACCAGAAATACGACCTAATGCAACTATGGGCCACTGTGCTCTGTCTACCCTTCAGCCACTTCCGCACAGCCCATATCCTGAAGGCCTTAAATGGAATGATCGGATTGAGAGATTGTACAGGATGGCAGGTGATGATGGAATTGGCTCACAGCCACGAACCTTTTTCATCAGCCTCCAGGTTGATCAATACGACCCACTTACACTTAGCCCCAACCCGGAAAAGACAGATTGGCAAGTAGCATTGATCAGGTTAAGTAACGATCAAATTGACCTAACGCAACTCTGGGCCACCACCCCTCTAGCTCCCCCGCTTCAATCTCCATCTCGAACTCCCCGAAGGGAGTAAGGTCATTTGGAGAAGGAAGTGGTACGAGCTAGAGGGGTGGTGGCCCACAGTTACGGGTCAAGGTCCCATTCTCCGCCTGCCGCTGCCGTCTTCTTCATCCCCAGCCCCCCGAAGGGAGCGGAGTCGGAAGACAGCATTGGAAGGCGTAGACATGGAAGCCTTGGCCTAGCGCAATATTGATTCGTCCTACCTCCCCTTTATCTTTCGTTGCTGCTTTCCAAGTACCTTATTCCCTTCATTATACCGAGGCTACTAGCCCTCAACTCGCTCTCTACTACCGCATCATTTTCGACCCCCCGAAGGGAGAAGAATCAGCAGAAGTAGAAGTTGAGTTGGGGGTAGTAGCCTTGGTATAAGGAAGGGAATAAGGTACTTGGAAGGCAGCGTCGAAAGTTAAAGGAGTGGTGGGTCGAATCGCAATTGCGCCTGAGAAGAAAGAGGAAATTATCAAAAGGTGAGGGAAAGTCTTGAACTTATACCCACGAGAGCCGAGAACGATCAAGAAAATCACTAGGCTAAGAAATCGACTACAGCTACTTTGGGAACCGGAATTGGTAAATGCATCATCGGGTATATAACATGCCGGATTAGACTCAATTTAACCAAGCAACCATGATATAAACTTTCAAAAAACAAGTACTGAACTCCCGCTAGACTTAAATTGATCAGATAATAGTCAAGAACATCGAAACCTGATCCGAGATATTCTCTACGACCCCTTTCATATTAGCTCTAAAGTATCTAGTCTCATCAGCAAACCAGCTTAGCATCGATTAGCATCAATTAACATCTGTATTAACCATCGATGAGTCAAGCGCAACCCACTTCGTATAATGTGTCATTGCTATCATCAGCGCACATATTGCTCACGCCGATGTGTTAATGACACATTATACAACGAAAGTACCAATCAAATAAGTATATTTTACATTTCAGTCATTTTACCATACCAAAATTCCGGAAAGCCCAACCACGCGGCGCCAAAAAATGTCCATACCCCCCCCCCCCCCCCTAATAGGCAACCTCGATCCAGATCTATCAAATTCTACAGCAACGTGTTCAAAACTATTATGGGCTAGTATAAAAAAAACAGGTTTCGTCTTCAGTCTCTACTCACGATGCTCTGGGTCGACTGCCTAGTCTGGCACTTGTCTTTTTGGTCCGGGAAGGAAAGATAAAGAATAGATTTACAATGAAATAACATCCAGCTAAACTGAAGTTTCTTTTGATATTCTAATGTTTCTTCATCTCCATATCTAACCCTACTCCCTCTACGTTGCCAAACGAAACCAAATTTTGAAAGCACATCCATCATAAGACAAGATAAACCTATGCATCTGGAGCCTACACTCCAAAAAATTACCAACTTATCACGCTCTTGCCCCCCTGCCGTTTCTCCCTCTTTCTAGGCGAATATACATAGAAAAGTGACATATATACTCTTCTTGACCTTTCCCCTCAGATCCATCTCCCTCTCCATCCTCTCCATCTCCCCATCCCTTCCCAACTACCATCTCACCACACACACACACCCCTCGCCAAGTTTCCCCCAAAAAACTTCTCCCTCATACCCAGCCCAGCCCAGCCCCGCCCCATCCCGTTCCCTTCATAACTTGACTCTTCAAGTCACTTCGCTTCATGGCCCATACCCATACCTAGCCACTCGTAATCAACATCTATCCCGACTTCATCCACCCCACTTCACCCCACTCCACTCCACCAACAACATTAATCTTGAATGTCAAACAACGCAATACAAATACGGTACTACACATGCAAACTGAAAAAGGAGATCGGATCGACCATAATCATATTACCTACCATTTGATACGCACCCCCTGATCCCTCACCTCCTTTCACCTTCGCGTCCCACCGATCCCACTTCCCCAGCACCGTTCATACTTTTAATCAAAACACAATTTAGCTTCATCATCCGCGTCATCTGCATTATCTTCATAAATCCGAGAATGATAGCATTACGTTGAACCGATACCTGCCTCCCCGCAGCATTATATTCATTTTCCCCCTCCTATCCAAAACTCGAGACTTGCGTGGGACAACACAAAATATCAACAGGAAGATCCAGATAGCTGTTGATAAATCACACCATGAGCTTAAAGTTGAGTACCATTTGAAGTATTAATTCATTGCACCTTCATCATCATCTTTTAACGTTCATCATGAATTAACAATAGCAATCAATCAATATACACCAATACTATGATCCAAAGTTTCAATAATATCCAACTTCTATCGCAGTTGTATTGTAAATTTTTATGCCAATGGCTGTAGACCCACTTTTGCTTTTGTGCTGTATTATACATACAACCGCATCCTCGCTTGTATGCCGCGTATTCTCCTTCTCCTTTCCGCCATTCTGCTGCCGTTCCTCCACCACAGCTGGCAGACTCAACATATGTGCTTTTTGGTGGTATTCAACGACAGGAAAGTTTGAGCCTGGGTAAAACACCGTTATCTCACTTGCTCCTTGCACCCACATTCCCATCCGTTCCCAACCCACACGCCAAAACATTATGGGAAACAAGTCTGACAAGTCTGTTTCTTGAATATTTGCTGATTATGAAGAGCTGACACTAAATCTCGAACATAAAAAAAAATAGAAAAGTAAAATAAAAAGGGTAAACGCCATATTGATGCAAGTATAAAAGTGCTGCTTGTCAAGGAAAAAAACAGATATGCAAAATGGTGCAAACGATGCTCCGAAAACAACTCCTTGGGTATAGATAGATGACCCTAGGTTACCTCCCCAATTCATGATGATTGACTCGGCCGTTCGAATTATCTGCTACCAAAAAATCCACATGTGAACTTATTTCGTTAATGACCCCAAGAAAATTATCTGAGTTCGGTGTCTCAGTGGTGACTTGACATCGTCCCAACATTGATAATCATTTTAATTTATAGTACTTTGTTCATCTTCTTCGTTGATCCTCCCTACTCTCACTCCACCAGGACTGACTCTTCTTTCGGGTCGTCTGAGTGGCTCTGGAGGTGGCTCGTCCCTCATACAAGCATTCTCAAGCATGTTCGTCCATTTTCCACTTGTACCGGCATGACTATGCTTAAGGTGCTGACGGAAATGATCTGCGCGGAAGAATTTCTTTGTATGGTTACATTCTCCAAACTTATGCATCTCTTGCAAATGGGCAATTCTAACGTCCCAATCCTCATTTGACGCTATAATCATCTGAGTTTCATTGGGACATGGCGGAGTAATTCCGGACCTTGAGAAATCTTCACCACAATATCCGCAAGTATCCGCATCATTGGGCCGCGAAGGAGAAGGGTGGAACGCATGGGCCCAATCTAACAAAGCAGCGCACGACCATGAATGAAGACGGAGATGCAGGGAATTTTGATGCCTTTCAGCCTCATTCTTATTCTTAAAACGATTGGGACAGTATAGGCATTCGTACTGCTTTTCTTGTTCATGCGCACTGATCCATGGTTAGTATAGACGAGTCAATAACTTTGGGTAGCACTAACTTGAGGTCTTCCTGGCAGTCAAATTTCTTGGGTTTTTTTGGACAGCATTCACAAATAAAAATGCCTTGTCTGCTAGGAGCACTGTTGTGTTTCACGTGTCCTGAGGCTTCTGGCATTTTGCGTGCATTGGTTAGAGGTCGGCTCTCAGATAAGGCTCGGTGATGAGTGGTTCTAGCAGATATTGATCCTCTCGGGCTGGGGTTTAGCGACGCAGAACCATTATATGACATGTCGAGGCTGATATCCATGGGGGCAGGTGGGTTCCCTCCATGGGTCAGCCTATTGTACGAACCCATACTGGTTGCGCTACTAGCAGCCACCGATAACGTTGATGAGAATGAGTTTCTGGGTAGGGAAGTAGTAGATGAAATAGACGTAGAAGTCGAATGAAAGCGTGGACTCGGTGTTGAGCGCGAGCCAGACTCACGACGTCGAGTAAGATCGCTTGCACTACCCACAGTCCGCAGATGTTGACCATCATCCCTAGGAGGGGAGGATGCGCGTCGTTTTCGTCCGGCTGTAGCAGAGCGAGGAGAGTATCCTTCGCTCCGGCTATGGTAGTCGTCTCCTATCTGTAATCGTCTCAAATTAGTCTCTTCCATGGGGAAACCTTCTTCGTAGTCTGGAGAAGGCATCTGGTAGCTATCCCTAGACTGGCTAGCAATACTTGATGCATCATCGGCTATACTTCCTGCTCTTCTAGGATATGGTAGTGGTGACCTTTCGCCGTCTATAATATTGGTTGGTGATCTGTAGTCAAATGAATTTGGACCACCAAATCTGGTATATGGATTGCCCGGTGAGACGGCAGACGCGGAAGGTGAATCTGACCATATTTTCATGGGAATCTCCGCCAGCGTTGATTTGTGTGTATGAATTGGCAGAGAGAGGGGCTTGAGAGTAGGATGCCCATGTTCCCGCGCTATTCGAGATGTGGGTGATGCGTCGTTTAGAGATGAGCTAAATGTAGACTTTGCGAAGATTCCTGATGGCGTGAAATTATCCCCTCTACCACCCAACTTCTGCAACAATGCTTTGTCGTATGCTTGTGCATTAGTCTGGTATGTATCGTGGACCGAACTTTGAAAGCCTAGCGAGGTTCTCGATCTGCGAAAGCGAAGTATTAGCAGAAGGAAATCACAAAACAACGCCTCTTCATCTTCAGTGAAGGACTGGCAGCGAGTAAAATTGGCAGGCTGTTGGCGATGCATGCCAGTATCGGAGGCTCCGGCGTAATGTCAAAATGGTAGCACTTACTGTGTCGAGCCAATGCTTGCACTAGAAGCAGAAAGACTTGCATACCCTTCATCTTTTGCTAACGCAGTTACAAGGTTACTCGCATTTTTCAATGTATGCGCCGTGAGAGTGACGTTCGAGCTTCCTCGACGTTCAATATCTGGTCGCTCAACTGGAATGCTCTTGCGACGAGCATAACTCCCGTACAAACTCGACCCAGCGGGTACTGATGATACAGGTCCTCCCCAATTGATATCCCGGTCTTGATTCGCCCACTGCCATCCAATATCTCCTCTCCCATTCTCTGAAATATCTGGAATGTATCTCGGTGGTGGTAGAGGAGGAGGAGGGGCCTCTCTAGCATTGGGAATAGACATTGGCCCTGCCGCGGCGAACCTCGACGAGAGGGCAGATTGATACGCGTGTTGATCTTCGAAGTATTTATCGGAGTATCGATCGGGATGGTGAGAGTCTTGTACGCAGATTTCTGGTAAAGGTGTGTTGAAGCCAGGCTTTTGGCCTCCACGCACGGGGATATTCATTGTGCAAGTTAGCCACAGGCTATGAGAATTAAGTGGATATATTTCGTAGTCCTCCGAACAACATGAGCTGACCTGCTCTTCGTCTAGAAGTGGCTAAGTCGAACGTGCCGTTCTGCTTGGGAGGGAAAAGTTGAGAGTAGAGAAGAACGGAAATCGAAACATGAATATATTTTGTCGAATGTATTTATTAATTACCAAAAAAAAACTAGTTTCCGAGTCAGTACATCCGGTTCCGAAGAAGCTAATGTATATTCAATAGAGTTCAAAAAGATCTTGAGATAAGTTCGAAGAGTTCGCAAAGTTGACGTTGTTCTGCGAACCCTTCATAAAATGAGATGACGGGGCGGACGTCTTGTGGTTGTGAAGGAAGGAATAATAAGTTAACGGATGTACTGAGTATGTTTGGGCCAATCTTTAGCGGAAGGGCTGAATGAATAAGGACAAGGGACAGGGAATAATGAAAAAATAAGCTAAAATGACCCGAGAACTGAACTGAATTCAAACTTCAAAGCAATACATGAGTTCATTCTGTATGGGTATAGTATATGGATGATAGAGAGGGGTATGATAGAGAGAGATGATAATTGAGTCATGAGGTTATCGGAGAGAATTCCCCAGGTAGTAATAGTGGTAGTTGTAGTAGTAGTAATAGTAGTAGTAGTAGTAGCAGCAGTAATGGTAAGTACTCGAGTAGTTGTAAGAAATATAGTATAAACATACAGAACATACATATAAACTCTGATTGTTATTGTTGTATAGCAGCCATTGGGTACTGTAGTCGTATATTCGGTCGTGTTCCTCTCATAAACTCGCTCATAAGGCTTTTAAGCAATACGAGTGACAAACAATAGGGCTGGGAAACTGGGATTTCGTTCGGAAAGTGAGAAATGCGACGGATCAGAGCGGAGAAATTCAACCCAAAGTTGATAGGCGGATTTCATATAATCCAGGGCCCAGGGTATTGTTATGGGGTGGACAGGATGTATTGGTTGATATGCAATAATGAGGTGGGGATTTTCGGAAACAAGGGAAGGACCGAAAGAGGATGGATCGGTATTATAGATTGATGTATTGATATAAGGATGGGATGTATTGATGGATAATGAATAATGGATAATGGATAATAAATAATAGATAATAGGTATGATATCGTTCCAATCAGTATAACCTTCGTTAATATTATAGGGTTCAATCAAGCCTTCTTTTCCTCTTGTACTCGTGTTATATGTAGGTAGAGTACAGGTACCGATAATGGATGGATTAAGAGCTACTCGAGTAGTAAGGTAGTAAGTACCTAGGTAGGTCTAGTTAGTCCTTGGGAGTATTTTCCGTATATACAGGAGTCAATCAATTTTGGGTATTTTGATGGGGATTTTGGAAATCTATCGATGTTCTTTTTTTGCCTTTCTCGCCTTCTTCAATGACCAAGGCAAAGAGAAAAGTAAAAAAAAAATTGATCAAAGCCAAGACAATGGAAGGCTGTTGGTAAGAGAGGAGAGGAAGCAGGAGCTTCTGGAGTACCAACCCAAAAAAGGAAGTAATTATAGTCGATCCAGTTTGCTGCTGAGGTTGTGATGGCAATTGATGATGATGATGATGGATGATGAAACTTTCCCTCGAATTCTATTTTAGACGTTAGTGGCTGCGGAATAGGGCTGTCTTCCGGATCTTTGTACTTCTGTACTGTTTGATCTCAAGTACAGGGGAGTACAGTGTAAAAAGTGGGTACAATCACACGGTAAAATTAAAAGACAAGACGGCGGCAGTTGATTCAAAGAAGGGAAAGAGGATGGATGCTCATACGAAAGGAAAAGAGAGGGGGGAGGATGGGAGAAGAAAAGTAAGTGGACGGGTAATTGTCAGTTAGCCAGTCAGTTGGGATCGGAGTCAGAGTCAGACTCAGACTCAGAAGTCAGCTCAAGCGAGTAAGTTATTCGCATTCTGTCTAATCAGATTTTATACATCTGAGATATATGCAAATGTTTTGTCCGTGATATGGGCAGCGGGGTTTCTGATTAACCTTGTCAGATACTGAGAACCTGTACTATGAAAAGTCTAAATGCTTAAGCAGAGACATTCCGGAAGTCATTTACTACTATTTTACAAGTAAAGCAGTTGAGAATTTATTACTCTACTACCAGTATTACTACATCAATGACAATGTTAGTCTGTAGACTTCTCGTACTCCACACAATATCTTTTCAGCCTTACAAGTTCCTTTGAATGGTTGTACAACCACATTTTCTTTCATTAATAACTTCATATCAAACGAATGCTAGTTCCTACCCGTTTAAGTTTTTATTGGTAGCGAGTACGAATAGGATATCTAGAACCAACAACACGAATCATAGAATCAATATCAACAATTAGTGACGGTAACGATATGTGGTAAGGTGCAATATCTAGCTGAGGGATTTTAATATATCAACAAGTCAAACCCTTGAAATTTAAGAGGCGATAATATGTTGTAGTAGGCTAAGAACGAACAAGCCGGTCAAGAATTGAGTTCTCATCTGAGACAATTCAGCAAATGACGAAAGTCATTCGACTTTTTTATGCTATGATTATAGTGAACAGTTACTTTTTTGGATCATACCAGTACCGGTTCTTCCGCAATCGCCACAACTCCAGCTTTTACAGTACGAGTACGGGTATCAATTGGTTACTAGGTAGGTAGTGATAAAAAGAGGTGGTCGGCACCGGTACTGAAAGTTGCACGGCAGACAAATGCCTGTAGAATAGTCAGTCTCCTTGCTGCAAGTTTGCTGCAGATTGCGGAAACGGCTACAGCCAATACAAATGAAACTAAGTTTTGAGAATTGAAAGTCTAAACCACTACTTTCGATCTGAAATCTTTAAACATTATAAAGGCATCCTCCTCTAAAATCAGACATTTGTATCTTAATTGGAAACATGAGATCTACCTGGAACCGTCACAGATAGGCATTTCATTCGAGTTGTTCGATATTGATTATACGAAAAGCCGGAGATCTTCAACACAGCCACTGACAACAAGTGACAAGTAGAAAAAAAGCACTTGTTACGCTGAACATATCTCGGCATCGTCTTTTACTCTATATTATATGAATATACCTTCTCGGGCCTGTGTATCCTTCGGGTCTAACGCCATAGGGCCCTGCTCCAATGGTTCGAACCAATGCGATGGCATGTCTTGCTCTAGTACTACATGTTAGCACTACTCCACACTCACAAGGCTCGTGTTGATCTTCGAAACGGAGACGCAGCAATGCATCCAAGGGATTCCATACCACTTTCTTTCTTTCTCACCACATCCCTCTTCAACTTTATTATTACAATTACTCCCTCCCAAAGTATTATTGAAAAATAAGTTCCTAGTAGTTCGGAATCATCGGATTCTGGGCCGTCTTGCATCTACCAATACCTATGTTGATCAATGTGAACTGTCTGGTGAGACCTAGGTCGTCTGGTATCTTATACACGATATTCGGCAGGTACATTGTGCTTCATCATGATGAACTTGGAATTCCCTTGAAGAAATTCGTGGGACCTGAGGAACCAGAATCCGACTGCCGCCCTAGTTCTACAACCCGCCCAACCCACCCAAATCGGTCATATCAGACACCAAAACAAGTGTCATTATTGAGAATAACATTTCATTGCTTCGCCTCTTTACCCAAATGCATGTGAAACGGTCTGGCTGCATCATCTGCAACTGTTTGTCCAATCCAAAAGCATCTCACATCACCCTCGTCGATATATATTTCAAAATATTAAAACATTGGTAAGGTCTCTCGACATTTGTGGCTTGCTAAATATATGACAAGAACCGGATAAAATCACATAAGGCAATATCGAGGCAAACCAGTCCCAAGATCCCAGTATATGTCGTACTCCCTGTACACCCATGATGCTGACCCAGCACATACTTATGTTACATAAGAATTCTTCAGTGAGCGATGGGCCACCACCCACCTCACCTCCGACGATTTCGTGCGCCTTCATTACGGTAGCGCAATACAACGTCAGATTCTTCAATCCCCTCCTCGCGCATGCAAATCATTCAATTTATCCATATGAACCAGCCCTCCGTGCATTTCACATGATGTTTTCATTGGAAGGAAGCTCAGAATAGGCAATAATATCGTGGGACGAAACAATCACCAGTGCAATGATACGGACTCGGGAAGCAAAGCTTACTTGCTTGCATATTCTCATGTATGTATATATGCACAAGGAAGGACATGCATACTGACTATGAATATAAAGTTGGGGAAGGAAGGTAAGGCGGTGGCGGGATGAATGTAAAACATTATTTCCGTCAGCCTTTCAAGGCGAAATTATTACGGGTATTGTCCTTCTTCATTTATCCTTCTTTGGCTCTGTGTACACACGTAGTCAACCCGAGCTTGCCTATCATCAAACCATGAGCAGTATCGATATTCTGACCGATTCACCTGTTCTCTTTTGGGGTATTACAATACAGTATATGTAACAATCCAATACTCACTCCTGTATATAAGAGAATCCTGACCTTAGGTTTTAACACTATATAAATCCCTACATCCTGCATGTACAAGAAGTCGATATACCTTTCATCCTTCATATAAAATTACAAGGGTGGAGGAGGTCATGCTGGTATTGTATTTAAAGGGTTGATTCATTTATCAGAGAAACCCTAACAAATACTCACCAAAACCCCCCCAAAACATCTTCAATACCATATCACTCAGCCCTCTCTATAGTTCCTCCCCCACTCTTCCCTTCCCTTCTCTTCTCCAACCCCAAACCCCTCCCTTAAACCCTCAATTTAAGCAAGGTCCCAGGATCCAATTATACACCACTCACTATATAGTATATTGTTGCCGTAGTGTACCCCATAGATGAATAACTACCTCCTCGCGCCCACGCACCAGTCAAACCCTATCAATAATATCCACGGAGGCGGGACCGACATTATTACTGCTGAGAAAGGCCTAGTTATGGTCTGTGTGGGAAAGTAGGAAAGAGGAGGTGGGAAATAAGGAAATTAGGGGCTTAGCGATGCTGGTTGGATTTTATGGAAAAGAAGTATGGACTGTCTGTCAGTGATGGGTGGTGGAACCGTGATTATTCTAGTTGATGGCTAATGTGGTATATCGGTAATCGATATTTATCTTCTACTAGAACTCGAGTATAATGCTTTTGGAATACTGGACAGTACTACGAGTAGATGGGCAGATACAACTACTTGCCATTGTTTTCATTGTCTTTTCGGTGTCTTTGATGTCTAAAGTTTGCTGTACCTATGTATATATACTTGAATATTCGACAGTCCACAAGTCCACTGATTCGCTAGGGCTGAGGTACCAAGATTGGACTAATGAGAGCACAGTACTTCAATTCGGGGTTTGTTTGGGGGCTTGTCAAGCAAAAGAAAAGATGGGATTAATGGAGAATTTGAGAATTCGATTATCCATTCCATCCTTTCTCATAAAATTTCTGTATATTCTACAAAATGAATGCAAAATATCAATTCGGACGTACAATCCATGATCCAAGAAATAAGGTTGGATACGGTATGCCCGTTGGAGGCACGGTGAATAATCCCCTGGATTTCTCTAAACCTTACCCGTGGAAGGGGGTCAGGAATAAATCCTACGTGAGCCTAGGGTACGGGCGAGGCATCAAATCATGCATTATACTGCGTGAAAATCTTTTCCATTACAATTTGTATTCGAGAGAGGTACATCGTGAGTGATCCTTTACAGAGGCGAGAGGAATGAAGGGGCCGAATTCGGGAGAGCCGATGAAGGGGGAAGGAATAATATATGATAGTGTTTGGTTTTTCTTACATATTCAAATCACTGTAAGTGTTCCAAGATCCTGCCAGTTAAGTCCTTCGAGAATCATACAGCAAAGTAATCTTTACTATAGTATCGGTCGGGATGCTTGACAGTCTCAAAACATCTTCCTCGGCGTACAATCGCATCAATTTCATCCCACTCTCCTTCCGCTTGCCCACTCTCCTTCCGCTTGCCCACTCAACTTCATCACCATTCCATCACCGAGAAAGGCAAAATGACCGATACATGACCGGATTTCTTTCCTAATACAGTACATACTCGGGCGGTCCCTAGCCTTACAAGGCTTGTTCCAAACAAGCCCAAGGTTCGATAAGGTGACCGGAAAGAAACACCCCTGGCGATCAGTGATAGTGATGCGTTATCACACATATCCATCACATATTTCTATATTTGCATTAGGGAATTTTACCGGATCTTGCGCGGAGAAATTAAGTTCACGTGGATGAAGTTATTGCAATGCCTTTTAGTGACTTAGAGGCTCTGCGTGACTGCGTCGGTCGCGTCGCCTCCATGCCAAGGTTCTTATCCTTTCTAATGATCGCCTATATATAAGGAGATTCCTAGAAGTCGGCGACCTGAACCATGTGACTGGGAGCGGAGCCGATGGTCACGATGAAGATGGGATAATATTGATGGTGTGTGTATCAGATCAGCGGCGCATGGAAGTTGGCGGGAGTGAATGTGAAAGGTGGATGAAGTGAAGTGGGATGGAGTCATTGGGGACAAGATAGACGGAAATCTAGATCTACCCTTTCCTATTTTGGTTCTAGGTGAGATGCACCGTGTAGGAAATATGGAGATCATCTCTAAAAGGATACGGGATCACATCATTGCGGGGACGAACCTAGATTTTCCATCTTTCAAGGACCGGACCAAAGCCTCAATCAAATGCAAATTATTGATCACGAGGAACAACTAAAGCTGACTGTTATCTGATTAACACATATTACTACAGTGTACGAATTTTCACACACCGGTATTGAGGCGAAAAACCTCAATTGTTCCAATTAGATTCGACGATTGGGTATTCAGAGGGGGTACAAGTAGATCTCATCTTGGAAATTCCAATATGATAAGCATCTATGGAAACTAGATCGTGTTCCCCAAGTGAATCCAACCAACGTTTCCAGCAGGACAAGGCTACAGTTGTTAACAAACTTATCTATCCAGCTTTCCCCTTAACGCCTCGACGTACATCCATCTGCCTAGATTCTCCACCAGCTCATTCATTCACTTGCAACTATAAACGATCCCAAGAGTCTAGATGATGTTCCTGCACCACGTGTGTATGTTTATATTTACCAGATGCAGACTCGGTGCTCTAACAAAGTGCTGAAAGTCATTCGGTAGATGATTTGAAGTGGAACCGATATTGTGATCAGCCGTCGATGATATTGATATTGGGCCTAGATTACGTGCTAAAATGGCTATCATACGGTATCATGAGATGCACATTTGCCGAACTGGGACATCGAACACTCTGTATCTTTCGGTATCGTCCTCAATTACCTATACACCTCAGAAAAAAGCCTAAAATGAATCTTGAATTTCCCTCATATATATTTTCAGCTACAAGCCAAGAGCACCTGGATCTTTCCATTCAATCAAATCGAACAGAATGCGTTACACCAAACCCATCCCCCATGTCATGTAACCAAAAAATTCCGTTTCCTTTTATCCCTTGGCCAACCTTATGAACGCCCGCCTTCTAGCGCCCTGTACCGTGATACCGTACGAGTACTTGTACCAAGTCCGGCCCCATAGGGCGAAAAAGAAGGCTGAATCTCTGCATATTAATATAGTGCACACACACCCACCCACCTGTTGCATACACGCGGGATGTCCCAAGCGAAACACGAGGTATTGTGTCACGACACTTTTCCGCTTTGGGGACGAACGTCGCCAACGTCCGTTCGTTTGTGGGTACGGAGTGTGGGTGCCACTGGGTGGAGTCCGGTGGACTGCATCAATTGCATATGGAGACACGATGTTTCTCTTGATATAATTGATTGCGTATGCACATGGTGGAAGGTTTCTTGGCTACATGTGATTTTTAATTTTTATATGGTTGTTGATGGTGGGAGGTAGGGTCTGGGCTGGTCAGCCTTAGACATGTTTGGGGGTACAATATGTGTGTTGCATGTGGATAATATCGGGTAGGGCTTTCGGTAAGGTATATACGGACGGGTGTGATGTTATGCGTATTTGTCCTACGTGAATTAGATTATCCTTGAGTCGGGATAATCGAACCGAACATCTTTTACTTACTCATGATGTTGTTTTATGTTGAGATCTCTGCATTGTGGTGATCAACAAATACTAAGACAATGCTGATCTTCGGACATAGCTTGCCAGCTACTCACTCGCCCCAAACATGGCGCAACGTTCCATTGCATCATCATCATCATCATCATCATCATCATCTAAGTTTTAACAACTTACAAGTCAAGTAAGGCATATTTGATATCATTCTTTCTTTGACTTTCACAACTGCCCTATCACCGATATCAGTAGCACCGAAAGAAAGTTTCGGAGATATAACCTGATAATACCCGAAATCCTTCCCCCAGTTTCCCCTTGGAAAACTTAATCTCATCTCGTCTCATCCACCTGCATCTTTTTGATCCTCCATGGCCAAAGATATAATAGATGGGAGGATCGAGAGTAACACTATATGGGCAGAAATGAATCTCAAACGGTACACCCTGTATGTATCATCTACAATACTGCTCTTTAATTAAACTGCCGCGACACATAAAACATCACAGCATCTCGTAATAAAAGATTGACCACTTATCTATAGCGTTTTCTAGGGCTGGTTTTGAGTTTCGCCTAAGGCATAGATGGGGGCTCGGCTCGGGGAATCGGCGCCGATATTTAACCGATAAGGCGGGGGGTACAGAGTGAAGAACAATTTGGAATTTTCTAAATGTAAACAGACGCAAGCTTGAAGAAAGAAAACAAACCCTTGAGACTGCATACCAAGAATATTCTCATTATTATTGGACAAAGCTTCCCCCTTTTGCAAGTACAGCATTTGTTGGAGCATAAGCGAGATTCATTTCGAAAATTGATTGAGTTGGAGAAAGAGTTTGCTTGATAACGGCGGCGATATTCACATCAACCCCAACAGCTGGATCACCAGATTTGGAAACCGAATCACTACAGGAACAGCAGATACGGAAAGTCAGGAATTTGAGACAGAAATTGAGAATGAATACAGACCCGTCGAGAATATCTGGGGAGGATGAGTTGTATGTTGGAGGGTATGTACTGTTTCTTACTTTCAAGATGAAAAGAGAGGAGTTTGCCCCGCACACGTGATATCATTTTGTTTTCTTCCCTCTCTTGCTCATACCCTCTTGGAGTATCTCTATCCATCATTCTTATCTACTGTTATATCTCAATGGGAGAATAGAAAGGAAGATCTAACATAAAAGCAGTATCGTCTCATTAACAGAGAGCTCTCTTCAAAAGAACAATATCACACATATCGTCAGCGTTCTGAATTATGATTTCAAGAATTTCAATCTCGATTGGAGGAAGTATAAACAACTTCAGATCGAAGTTGATGATGTCGAGGACGAGAATTTGTTGGGGGAATTTGAGACGACCGGAGTTTGGATTGAGGAGGCGTTGAAGGGTAGTAGCGAGACCGAGGGAGAAGGAAATGAAATAGAGCGCGAAGGGGAGAAGAAGAAGGGAGGCGCTGTGCTTGTCCATTGGTAAGTTGGGATAATTTGTTTTGTGATCTAGAGGAGAGGCAGGCAGGATATTGTTGCTATCATTCTTCTCGGCGCAAGAGTTTGTTACAAAATAGAAAAGGAGAAGTCAAGTGACGCTCGCCTATCCTCTAATACTCCTTCTTTCAGATATTCCGCTCGTCTATACCAAACAAACCCTAACATTTCCTATAGCGCAATGGGACGCTCCCGTTCCGTAACTGTCTTAATCGCCTATATTCTTCGTCAATATCCCTCCCACACTCCCGCGACTGCACTCGCTCAGATTCAACAAACACATCCATTCGCCGAGCCCAATGATGGATTCATGGCTCAACTTGAATTATATCACGAAATGGGCTGTCCACGAAATGTAGTTGAGCAGTCTAAATATCAACGATGGTTGTATCAGAGAGAAGTGGAGATGGCTGTTGCGATGGGAGGACGACCTGACTGGGTAAGATTTGAGGATGAGGAGGAGCAAGATGGGCCGAAGGTGGAAGGGAAAGAGCAGGAAAGGGAGATTAGGTGTAGGATGTGTCGGTATGTTTTTCCAACTCATTTGTCTTTACTTCTTTCTACTTTCTCATCACATATTGTGATTATCGAGAAGGAGTAAAGAAGTTTATATATCAAGCTAACAATCCACCAGTCGCACTCTTGCCACACCTCTCTACCTAATTCCCCATATCCCCACCCCCAAACCCACCTCTACTCCCTCTTCAACCCTCGCCAACCCTCAAACAATCACCGTCTCCCCCCTTTCCTCCATACCCCACTATAACAACTGCACCCACCACTTTCTCAAACCCCTCTCCTGGATGCGTCCCGAACTCGATCTCGGCATCTTATCTCGAAGACTCGAATGTCCGAATCTCAAATGCAAAGCCCAAATTGGAAAATATGCGTGGCAGGGAATGCGATGTAGTTGTGGAGTTTGGGTTTGTCCAGCTTTTAGTTTATTGAAGGGTAGATGTGATGAGGTTACGATTGGAAAGAGAGTTGAAACGGCGAGCGGGGGTGCTGGGGTCATTAGATTACCGCCTGGGATGAAAGCGAAAGAGAGTACCGTGGAGAAGGGGAGTTTGTAATCTAACGTGGACGCGTTGGGGAGAGGGTCATGGTATTGGTAGCCATGCGGTCTCAGATGCGCGTATGCAGCGTGCATGTAGTTATGATTCTCATCACAGTACGCTGTAGCCATAGTACGGTACTCAACAAAAGTACAAGATGTGATAAGAATTCAGACTAGACTGGACTGGACTGGACTAAACTAGATTCCGGGACCACGGGTATGGCTTATTTCACTGTGTTTGTATTGTACAGGTTCCACTAGATACAATATATACAAACCTACCTACCTATCTACTTACCTACCTCTATATATGTACATGTACTAGATAAATAAACTCCAAACATAGTAAGACTTATACGCAAAATTCAGATGTAATTAATATACAGTGGCAAACAGATATATAAATATATGCCGGTAGATCAACATAATCCAATTACTCTGTTACCGGTAATTTGTCAAAAGTCAAAGTAGTATTATATTATATTTGCGGAATGACCAATGAATCATAATCGATATGTGATGGATTATCGGCCTGGTCTGGTCTGGCTTTGCCTTGCCTCGCCTTGTGTGATGTTTGTTGGGTTAGGTCTTATGCGGATGGATTATAGGTGTCAGGTTGATGCAGGATTGCGGCGTATGTGTGTCTATATTCTGATATGGAAGAATGAATTCGAGTACAGTAGATATTGTATAATTTTTATAAAATACATATCTTAGCTAATTGAATATAACAAATATGCTATATAAACACCCTACTATAACAAGATACTTCAAACAATGATACAACCAAACCCCCTCCCATAGACCCCTTCGTACCATTATTCCTATATCTTATCTTAGTAATTATCCCGTTTTCCCCAGTATCTGATTCCCTCTGCAGTTAGTAAGCACACACTTTCATAATCCACTAGGCTAGGATGAATCCACATGTTGTACAAAGAAAAGAAAAGCAATAACCTAAATCTAAGACACACCGCCGTAACGGCGTAGGATTAGGATCATTAGCTCCACTCCACTTATCATGTATATACAACGTTTTAGCTTGAACCAAGTTGTCGGGTCCGTATATACTTATGTTTACACACCGTATATTTAAGGCAACTATACGCCTATACTGTGAAGTAGTGAGGGAGGAGCTTGCGAGTTTGTGTTGGATGAGATGAGATCCTGAGAACGTCTGGTTAGAGACAAGGCAAAATGGATGGATGGATGAGTGGATGGATGTTGTGGATGACTCGGTTTGCGCGAGAAAGGATAGGGTCGGACATGTCAGATTCCATAAGCGGAATGGAGTGCGAACGAACGAACGAACGGATTTGGATGCGAATTTGTGTACCAACCTCAGGAAGAAAGGAATGGGGAATGAAGGAACCGAACCGAACGTGAGAATTGTAAGTATTGTATGGACTGTATGGACTGTAATGAAATAGCCGTGAAATAGCCAAATGCATATGGTATGCGAACTATCGTGTAAAAATGTGATAGAAATCCGGAAGGCTTTCGTTCGCAGTGGAATATCCGAAATGAGCGTTTCACCGATAGGAGACATGCTTGAGCATACATATGCAGTATACAGAAAATGTATGTACTCCGTATATTGACCAACAGAGGAAAGGTGTGCTAACTTAATCTGCAAGACATCATTGCGTCTAGCCAATAACTCGATTTTGATTACTGATGAAAAAATGTCCGGGAATAGCATTGCATTGCTAGATCTGCGGGGTAAAAGGATGGATAGTTATTCAATCGTCTGACTACCAGGTTGTAATCACTGAGCATGACGACAGGATAAGCATTCGATTGGATCTGGATATCATTTTGAACGCCTTACGACTAGTGAGATTGAGATCAGCAAGACCACGAGAGGGTCCGGTCCAGCAAGGCAAGATTTGATTTTGAATTGAACTAGATATTCTTTGGGAAATGTGAAGCGAATGGGAAATTTGAAGCGAAGCTGACGTCTAAATGAGCAGCTGGTAAGAACACCGCAAAGGATACACCGAAGTCGGGGTGAGTGGCTTCTTTCAAGGATTTCGAAGGCTGAAAATAAGCACTAACAACAAATTTTCAAGCGAACGAATATTGCAGGGGAAGGATGATGGCTTATGTTGCCATGAGATAGGCAGGTTGCCTTGTTCAACACATGTAAGCATGTACCTCTACGGCGTTTTTGTACGAGGTAGGCAAATTGCGGGATGATACCGGCCTTTCCCGGCTGCCTGGCAAGGAAGATACCGTTCGGTTCAGCCTAGCGACTGCCGTGAGTAGATCGATGAGGCTTTAATTACAGGATAGAAGTAGAAGGAGGATGTGATTGCCCCGATAAAAACCAATCCATCCATGCTCAACTCCAACTCGAATGCATTGACCACCTTCCCAACGGGTCGATCATTATGCAGTCAGCATAAAGACCTCGTGAACACTGAACATGTGATGCTGCAATTCTTCTTAGCCGTCAAATTATATGACGTGTACCATACGGCCCTACCAGTCGAAATGACCCCATAAACCTCATGTATTGCATTCGTCGGCCAACATACCAAGGAGTAAAACTTGCGCGAGGGAGGGTAAAAGTATGACTGTATCTAAGTGAATTTTTGGCATAACAGGGTTGCTCCCTCAACTCTCCCAGGCTCGTGAATGTAAGAATCGATTGTCTTGGCGAATACGGTTTGAAGCCCCTGATTTTTCGTTGCAACTTCTAGAATCATATCGGTCACGTGAAACATTGGTACTTCTGCGATAGTCCAGTCGAGGAGGGGTACCCGCTTAAGATCGAGATAAGTGTTCGAGTTCAAGGGAGATCTTTCGGGACTTGGGGAAACAGATTCGGGTTTTGAAAGCGTTCACGACTTCGTTTTGCAATCTCCGCCTGCTTCTTTCTGTCAAGTCTCTGCTGGTAGAATGCTTTTTTGAGAGAAAACACTCTAGGTTCCTGGTCCGGTGTTGAGCTTTGAGCCGATGATGTAGGAGTATCCGACTTTATCTGAAGATAATCAAGTCAAAGCTTAGTAGGTTTCAGACTGAGAATAGCTAGATGCCATACATACCTTCTCATCAGTCTTCTTCTCATCTTCTTTCCCTCCATCCTTTTTATCTTTAACGTCCTTCTCCTTATCGTCTTTCTTTGCAGTTTCTTTTTCCTTCTTTTTTCTCTGCTTCTCTTCGAATTCCTGCTTCACACGTTCGATTTCATCGTCCATTTCTTTCTTCTTCTTGGCAGCCACGGCAGCCTCATCTATGATGGGTGTAGCAAATCCTTTGTCCTTTAAATGTGATGGACATACATAGAAAAAGTCCTGAGAGAAAATTATTGAGCGATCAATTCCACATACAGGATGATATTATTCACCTTATTCTCTGAAGTTATCAGGACACTTGCACTAGGTTTATAGCAAATCTCACAAGGCTTAGAAGCAGTTTCGGCCACCTTACGATGAGTCCAGATATTAGGAAATGAGGTCATAATCGAATAGATAGATAGATTGACAGCCCTCAGATTCTGTGTTTCTTTCTTCTTCTTCTTCTTCTTAAATGAGGTCTTCGAGTCCTGAGGAAGGAGAGAGGAAAGGGGAGAAGAGAGTTGATATAAAACAGCAATTGATGAGTTGTCGTGTACCGTAATATCGAGAAACGAGGTTAGAGATATCGCAAGACGAACAAACGCTAGTAGGGATTAACCTTAGCAAAGTACCGACCTCCGACTTTCAAGTTTACCCCTCCTAATATTTTTTAATCTACAATCGCAACAACTCACTTATCGACCCGGTATTATCAATAGTTTCCTTGTATTCTCCTAACTTTCTAACTTTCTTCCTTTTCAAGCAAGCAATACCTATTACCGACGATAGACTTCTGTATTCTATCTTATTTACGTCAACTTTTGTGATCAATTCATTCAGCTTCACTCAGTCATGGCTTCAGAACAAGATCAAGTTAGAGCCCAAGGTACCAAGCCTGGAGAGAACATGTTGTGGGGTGGTCGCTTTACTGGTTTGTTTGACTCATATTTCTCCGTTTGAGCTCAATTTTGTGCTAATGCTTCAAAAGGTGGCCTTGACCCTCTCATGGTTTCCTACAACGAATCAATCTACTACGATCGTGTCTTCCACACTCAAGACATTCTGGGCAGCATTGCCTGGGCTCGTGCAAACCACAAGAATGGTATCTTGACTGAAGCTGAATTCGCAGCAATTGAGTCTGGATTGAAGCAAGTTGAGAAAGAATGGGTCGTAGGAACATTCAAGATCATTCCTGGTGTTGATGAGGACATTCACACTGCGAATGAGAGAAGATTGGGTGAAATCATTGGAAAAGAGATTGGAGGGAAATTACATACTGGAAGAAGTCGAAATGAGCAGGTTGCAACAGATATGCGATTGTGGCTTAGAGATGAGCTCAAAAAGATTGAGAGTTTCCTAGTGGATTACTTGAAGGTTGTGGCTGCCAGATCTGAGAATGAGATTGAACACATCATGCCAGGGTACACTCATTTGCAACGTGCCCAACCTATCAGATGGAGTCACTGGATGTTGTCGTATGGTTTGGCTTTCTCAACTGATCTCCAGAGATTACGAGAAGTGATCAAGAGAGTTAACCGATCACCATTGGGGTGTGGTGCCTTGGCTGGCAACCCTTTCAACATCGATCGAGAGGCAATGGCCAAAGAGCTCGGATTTGAAGGTCTTTTGTGGAATTCCATGTCCGCAGTTGGCGACCGCGATTTCGTGGTTGAGACAATGCAATGGGGCGCTACCCTCATGTCACATTTGTCAAGATGGGCCGAGGATCTTATTATTTATGGTACCGGCGAATTTGGCTTCGTCCGTTTGGCCGATGCCTACTCGACAGGAGTATGTACTACCTTCCGAGGGCTATATAATTTTTTAGCTAACGTCTACAGTCATCTTTAATGCCTCAGAAAAAGAACAGCGACAGTTTGGAATTATTGAGAGGTAAATCCGGCAGAGCTTTTGGTCAGATGGCAGGTTTGATGATGACAATCAAGGTATGCGTTCACTCTGGCATTTCCCAATTTTACAAATACTGATATAGATTTTCAGGGTCTTCCAAGTACCTACAATAAGGATCTTCAAGAAAGTGTGGAGCCGATGTTAGATCATATCAAGACAGTCGGGGACAGTATTCAAATCGCTACTGGTGTTCTTAGCACATTAACTATTAACCCAGAGAAGATGAAGGCCTCTTTAGACCCATTTATGCTTGTAAGTACATCCAAAGATCTGAGATATGAAAATCTCTTTGCGCCTAGCGTACCGCCAATGTGCTCTTGCTAATTAAGCGATCAATTTTAGGCCACCGATTTAGCAGACTATCTAGTACGAGCAGGTGTACCATTCAGAGAGACTGTAAGTAGCCTATATTTAGCTGAGTATGATGACACAGATACTAATATTAACAATAGCACCATATCTCTGGACAAGTCGTCGCATATTCCGAGAAGACTAAGATTCCAATGGACCAGTTGACATATGATCAATTAAAGAGCATTGACAGTCGTTTCAAGGAGGATGTCTCTGAATGCTTTGACTATGAGAAGAGTGTAGAAGCACGCCAAGCGGCTGGCGGAACCAGCAAGTCATGCGTTAAGGAGCAAATCAAGGTACTGAAAAGCATCCTTGGTTAAAAATTGATGGATTGAAATATGATGAATGGAGCTTGTTCAAATGCTCTGCTTTCGCAATGCAATGATCTAGTGCATTTTTAGTATTGTCGTTTGTTTTGATAGAAGCTTGGCGTAGACAAAAGTTAACGAGAATAATTGATACCATGACTGAATGAAAGTTCACAACATGCAAGATATCCGGTCTCGCATAGTATAGTCCATCTATATAATTGCTTTAATTGTCATTGTTATTATCATTGTCATCATTACTTTATTATACTCATACTGGCTATATACTATCTATACTTGCGATAGCTTTTCGGAGTAAATACAGTCTGCAGATATATCTCGTTCTCAGTCTCCTTAATGAGAAAAGGACCAAGCATTATTCTTGACCTTCTATCGTTATCTCTAGGTTTCCAGAGATAAATCGCCACTCTCGAACCGGGAATTGAATACCCCAACTAGCTGAATTTTTCTAGAACAAAGTAGCCTGTTGACCGTCATAAGAATAGTGCTTTGATTAGAATAGGATCCAACAGATCACATTGCTCCCTCAATTGCCCAACCAGGAGAAGAGCTATCAGCCTCAATTGCACATATTTGATCCAGCCCATTGATACTACTAGAAAAATATGCATAGGTAATATTCATCTGTTTCTTCTTATCCCTTCCAACTCACAATCTGCTTTCCTTTATTTAAACTTATTGTATCTTTCCAAACTCTTGATAACACTAATCTTAAACTTCTTTACACTTATTTCCAGATTACATAGATTGATTCGCTACTATCAAGGATATTCGTCTAACATAGTTTCCCCAATATCCTCAGAACTGTTAAATAGTTTCAAGGCTATACTGAATATCCATTCTCAAAACTTTCAAAAGATATCATCTCAAATTCTCCTTTCTAAACCTCACGTTTATTATAACTATCAGATAAATTCGCCAGTATTTGTTTGGAGTATATTTTTATTTATCTCCAAACTATCAAATCACCTCTAGACTTTCAGCCCTTCTTATCTTCAACTCTCCTTCTACCTTTGCAAATTCATCACTCAAAATCCGGTTTGGCTGTATACAATTTGTCTTCTACAATCTTGACTATCAAGGCACAGATTGAAAGATGAATCTTCTACAGCGGTATAGAGTCAAAATGGATTTTTTTGGTGAATGCCGTATGGAAGGAAGCTTGTTGAATGCTGTATGGAAACTTGCTCAATTTGCTTAAAGTTTACCTTTTTATAATAATAACAAACTTATTTTCAATTTACGTCTTATACCTTTACCTTGTTTCGATCTTGTTTAATAGAACGTTTGCTACCTAATACCAATTTTATTTTGCTTAGTTGAGCATTTTTCTCTATTTGACTCTTTCAACAACGACTATTTGCATTGCACCCATTTCCACCATTTTGGCAAATTCGACTCGCCTTGCTTATTTGCGTGACTCAATTTACAATATCCGCTATTATCAATCGCTCGACTCAATATACAGTAGTTTTGGAAACACCAATAACATAGCATATTGCAACGAAATTCATTCCAAATCTTTGGAAATCCTTTACCAATAAGTCCAACTTGAACTTGTCTGTAGAGGATGTTATACCAATTGCAAGAATGTGCCGTGGCATATTTGTACCATTTGGGAATCGCCCTCAGGACACAGAAGTTTACCAAACTGTTGCTCGGAAATTACATACAGCCAAAGAAAACCATTAGGGTCTTCACTTGAGTGATCAAAAGGTCGAAGCATTCTTTTACACTATACATTGTTACAACGTCTACTGTACCATTGAACCAAAGCTTTCCACTCAGGACATACTTATGTTGTGGTACAATAATTATATAAAGACTTTTATAGACAGAACCCACTACTTGGATTTTCAGAGGGATATCTATAAGGATTACAGCTCCTCCATACCTGATGACAATCAAAACATTAATATACAGCCACGTTTCGGGTCCTCAGCGGAACTCGAATCAGTTGCAAAAGAACAATATTTCTTTGCTTTAGTTTGCATAAAGAAAATAGAGAAGCTTCGGTTCGCAAAGCTTAGGGAAGATAGTGTCAAATTCAGTAGCACAGAAATGAAAAGTCTTATCAAAGTGTGTCTAGGGTGTACCCTTGATATAACAGAGTCGAATGAGGATTTATTGAAAAAGGGATTATTTTGCCTTGTATTCAAAGGGATAAAACGATTGTATAAAGGCTTATTCAATAGCAAAAATCAGATTGTGATTTACGAGGAAGCAATACTTTTCCTTTTAGCTGTTGCAGACATTCTATTTCTATAATCACTCTTTTCCAACAAAACTCCTGCAGAGATTGTCAATTACAATGATCAAAATAAAAGCCCTGTTGTATCGGGATTGGCAAAGGAGAAAAATGCGGAGAACAACATTGCGATACAATCGCTGATAACACTGGAACTCGAATTTGCCCTTAAGATACAAATTCTAGAGTATCTCATTAAAAAGGATAAACTAACCGAGGAAAATATTAAGCTCATCAAAATAGCCACAGAAGCTAATGATAAATTTAAACAATCACTAACTAAAAAACTTGCTGCAAAGGATCGGGAGATAGCCCAGAAGGAATCAGAAATGAAGCATCTTCGTGACTCTCACCATAACTGAAAGCAAGGCTTCAAGAATGAGATCAGCAAGCTGAAGTCAGATTTGCTTGTAAGCAAAGAAAAGCTTGATAAAGCTTTAAAAGAACCAGATCGAGTCTGTAACAAGTACTTTGCCAAGACACAGCGTTTGTATAAGAAAGTTTCCAAGCTTGAAGGAGAATTGAAGATTGAAACAGAAGTTTATGACATTACCAAACTAGATAATAAAGAAACAATCAAAAAACTGAAAGTATTGAAAGTCAAGATGGCCTGTTACAAAGAAGATCACAAACGTTTCGTTCTCAAGACAAATGAAGTGATCAATGAACATAACAAATTGCAAGCTGCTCACGTAATTCCAACTCAATTTGACAATGTGAAAACTAGCGAGATATCTCGTGCGGTTAACGAAGCGGTCAAATCTCTGCAGGTTACTATTGCGACATTGGAGATAATGATTATTAAACTTCAGAGCAAAACAAAACTCGAGAAAAGCCGAAAAGCTGTGACTGTAATCCAAGGTTTTGCTTTGCTAAAATCAAAATATAGGATATTAAGTGAAGATCTAACCCTGGAACACAATGCTCGAGTATAGAATAAGTTGTATCAGAATAATATTGAGATAGATTTAAAGGTTCATATTATTCACTATCAATTGCTTGCGAAAGCAGCTCAGAATAAGAAGAACGATTTGCAACAGCAGATAGAGCAGAAGTAAGAGCAAGAAAAGACAGTGTCCAAGGAGCTACGAAATCAGTATTCTTGAATATCGAATATGAATGATTTGCTCGATCAACTTAGTGAAATATAAAGTAAGAATACTTGGTTGAAGAGGGAGAATTCGCAGTTTAGGGAAGTTTTGGTGTTGATGTAGAATATTGGTATATCTTAGGACTTAGGTCTTGCCTATTTATTTATTTAGTTTAGTTAAGTTTAGTTTAGTCTGTTGATACAGTGGTAGCTTAATATTTAATATTTGACATTTGATATTTATATTTGATGCTTGATATATGATGTTCGAAGTTGTGTGGGTATGTATTAGGGGAGGGAGGGGACTTCTCATCCATCGCTATATGTAATCTTACATTACTATACTCCGGATTCTATATCATGAGGATACTCATATGGAAAAGGGATTTATTTGTATCAAATGGATATATATTATGTGGCATTTGAAATTAGACATGTACATCTGATCTAATCTCATTCACAGGTTTACTTCTACATATCGTTCCTTTTCCTTTCCTTTCCCTTTCAAAGTCTTTTTGAAGTCTGTATTTTTACGAGTAATGCAGCTAGCTATAGGTATTCATTCATTTTATAGCAATAGTTATATATACATACATGCTGTACATATACTCGTATATATAGACATATATAGTACCCTATATATATATTTTTTTGCAAATGTAGAATTACAAGTGTAACTGCAGCACAAGCTTTATTCAATTCATCGCAGCGCTATTTGACATACACGTACATACAGTCCTCAGAGGCTTAATAGTTTCAATCATCATCATCATCATCCATCTATTTAAAATTCAAGAACAAGGCTCCGAATTCGTTTTTCAAGTAAACTTAATCTTAATCGGGTTACTGTTCATCGGATCGGATTTTCTACCGATTTTCGGTTGGAAAAGGGGCTCGAACGAAAACGCTTTCACCTGATCACTACTTATATTTTCCTATATTTCTCTGTAAAAGTTCTGGAGACTAGGAATATCGGGAATAAACTTGCTATAGCAATATCGCTTCAAATGTATTTACTAGCTTGCAAGGATATCATCTACAAAGTAACTCGCAAGTTTCAATTACCGTTCTCCCTCGACTCTACTTAAGCACTCAAATGCTTCTCCGTCATCTCCGGTCCCCCACCCACACCAGTCAAAATAACCCTACTTACACCATCCTTCAAGACCTTTTGCGCTCTTTCATCAATATGCTCTGCACTCTTCCCCTCCACCTCCTTTCCATTCCATCCATCCACACCCTCAAGCACACTCTTTAACGCGCCAGCTACCGCACCCAAGTTCTCCTCCTCGAAATAAATGACAGCATTTGGACCCGCATCAAAAGTATACGCGGCAATCGTCTTTCCAGCTGCCGTATTAATATCCTCCACAGCTCTAATCGCTGCCCTACTGACATCATTTAGATAGAAAATCGGCGGGAAAGTATCCAAGCACGTCGCATGGAAACTATTACTTTCCATCATCGTAACCTTAGCGAATCCCTCAAAATCTTTCTCCTTAATCGCCCGCGTCATTTCCTTCATATGTTCCGGAACCACAATTTCCGCTCTCTGTTTAAACAATTTCGATGTCGCTACCGTGATTTGCATACCAGAGGTACTAGAGACCCCCTTTTTCTCCGCCGATACCACAAGGATAAGAGCGCGCATGGTAGGCCAGTGAGAAGCGGGCGCTACTTCCACAGCAACGGAATCCGATCCATCATCCTGACTTCCCATTTCCCAAGCCACATAACCCCCAAACAAAGAACGACAAGCCGAACCACTGCCCTGTCTCGCGATTCTTGATAGTTCAGTCGGGTTAGATTGTAATTCATAAAGATTCGCGATAGCTCGAACGAGCGCTGCGAAGCCAGCAGCGGATGAAGCGAGTCCTGCAGCGGTGGGGAAATTATTCTCCGAAATGATTCTTAAGGAGTAAGAGGAGAGTTTGGGGAGGGAGGAATCGGTTTTTTCGAGAGCAGATCGTAAAGAGCGGAGCTCGCGGAAACAGGCTTGCGTACGGGCGTTGGAGATGTCTTGGGGAGAGCCATTGAGGAGAAGGGAGTCTTCGGTGAAGATGGGGGAGCAGGAGGCGGTGGTATGAGTGCGAAGGTCGTTTTGGGAGAGGGTTACGGAGATGGAAGAGTTAGTTGGGAGGTTTAGTTTGGCATCGCGTTTTCCCCAGTATCTGGTAAGTGAGAGGATATGTTAGTTGAGGATTTTTGAGAAGGACAATAAAAATTAAATACAATGGGAATAAGGAGAGGCCCGAGAGGGGTAGCTCTACCTACTTAACTACTGCGATATTAACGGGAGCCGTTGTACTGGCTTGATATATCTTTGTGTTTGCCATTTTGATAGTATTATTGTGAATTGAAGGTAAAGTAAAGTATTAGGATTTATTTCTTGGAAACAATATACAAAGAGTATTTATTTCAATAGTCCTCTTCTAAGGAAATTAAACTCCCTCCTATTAACAACAACAAACCCCTCCAAAGCGGTGAATATCAACAAGGTACAAGGATTAACCAATCAATAGACCCGTTAATTTTGAGCTTCATCCGATTGAAATTATTCGTATTAACAATCACTTCTCACTCACAATCACCACATCACAAAAATGTCTAAAGAAGATCCAAATCAAGGCAAAGAAGCCTGTCCCGTTGATGAAGCAACACGTTCAGCGTGGCTAAAGAATAATTCCACCAAACCACCTTTTCCTGGCGCCACCCCTCCCTCAAAGCCAGGCCCAAGTTGCGATTCTTCAACCGTTGATCAAACCCCTGCACCCACGCAAAGCCCCTCAAGTTTTTTGTCTCGACTATTCCTATGGGATAATTCATCGTCCACTCCCTCTCAACCCCCATCCGCCCCCTCATCTGCTCCTTCACCCTCTCAACCCCGCCTAGGTATCGACCGCGAAATATCCACCATTCCCCGCACCTCCCCTTCACCCAGTGATACCCCCCTCACCCTCCCCCTCCACCCCATCTACCTCTACACCTCACCCCGCAAACTCCGAATCCGAATCCGGCGCCTCCCCAACCGGAAAATGGATCTATCCATCCGAAAAAATGTTCTTCGACGCCATGAAGCGCAAAGGCCATCAGAGTGACGCCGCAGATATGAAAACCATTGTGCCGATCCATAATGCTGTCAATGAGCGGGCGTGGAAGGAGATTCGGGAGTGGGAGGCTGGCTGGGGAAGTGAGAAGTATGATTCCCATATAGTTATATGATAGGCTGAGAACTAACAAACGCCAAGATGCGGTGGCCCCCGCCTTCATTCTTTCCTTGGTATTTCTAAGACCCTTTCTCCCAAAGCCCGCTTCAATACACTCCTAGGCTATACCGCGCCCTTTGACCGCCACGACTGGGTCATCGATCGCTGCGGCCAGAGAGTCGATTACATCATAGATTTTTACGCGGGCAAAGCATCTCCCGAAGGAGACGGAAAGTTGAACTTCTTTTTAGACGTTCGGCCCAAGTTAAATACGTGGGAGGGGTGGAAGATGAGAGCTTGGAAGGTTGTAAATTAGAAGACGGTGAGGATGAGGGAGGGAAACGGAGGGGAAGGGAGGGGGAGAATACAGATCAGAAACTCGACATCATGCGCCATAGCTACAATTACAATCACAGCTCATTTATTACTTCAGGTCGTCACAACTCAAAGATGGTCGGATGTCACGAAAATCATGGAGGGATTCGGGAAGTGGGATGAATGGTGATTGGAACCCAAAACACTTCAAATACATATTCTGCGATGTCGCCAGTCTACAATAGATATACGCGAAGTAGCACCGGAATAAGTGTACATCTGCAATCGTTGGAAAGGTCAACCCTCCACTTCGAGTCATCCACGGCAAAATTCGGTATCAGAGGATGAGGCGAGGGAAGGGACGGGAAGGGCAGGGAAGGAATAAGATAGCATGTACGATTAACGAATGAGATATATGAGATGGAAAGCTAGGTCTTGGATTGTAAACTTACTAGGTTGGTGTTATGGCGTTATTCTTGGACGGCGGCGGGACCTTTTGAGTCTTACGTTTTACATTGAAAGAGGTACGATTGAAGAGGTACGATTACCATTACCACTCTCTGCTCTGCTCTGCTCCAGTTCAGTTGAGCTGTACTATATATATACAATACATACAATACAGCCAGATGAAATGTATAGTGTATTGTGTATATTGAAAAGTGGCATCCCGAAGACTTCGAAACCTGCGTGACTTGTTCAAAGGTGACGATTATTAGATTTAATTTCAAAACTACGAGTACAGTATGAGGAGAACAGAAGTTGTTTATGTATTGTGCATGATGATGATGATGATGATGATGATGTGATGATGATTATGTGATGTGCTTTCATTGCCTCGATGAATACTGAGAAAGATACCAAGGATTTCATCATCAAAGGGTTCGAGATATAATAGAAGAATAGTATCATTTCCTTTCCATTTCCTCTTCCTCATTCCCTTCCTCTTCACTCCCTTTCCCCCAAGGAATAGCAAGTCTAGACCCAGCCCACACTTCGATGGCCGGCGTATCGAGATCCCAGCCCTTACTCCTCAGCAAGCTATACATATCCACTCGATCTCTATACGCGCACGCCGCACCCAGGGATTCTTCCATCCAATTCCTTACTTCTACACTGTTCATCTTCATCATCGATTTCCTACCCGTACCCGTAGCCGTCTCAGTCGCAGTAGCCATCGCAGTCACAGCCCACACCGCATGAAACCAAGCATCGAATTGGACAATCGGAGGCGCGTACGCTTTTAGAGCTACCAGGAAGGTATTTCGACGCTGGTCGTACCACATAATATATCCCTGTTTTTTGAATATATTATATAGATCCATCGTGATGGAAGTACCAGGGCTGAATTTGGATTTGGATTCTTGATAGCTGCCTGAGATAGTGGGATGGGATATCGAGGAGAGGATTTCCTGGAGGCTGACGCCGACTTTGCAATGTGCGAGGATGGCGCCTTGGATGCGGATGGCGCCGTCGCTTTCGAATATAAGTTCTTGAAGTGATACGTCTTTGGGGGATGGAAGGGAGATTTCTGGATGTTGGGTTGGATGTTGGGGTTTGCCGACGTATCTAGCTTCTTCCTTAATTACACCCGAGATTAAAGATGATATAACTAGATTTGCTCGTTGTCTATTGAGCGTACGCATGGTTACAGAGCGTACAGCCAGATAGTTTGTTCCCAGATGGACTGAAAGAAGAGCAATCAAAGCAGTCCACGTAGCCAATTGAGAGGAGATCCTAGAGACCACAAAAGTTCCGACTAGCATACCTAGAAGGGATATGAGGGTCTCCTGACTTGCATCTTTCTGTGATCATCTTAGTATTATTCCATTGCACTAAAAAGTTGAAGTATGTAAACTTACCGCATTCAGCTCTGCGAGATTTCCCTGTTTCGCAAAATGAGCACTCAGACTGGCTTTGGAGCTCCCGGCCGCAACGCCGCACAAAGATTTGCAGATACTCGAGACACTCAAGAGGATCACGCGTGGTACCTTGGGAAAGGCTGGCGATACGCAATCTAGAATCATGGCCGCGTCATTGAAGATATCGGCCATGAGACGGTATTTTTTGCATTCGGGTTCAAGGGCACTTCCAAGTCGGTGAGCGAATAGAATAGTCGCTATACGACCTGCCGATTCTTGGAGGACATTGAGAAGAACTGCACCAGTTGCAGATGCGGTGGAATCTCCTACGCCGAGTCCTGGAAGCCGGTTAGATCGTACGCCAAGCCAAATGTAGAAATAGGTACTCGAGTAATGTCTCGTTCCCGATTGACTAGATGTCGAACATGTTTTTGTGGCTATAAAAACTCTGAAGGTGATTGCATATCCTTTGACATCACTAACCACAATTTCGGTGTCCACTAGACACTTTGACCAAATCACTAGATTATTTGCCTTTAGAGATGAGGTTCTGAGAACCGGATATAGAAACCCTCTGTCAAGAACCAAAGGAGAATCAAACAATGGTTCGTAACAACAAGCGAGTTCGGAGACGAATGAATGAGGCGCGACCATATAGCAATAGGAACAGAAACAATAACCATACCTTGAAGTACAGCTCTACTCGCCAGCAATCCAGCAATTGTGCTAGCAAAAGCCTGAATGGAATCCTTTCTCCACCATTAGCACAGTTTTTTGCCTATCATCTCTCCAAGGTCTCTCACATAAAACTGATACCTATTTATGTTAGCTTACCGAACCCTCCTCTCACATACTGTCACGGTAGAATGAAATACTTACGCGGTATAATCATCTGTCACGCTATCAGGATATCCGACCGGCATGAATGCTCCGACTATACTCATCACCCATGTGGATGGACCTTTAGCAATCTAGCTTGATATTAGTTGATGATCTCCTAAGACATGTAGGAAGAGCACGTACGTCGACATCAATTCGATCACTTTCTTCGCCGTTGGAGGTGGTATGTGAGTGTATGTATGTTGCGATGAGTTTTCCGGATTGGTTTATCTCTTTGATTTCAAATGGGTGGTCATCTTTGACTTGAGCATATTCTCCTGAGGTAGACATGATTGCTAGGGATGTTTGTATGTATCATTGATTAATGGAATTTCGTATCGTGGCATTGGTGATTGGATATTGAAGAATGAACAGATACTCCGTATTCAGAATGCTTTAAAAATTATTGCAACTTTGACATGCGATTTATGCTGTATATTGTGTACTCGTAGTATAGAAATGTTATATCAAATACAACACTAATATCCGAAATCCTGCAAGGTAGTGAGGTAGCTTTAGCTTCACTCCTCTCACCCAAGCAAGTTCAATTTAGAATCATGAGTTGTACACGTGATACAATATAATGTAATATATTCTGGTCTGGTTTTAATATTTGGTATATTTTTCCTTCATTCAATTCATCTCAGGAGGCCACCCACCACCCCTCAATAGAACATCCCAAAAACCAATACTCCAGAGTAAAGATCAAATTATAAGTGGTCCAAGGTCAAAGTTTTTAGAAAAGGCATACATGCTGCTCCGACTCCCCCGCAGAAGTAGCTTTTCCATGCCCCTCGTCCCAACCGCAGCTCTTTCGTCCACCCCAGACTGCATGCGTGACCGTGACTTGGAGCTTGTTTGCCTCTGCCCGAGAAAGCCTCTATTGATACTCATTCATCTATCGTCAGATCTTCATGAAAGTCGTCGTTTTCGCGGGTATATCCTCAATTCCGTCACCTTTCCATAGCCAGACATAATTATGTACAATAGTTTTCTTAATTCTTGAAGTTTCAACTTAGCAGACAACGGTAGCACCACCGGTTTCGATAGCATCAATCTCGGCAAGGTCAATTGGAGTACGTCGGAAACGTGCAGGGAGCTCGTTTCGATCAAAGTATTCGCCCTTGCTTGGAGCGACGGAGCCTAGAGCCCTGCCGGAGAGTGAACCGATCGTGCCGTCATTCCTGGCACTGCGACCGAGTGGACCATGTTGTTGGGCCTTCTGTCTATAGGAAGAGAATGAAGGAGAGGAAGACTTTTGAGCTTCGGAGAAGCCTGCTGGAAGCTCGTGGGTTGGGGATGCTGGATGTGGTTGAGCAGAGTGGTCGATTGAAGCTATTAAATTATTAGAATGAATTGCAGAATGTGATTAAGATAATGGACAAAACATACAAGGAATTGATCTCTTGCCCATGAACTTGATCAATGGAGTCCGCTCCGAGTGAGCAGCAGCAGCAGAGGCTTGACGGAGAACTTTGGTCGCAAACATCTTGATAGTTGGGAAGATCGGAAGTTATCACAAAAAGTAAAGAGAATTGTAGATACTGAGAAGATGTGCGACCAGGGAAAGAAGTTCAAAGTCGTTTGCCTCTGTTTGACTTGCTGGAAATTGTTGATTGAAAGTTGTCAATTGAAAAGAGGTCGGAATTCGAAAGCTTTGAGATGATTGTGGGACAAGATTCGGGATTCGGATGGGGGGATTTGGATAAGCTAGTCTACGTCCGTTGGTAACCGGATATGAGAATTGGGGGGGCCTTGAATTTTGATTCTTGTAGACGATGTAAATAATGTACTGTAATGCTTTTCTTTTTCAAAGGAAATAGCAGTTCCAACACTCTTTAATAGAAAGAGAAAGAGGTTTGTTTCTGTTAGCGCGGGGTTAACCATAAGAAAGGCCACCTCCGATAAATCTTATTTCCAGTTGCAAGTCATAATAATCATGCTCAGACGACATCAAATTATCAATCAACTGTTTTTTTTTCTTATCGGACATCCGTTCTTTGTTATCCATTGGCTGTCCACCAATGGTCCGGTCAAGTCAATGGCGTGATGTACCGGTATATATGCATCAAGGATCTAATAAAGTCAGAGCATTTCGTTCCCCATAATCCTCGCAGCATTTTATGAACAAAAGAGGCTTCATAGTGCAGGAAGGGTACTCTACAACAGGAATAGCCTAGTTTTTAACTTCCCGAGTTGCAAACTTTCTTAGATAGTCTTCACAAGCCAGATATGGTTGATTAGGACAAATCATTACTAATCTCTTAAGCGAGACTGATCATTATTAGCTTATTGGCTCATCGATCAAATGAATCATGATCCAAATGAAGCTCGAGATCCCCCTCCATCAGCTATTTCAGCCTTGATCGCCTTGTCTGGTTTCAAACATTGGGACGGGGTCTGGGGAAAGTTTATGGAGTAATACAGAAGGATTCACAAACTCGGATTCACTCAATATCTAATTAAGTGTTGGGAAAGACTCTGCTTCCATAATACCAACAGCACAGTTGATATCTACTAGGTACACACTATCTCTTCAAAAAAAACACTTACTCATTTCGATCTCTCCAAAAGTATACCGCATTAAGCAAAACCTTGCACTCTTGCACTCCTCGAGTAAGACTTTCCAGCTCCGTATTTTGGCCGCCTCTAAAGTCAATTCATCCTTGCCAAATCATTATGCATGAGCTTTTCCTTTCAGCATCGGTGGATAGCGAAGATGTCTCCCGTGCTCTGCGTTTACTGCAAGGCTATTGTGGTATGATCCCACAGCACTTTATTCGACGACGGTTAGTATTCGAAGGTCCTCGAAGCCGGAACAATCTGAAAGGTCTTGATCCCTCCTTTCTCAAACAGCAATCGCCAAACAAACAGTTTTGGTGGAAGAACCTTAATGATCAGCTGATTCGACAATCGTATGTTCTCACTCTTATATATGATGTTGATAGGAGTCAATTTGGTCAGCCAGAAAAGCAGGTTGGTAGTGAAGAAGGTAAACTGTAAGTACTTTTAATTGCTCGCGTTCCAAAGAATATGTCAATTCTAAATGCATGTCTATATCTCTCAAATATGGCCAACTAATTACGAACAGGGGTCTTTTACCATGTGATGAGGTTCCAGGTACATTACGTTGGACCGATCTCCCCGATCCAGCAAATGCTGCGATTGTGAATAGTAGAGTGTTCATTGCGATTGAGAATGAAAGGTCACTATGTAAACTCCTGCAAGCAAGCAGTCACCGGTATGTTTAATCACTATTAGCCAATCATCATCAGTCATTAAATATCAATCAGATTCACGCGAGAGATCATCCAAGAATGCCACCGGACGGTTCACCATAACATAGTATTCACACTTAGTCGATACTTTGAAATACCTCCCGAATTCCAAGAAGTTGATGGCAACTCACGGCCCAAGGTCAATACCAGGTTGCCTCCCTTTGAATTATTGGAGCCGTTTGATACTGAAGACAAATGGATCTTAACTGCTAGCGTGGAGGTCCAAAACGGAAATGATCCTGATCATATGAAGAGTGCAATGGCAGAGTTATCGGGAGCCCAAGAAGAGTTTAGAGGATGTTTTGCATTGAAAGCAGCAGATAGGCATACCTTTGACACCAAGGTAAAAGCTCAGTCGTGAGGGAGATACGTCGTAAGATGTGCTGTGATTAGAGAGGAATAAGGGGTCGTCTTTGAGCCGCTTGACCCGGGATGGGAAGACATTCTTGAGTAACAACGATTTGCTCCTTTGGCTGTGCATCATGTGTGGGAGCTGCGACGAAGAACGATACGTTAGGAAGCCAACATAACCGATACAAAAGAATGAAGTCAATTTCGTGAAAATGTTGTATTGTGTACACCAACGTTCCCCCCACCCCTCTAGTTTTGAAATACTAATTGATTCATAACTGCCAACCCAATGCAATATCCACCAACACAATCTTCTATTGGTTTTTGTATGTTTGCCACACTGCAATGCCGAATGGAGCACCTATAACTAACATTAGTATGACGCTAACATCTACTCCTCGGAGGGAATTGCTCTCCCCACTCACCAAATCCAACAGCCATGAATCCCCAGTATCTAAACGCAAAATATTTCGTTTTTGGGTTGAATGGGAGGTTGCTTCGTGGTCCCTCAGGGTAATGGTATTGTGAACTCATTTGAGCACGGGTGGAGTGGAAGCCACGGCGGGCGACCATTGAGGTTGTGGAGGATGCGCGGACTGCTGCTCGGGATAACATCTATTAGAGAACGTCAGTAATCGTTTCTTCTGCGGTTCTCTAGACAGTACGGCATTACCTTGAAAGATTGGGATCTGATTTGTATAGAAAGGAAACAGTCAATCGGATGATTTTGATGAAGCTCGGTTTGGCACTAGTGCGGAAGGAACAAGCCAGCCAGAAAATTTAGTGCCTAAGGCTAAAAAGGACGGGGACTTTATCTGATAGGGCGATAGTAAAAAAATATCTTTGTTGCTTTCGCATCTTTGACTTTTTTAAAAATATCAACACACCACAATTACTTCTATCAACCTAGTTGATGTGGTAGGATATACTTCAGTATGGATGACCTGTTCGACGTATTCGACGATAAACCTCAAACGGCAGCTTCCAGCAAGCCCAAAAAGGCAAAGAAAGATAAGAAAGACAAGAAAGACCGCAGTAAGAAGAGAAATGCGAATGGAGATGTGAAGCCAATTGTTGATGCGCAGGATGAGGACTCCGAAATGATTGATGCTGAGGATCCAGCGGTAGAAGCAGATGCAGAGGAAGAGGATATTGAAGAAGTGGACGACAATAGAGAAGCAATCAAGGCCGCAAAGCGACGCAGAAAGGAACTAGAATCCGAACCGGTGGTTACAGATGCCTTCGAGACAGCACAATCGCGAGAACTGGCTGCTTCAGCAGGATTGCAGGGTGCTCCGGAGGAAAAGCCATTGGTACTACAGCACAACATCCAACATCAGGTTTCCCTACCTCCCGATTACGATTACGTTCCAATATCACAGCACAAGGCTCCCGAAATACCCGCTAAAACTTGGGCTTTCGAGTTGGATCCTTTCCAGAAAGTTGCCATTGCATCAATTCAGAGAAACGAGAGTGTATTGGTATCGGCGCATACTAGTGCAGGAAAAACAGTTACAGCAGAATATGCGATCGCGCAATGCCTCAAAAATAATCAGAGGGTTATCTACACCAGTCCCATCAAAGCTTTGAGTAATCAGAAATATCGAGAGTTTACTCATGAATTTGGAGATGTTGGTTTGATGACTGGAGATGTCACAATCAACCCAACTGCGACCTGTCTGGTTATGACAACAGAAATTCTGAGATCAATGTTGTACCGTGGATCCGAGATTATGCGCGAAGTTGCATGGGTTGTCTTTGATGAAATTCATTATATGAGAGACAAAGCCAGAGGTGTGGTTTGGGAAGAGACTATTATCTTGTTGCCAGATAAGGTCAGATATGTCTTCTTGTCTGCAACTATTCCTAATGCTATGCAATTCGCGGAATGGATCACAAAAACTCACAATCAGCCATGTCACATCGTGTACACCGATTTCCGACCTACTCCCTTACAGCACTACTTTTTCCCAGCTGGCGCAGATGGTATCCATTTGATTGTCGATGAGAAGGGAAATTTCAGAGAAGACAACTTTTCAAAGGCCATGGCAACGATAGAGGATAAGAAGGGCTCTGATCCGGCTGATATCAATGCAAAGCAAAAGGGACGTGGTAAAGACAAGAAGACCAACAAAGGCGCCAATAAGGAGGGTTCGGATATCTACAAGATTGTACGAATGATCATGTTGAAGCATTACAATCCTGTTATTGTTTTCAGTTTCAGCAAAAGAGAGTGCGAGGCATATGCGTTGCAAATGAGCTCCATGGCTTTCAACGATCAATCCGAAAAAGACATGGTTACGAAAGTTTTCGAAAGTGCAATCGAGTCTCTCTCGGTAGAGGACAGGACCCTACCTCAAATTCAACACATTTTGCCATTGTTGAGACGTGGTATCGGTGTTCATCATTCTGGACTCCTCCCCATTCTCAAGGAGACCATTGAGATTCTGTTCCAAGAGAATTTGATCAAAGTTCTATTTGCTACAGAGACTTTCTCTATTGGCTTGAATATGCCCGCCAAGACTGTGGTCTTCACTAGCGTTGAGAAGTTTGATGGTGAGAAGATGCGATATCTGACACCATCCGAGTTTGTACAAATGTCCGGTCGTGCTGGTCGTCGTGGTCTTGATGATAGAGGTATTGTCATTATGATGATCGATGATAAGATGGAACCAGAGAGTGCTAAGACAATTGTACGAGGAGAGCAGGATAAACTCAATTCAGCTTTCTACCTTGGTTATAATATGATTCTCAACTTGATGCGTTTGGAAGGAATTTCACCGGAATTTATGTTGGAGCACTGTTTCTACCAGTTCCAAAACACATCAAGTGTCTCTGGTCTGGAAAAGGAACTCCAGGATTTGCAAATTGAAAAAGATGATGTTCAAATTCCAGATGAAGCAACTATTAAGGATTACTATGATCTTCGACAACAGCTTACCTCATACACCAAGGATATGCGCGATGTCATTAATCATCCCAATTATTGTCTGCAGTTTATGCAGCCAGGACGAGTCGTTCATATCAAACATCAAGATCATGATTTCGGTTGGGGAGCAGTCGTCAAGTTTACACCACGTCGACCTGCTAGGGGATCTGCGGAACAATTTCCCCCACAACAATCATATATCCTCGATGTGCTCCTGTTGGTTTCTTCAAACAGCACCGTTGTTACACAAACACAAAGCGATCTACCATTAGGTATCACACCACCTGGAGAGGGGGATAAGGGCAAGATGGAAGTTGTGCCAGTACTTCTATCATGTGTTGAAGCCATTGGGCATGTTCGTATCTTCCTTCCAAAGGACCTCCACTCAGCCAATGAACGAAACCAAATTCGTAAATCTCTAGAGGAAGTCAAACGCCGTTTCCCAGATGGTATCGCAGTCCTTGACCCGATAGAAAATATGGGTATTACAGATGATTCTTTCAAGAGACTCCTTCGCAAGATTGAAGTTCTTGAATCCCGTCTACTCTCCAACCCACTTCACAACTCTCCACGTCTCCCAGATCTCTACGACCAATATGCCGGCAAACTTGACATCACCAAACAAATCAAAGAAAAGCGTAAAGCCATCACCTCGGCTCTGAGCATCATGCAACTCGATGAACTCAAATCCCGCAAACGTGTCCTCCGTCGCCTCGGTTTCATCAACGAACAAGAAGTCGTGGAACTCAAAGCTCGTGTCGCATGTGAAATCTCTTCCACAGGAGATGGTCACGAACTTCTCCTCTCTGAACTCCTCTTCAATGGATACTTCAATGACTTGACCCCGGAAATGTGTGCAGCTGTTCTTTCGGTTTTCATTTTCGAGGAAAAGAGTCAAGCACCTCCACTCTCAGAGGAATTAGGTGTTAAATATAGGGAAATCCAAGCTCAAGCTAGGATTGTCGCAAAGGTTACTGCGGAGAGTAAGTTGAAGATGAATGAGGAAGAATACGTGACTAGTTTCAAGTGGCAACTTATGGAAGTGGTTTACGTATGGGCACAGGGAAAGAGTTTTGCGGAGATTTGGTAAGTTTTTCTTAGTTCTCTTCCTTGCTTCGATTCTTTCATACGTGATAAAAATGCTAACACCACCTTCAACAGCAAAATGACAGACGTCTACGAAGGATCTCTCATTCGTCTCTTCCGTCGTCTCGAAGAACTCCTGAGACAAATGGCTCAGGCAGGAAAGGTGATGGGTTCAGAAGAGGTCTCGAGTAAATTCGAAGAAGCGCTCAAGAAAATTAGGAGGGATATTGTTGCGGCCCAGAGTTTGTATTTGTAGACTTGTGATGGTTCGGACCACAACAACAGTCTTACAGATCAAGATTTGAAAATTTGAGTCTCAATAGTTCGTACATTAATTTGGGGTGGTGGTGGATATGTTTTTCTGAGGTATCCTTTTTTGTTAGTTCAGGCCTCTAGGGGAGTATGGGTTTTAAAAATGCTTGCATGGATGGTGAATGGAGTTTATTTTTATTTTATTTTGCATCTTGCATCTTTTCTTCTGGTTTTGTTAGGAGGTGTGGAGATGAGGGGGTGTGGAAAAATTTGTAGAGCGGGTTTCTCGAGATTTTCTCCCAGAAGTTGAGATGCGAAAGGAATGGAGAGGAGTGGATGAACGGGAGGTGGATTGCATGTGTAGTGGGTGTGATGGTTGATGGTTGGTGGATATCTTCTAAAAGTCATAGTAGTAGAAGAGAGAGGGAGAGGGAGAGGGTGAAGAAGTCTGTATTTATTCCTAAGCTTAGGATGAGATTAGATGATAATATACGATTGTTTGACATGGTGATTTTGAGTTTTGAGTTTATTGTGTAGTCATGGATGATTCTTGGATGTTTTGGGTGATTTGAAGTGTGTTTGGTTGGGGTTGGGATTGTGCTGGTGGATTACATGGAGGCGGGGGAGGGATTGGAGGGGTTGCTACTATCCGTATACGCAAGTAGATGAGATAAGAGATGAGATGAGATGGGATGGGATGAACTGGGTGAGTATCTCATATTTGAGATACAATACAATCAGATCAGATGGGCGAAGCATAGGTGAAGCATGGGTGAAACTTGCATATCATATCTGGTATTCGGTATTCGGTATTTGGTACACTGTACTCTTTTCTTCTTCTTTGGGATATACGCACCACGCACGGCACACACGGCACAAGCAAGACGCACGATGCGAGCTCAACTCGGATGAATGGGCTCCATAAATCAAATCAGATCAAATCAAATCCCCGACTTCTATCTGTCAGCCCCATCCCCTTCGTTTGTTTGTCTATCCTTGAAATTTCTTTCTCATGGATGGAGATGGATGAATGAATGGATGGATATGAGGTTCTTCTGTATATATCATGTAGCCTGTAGGGCGCCGCCGGTGTGGGTTGGGCGAGATGGATCTATATACTACTAGTCTCTAGATCGTTGCCAGTGTCTTTATTTTTGGATAATTTTTTTCGGTTGGATCTAGGTTGAGAAATGGGGATATTGGGATATTGGGGTTGGGTTGGGCTGGTGTTGAGATTTGGGTTAGAGTTGATGATTGAGATGATAATAATACTAATATTAAAAGAAAAAGATATTTTATAGATTTATATTATAAAGTACTAGTATAATCGTTCAAGTTATCGATATATAAAAATAGAGATAAATATATTTATATAACTAAAGACTTTATTTAAAATTATTAAATCGATAAAAAGAAAGAGTATTTATAGAAAGAAAGAAAAAAATTAGTTTTTTATTATTATTAGAATTAATAAATAGATTAATTTTAATATAATAATCTAGTAGAACTTAAATATAAAGAGAAATGAATATTTATTAAGGAAAAATCAAGAAATCAAGAAGCGAGAAGCGAGGAAACTATCTAAGATTAAAAGAAGAAAAAAAGCGGTGGAAGAAATAGAAGTAATGGAAGGTCTAGATTCAGCCATGGGGCTGATGTATACATCTAAAATGTGCCTGAGAATAGGAAGTGCATTTTCCTGTCATATTTTGAGTTACGTATGTATTCGAGTAGGGAGATGGATAGATAAGACGGAACAATGAGATGGGATGAGACAGAAGATGGGATAAGACGGAATTAGATGGATGAAATGAGATAGGATGGGATAAAATCGAGTGATATATATCTGATATCGTTACTGTAATCAAATATAGATCAAGAATCTTTTGTATAAATATTTCTGTGCACTATTCAGAATGTACAGTAAATATTTATGGAATCAACGAGATCAAACCAGATCAAACCAGATTTTGTACAGAGTACAATCTCTTTATGCAAGATTATCAAGCCCCTGAATCCTACCGGTAGAGTGACATTCGAGAATTGCCTTGTCTCGCCTACCTCGCCTGCCGCTATCCTTCCTTTCTCCAGGTACTTTAATCCATCCCCTGTCTTTTGTGGAGGAAAGAATTGGGATTTTGGTGATACGTGAGTTGTTTTCGATATATTCTCCTTTTGGAAAGTTTTGAAACACATGTTATTATAACTTAACGCATTTGGCTGATATATCTATAGATGGATGAATGGATGGGATGAATAGATGAATATAATTGTTTAGAACTCATCTATCAGGGACTCGGAATCTGTGTAATTATAAGACTGTACACTAATAAACGGTTTTGGTAGTGACAGTTCTTGTATCTCGTTGTACTACTGCACCTGAGAGGGTTGGGTTCTAGGCGTTGGAACTGGATCACGGTAATGCATCTTTCCCCATCCCGTTTTCGGACCCGGATTTTGGTTTGAAATGGTTTTGCCACGCAATACTGTAATGAATTGGAATAGGGATAGGTAGGTAGGTAGGTAGGTACCTGGTAGGTGAGGTGAGGTGTATTAACTATACTTGTTTGGTGTGCATTCGCGTATCTACCTATGTTACGCATTTGAAAGTTGGGAGGACAGGCAGGATGGGCTAGTTTTAGGTTTGAGATGAAAATGAGATGAGAATGAGATGTTGGAGTTCTTTTTGGGGGAGGGGTTTTGATTCTTTGGGGGTAGTCTTTGATTCTTTGAGTTGTGTTCTTATGTGATCTTGGTGCTCGAGTAGTACCTGTACTGTAGTCTTATATTTGAGTCGTGGCGGATGAGTCTATTGAATGGATTTGAATGGAGATGGAGTTAGTTGTAAAAGTAGTGCTGAGTATCGTGATCAGTAAGGAAGTAAGTAGTACTTGTAGGAATTGAATATTGATTCATATGAAAGGTTTCTCGGCTCGGCTGATGGTTATAAATACATGAGATATATGACATTCATAGAATGAATACAATGGTAGGATATCTGTCATTGGATTGACTCAAACTTGTTCAAGAAGAATGCCAAACACCATTTCATCCATTATAATTCATATTAGTTGCAAATTGCAATTAGCATAACTTGGAGGAAGATCGACAACCGCTATACCAGGTTCATAATCACTTTATTTTACTGATCCCTTCTTCAAATCCTGAGATCCTCAATGAGTTATGATAAGTTCCTTGTTTGTCTGACAAATGATATTCAGATATCGGTGAACGCGAGGGCGTTTGTGAAGGATGGATTTGATAGGAGGATGGATGAATGAGAGACGATTGATAGTGATTTGAGTTTTTGAAATGGATTGATCCTATCTACCTAGTAGAACCCACAGTATCTATACTTTGTAGTTTTCAAGATGTATAGAATGGAATACCTAGATATACATAATACAATAGATACAATAACTGGTCTAATATTGAGTGAATCATATTATATTATTCTATTTTCTGAAAATCCAATTACCTATTTCAGCTAGATAGATAATACTATAAAGATTTCTTTTATTTCAAACATTCCACAAACACAATAATTCATCCAAAAATAATTACCAAGTACTACCTACCTATGCAATCAACAACATTCCCTTTCCCCCATACAACAACTTTACATCCTTCTCCAGGAATCATTCTTAAATCATTCAATTCAAATTAAACTTTGTCAATTCACTCAAACAAATAATATCCAGGTTCATACAATCGCATCAGATTTCTTGGATCTTGGAAGAATTGACTTGGTTCTTGTTCTCCTTCTTTTTCCTTTTCCCGAGGTTCAACTTTCCCAGACTTTAATAACTATTGCCGGTATTAATTGATTCATTGATTGATTGAATTGATTAAACAACAGTGGAGTGAGTGCAAGGGGAAAGTACTTCAAAGCTTCGTCGTCCACCGTATTTCAAAGGGGTCTGATCTGCAAATCTTCGTTTCTAGCATCAACCTTGGTTCCTCTTCACTTCACAGCCTGCCTCTTCAAGATAGGCCACCAAGCATCAAAAAAGAGCTCAGAGATAATAACATATAAGTCGGGAAAAGTGTGCAAGTTTTGCCTTGTCCCCGAGATTACAAGGAACTTCTTTTCTCTCTTTATCCATGAAACAACATCTGATCAGATCATCCCTGCCTCCAGTCTAGTAACTTTCTCCTGAAGTTCATTTGTGGTAATAGCGCCCACCACTCTTCGATTCGATGTCATACTGAAAGGGCTTTTCAGTAAATCTACCACTGGCAAATCTGCCAATACAACCAACCAACTTATCTTCAATCCCCCCAAGAAATATTTTGAATAATTGCTACGAACCAATATCCATTCATTCATTCGCCATGGATAATAATTCTACTTCGGCTCCTCTCGCAGATTACTTCTGGATCGCGGGGATCGATTCTTTACAATATGGACCCGAGGTTTTCCCCTCGAACACAAGGGATAGATCAAACAACAATATACAAGCACCTCCTTCTCCTCAGGTCGATTCTACAATAGAAGAAGGTCCTGAAGGTGAAAACTCACCTCCTCCAAACACCAATCGAGCTTCAGCACGCCATTCCCGTAATAACTCATGGAATCGGCTCAGCAAACAACCTTCGCACGAATCGCGAAGCTCTATATCCACTCTCGATGAGTTTGAAGGGACTGCTAGCAATCGAAGTAGCATGACAATCAAACCTGGTGAACCCGAACCCGAACCCGAACACATCAATGGTAATGGTAATGGAAATGGAAATGGAAATGGAAATGGAAATGGAAATGGTACAAAGGGCGAGGGAGGATTATTTGGAAATTTCGATTTCGATAAGGCGCTCCTCAAGTTTGCGAGCGAGCGGGAGAACTTCCTGGATGATTTGAGCTTTAGCGGTGGAGCCCCACCACAAGCTGCTGCTCCTATGACGAATCCGAGAACTTCAAGATTAAGAGTGGAAGATGCAGAAAATATACATAGGAGGAGTCCAACATTAAGGAGTGTGGGTGGAAGTATCAGGAGAAGAATTAGTTTCCGAGATCTGAACAGCGTCAAGAGACAACCTTCCATGGCAGGCAGAAGTAGTAAGTCTGACATTCTGTGTTCCGATGTAGCACATATATTACATGCATTGCATGCTTGGAGGATCTGAACCGCAAGCCCCTCAGATCTTTAAATACTTATACTGACAACATAAATAGCTTCGGTCCGAACTTCGAGACGCCTTAGCAATTATAATTCCGTCATTCCTCCTCCAGAGCCACTGAACCTCGACCCTGACATGCACCCATTGAAACGACGTTTTGAACCAGTTTTACTCGATCGATATCCACCGAAACATGCGACGGAGGAATTACCGAGGAGAGGTAAATTTCCCGATTACGTCCCTATGTTTGCATTTCCCAATGATATCAATATTGTTTCTTCGGACGAACGACCACGATCGACTTGGCATGGATTTGCTATGACCTCGGATGATAATTCCAAAATATATGGTATTACTGTACTTGTTTGGAAACCATTGGATCAAGAAGCGGCCGAAAATGTTGAAAGAAGATGCGAGGCTTGGAGACAAAGCCATATGACAAATGAGGAACGAGAGCTTGCAGCAAGTTTGGGAGAACGATTGGCTGCCGAGCGGGCGTATCTTTCACAGTTGTTAGCAAAATTGCCCGGTGTTGTTTCTGGCTCAACTGCTAGAGAACAATTGGAGGAGCAAATTAGTGCAGTGGAAGAGAAGATTACTCTGATGACTGACATGTTGAGGCCTGTCAGACACGGCGCAGCAGCCAAAATCGAGGGCTTGACTGATGGGGAGACGGGACTTTGGATACCAAGAGCATATGGAATTCTTGGCAGAGATGGAAGTATGACAAGCTTCTGGAAGGAATGGCTGAAAGCTGTTGTGGTACCTATGACAGATGGTGGAATCCTGCGAGTCCCTGCAAGCTCGCCAAAAATCGGTAGATGGCAACCCCTGGAGAGATATGTTGTCAACTTGTGTACCGAAGCACTAAGCCCAATATCCTCGAAAACCCAAATCGAAATCGCAGTGCGAGAGCTACGACTTTTTGCACGTAAGGAAGCACCAAATGAATTACCAGAGTCACGAAATACGGATATTTATGCACTATTTAGAGCTTTGAGTATACCCAATATCGTTGCTCTGGTAGAATTTATGTTGTCGGAATCTAGGATCATTTTACTCTCATCTCATACAGCTATGTTACATCTTGCTAGTAAGGCCTTGGTCAGTCTTCTATACCCACTCAAATGGGCAAGCATCTTCATTCCAGTTCTACCTGCTAGGTTGATTTCCGCGCTGGAAGCACCTTGTCCATACATCGTTGGGGTTGAGAGGAGATATGATAATATAGAGCTTCCGGAGGATGATTATGTTTTCGTGGATCTGGATCAAGATACAGTGGAGTCTACTGCCCCACCCGTTTCATTACCACGACAACAGCGTCGAAAGCTTGTGTCCCTCCTGCAGTTGGCAGCTCCACATCATAATAGATGTGGCGTAGAGGTCGCACCGCCACCTTACGCTGTTGAAACCTTCCCTTACGATGCATTTTCATCGGAGAACGAAGAAATATTTACTCAAAATGCACCTCCTGGCACTTTGGGAAAATACGTTAGCCAGAACTCGACCACGTTCGGAGAGCCGGATTTGCAAAAGAGGAAGAGACCTTTGGTTTTCAATGCATTCCTGCAATCGAAGAACGACCATACTCGTGTTGAGCGTCCATCGACCAGCAGATCGAGTAAAACCAGTCCACCAACATCTCTGTCGCCTGTATCTGGACACTGTCCGCCAATGCCTACGACTCCTATATCTCGAAACGATTCCGGGTTCGCTCTCACGGCTACTTTGAGGGAAAAGAGGTCTGGTCATTTCGATACAAACTCGAGACGTAGTTCCTCATTTGGTTTGGAACGACAGCCAACTCTTCGTAGACCGAGTGCACCATTTGTCAATGGTCATTCGGCTAGTCTTTCCACATCTGCTGTTTCCATCGGCGACAGCAACTCCATGTATGGATATGCACCATCTGCTTATGCACCATCCGCCTATGCCGCCTCCACTATTGCTGCATCAACAATCATGCCCAATATGCTCATGCAACCAGTTCGTAATACGGAGACGACAATCTGGGTAGAAGGACATTGTTTTGGTTTTCATGCCAACGACATGGCATCTGTATGCTCAATCTGTGATGAAAAGGCCGAAGGTGATGGCATGTATACTTGCAACGCTTGCAGCACGATTTCCCATGGTCGTTGTCTAGGCTGGTGTTCTCTTGTGTGTCCATCCGCCTTCCACGCAGATCGTGTACGTGCAGCTTTCGTTCGATGTTTCGCAAATCTGTTCTACACGTATAGAAAGCATCTTGGCCGACCGTCAAAAGAGCAGAAGGCAAGCGGACAACTATATGGCTTTGATATGAATGGTTTCATGAAGAGTCTCCCAAGCGATCAACAAGAATATGTACAAATGCTGCAACAGACACAAGGTAATTGATTCTCATGGTATATTTGTGAACAACATTAACAATAGTATAGGATTCAATGAATTCATTCATGAACGCGAAACCAGACAATCGAACGACCGAGATGTTCAATTGTTCGACTCAATCATTCAAGCTAAGAAGTCCAGGGGACGCGCATCATTCTTCTCTTCGAAAGCATCACTTCGACCTAGTTTCCTTGAGGATACATCGGATCACTTATGGCGCTCCGCATTAGTCCCAGTCCCCAGGGATGCCAAGTTTCCTGGTGATTATAAGACAATTGTCTCGAGAATTCCAGCACAATTGGATATTGGATTAATGAAAGAGCCACGCAGCGTTGCAGGAGTACCACGTATGGATATGCCGGGGAAAAGAGTGGGCCGTAAAGCAGTTCCAAGTATGCTAGGTGGCAGGGGATTAAACTGAGAATAAATGGAGGGAAAGAAAAGGTTGAATATGAGAATGAGATAAGATAAGATCGAGGATCCGAAATTACGACAAGAGGAAATCAGATAAATACACGCCCAAATATAATCTTAAAGGAAGACGAAAGCGAAAGGAAGAGAGACAGAAAACAATTCGATATCAAATTCATGCAAGATGCGAGATGCGAGCGAGATGTGTAAGATATTCAAGCGAGGAGTTTAAAAGAAATTTTCCGTTTATTTTGACTGTTCTTTTTCATCATAAGTCCATGGATTGAGAGAGTAGTGGCAAAAAGCATAGGGCAGGGAGGGGTGGATGGATGGATCTATGTCTGGTGCAGATAGGTGTTGAGGAGAAGCAATCTTTTGTTTTAGTTGATTTTTGGGGTGGAGTGAAGCGAGATGGAGTGGACAGAGTGTCTGGGAGAGGGGCTTAATGTTTGGAATGGAGAAAAGGGAAAGAGGGAGAATGGAGGAACGAGATGTCGGAGAGATATGAGGAAAGGTAACGGGGGTGAGATAGGACCTAATTTGTTGGATTGTGGATTGGAATGAATGGATGAACGCGTTTGGGATATGATATGATACTGAATGGTAGATTGGTTGATTGCATTTTTGTCATTCGCAGTTTACTTTGCTGGCTGCACGGGTACGAACCTAAGGAAAGTTGAGGGCTGATGGAAGGGGAAGAAACACACGGAAGACGGAAGCGAAAAGGAGATTTAATGATGATGACTTCAGATGTGATGCAGATGGGTGCGTAGACAAATATGGATGGATGGGTGAAGGTCCGTATGGTATGGTAAAGCGAAAGATGAGATAAATGGTATGGATGGAGTGTTGGATAGATGGTGAGGGAGGGATGGGATTTGTAAAGACAGTTACAGTTGCAGTTGCAGTTGCGGTTACAGTTGCAGTTTACAGTTACAGTTACAGTTACAGTTAAAGATAGCACTAGAGTTTTGGCCTTTACTCGTAGTGTAGATGTATGCAGAATAAATAAATCAATAAATAAATGAATAAATTCATGGCTTTGAGCTGCACTACTACTATTCGTTATCTGGTTTTTGGGGGGAGGGGCGGAGGGGAGGAGGGGGGTTTGGTGTGTATGGATGGATGGGTGGGTGGGTGGTTGAGCTTTGTGATGTAAGGAAAATAGGTAGGTAGGTAGGTAGGTAGGTATTAGAGCGGAAAAGAGCGGAAAAATAAAATTCAAGTTAAAGATCTATTGTGTGTTCATGTATTTTATGAGTATGAGTATGAGTATGAGTATATGAGTATACAAGAGGAGCCTGATTGTGATTGTGATTATGATTATGATTATGGGTATGATTATGGGTATGGGTATGATTCTATTGTATGTAGTCTTTGTATAGTGGGAGTAGGAGTGGAGTGGTGAAGTCTGGAAGTGTGTATATGAGTAGGTCGAAGGAGATCGAGGAAGAATAATGTTGATGTTAAGAAAGGTAAGAGGGGGGATGGTGGAAGGAAGAGAAGATGGAAAAGAGGGAAAAGGATGGGAGAGCCTGAGCTGAGGGGTAATGCGAAGGGAGGAAAAGACTGGATATCTATCTGTCTATTTATATCTTAGGTAGGCTTGGTGTGTTCTTGAAGATAGCTAGGAGTGGAATGCAGTGGAGTGGAGTGGGGTGGGGGAGGAGACGGTGTGAGTGGAGGAGATGGAGATTAGTGGATGGAGGGGGGAGGGGAGGGAAATGATATGGAGGGAGAAGAGATGAGTGCTAGAGGGAGGAGATATGAGATATGAGATATAGATTATGTGAGATATGGAGGGAGATGAGTGCTAGAGGAGAGGGGCAGGAGATTGCCAATAGTGTGTATGTGGGTATGAAAGTGAAATAAGGTGAAGCGAGGTGAAGAATACTTACAGTGTTTACTCGTACTGATTAATGAGAGTAATCGTTTAGTGGCTATAGCTGGTTTCGCTGTTGTCTGCGAGAGAAAATTTGTTAATGTATACTCGAGTACGCTATTGGATGTGGTAAGAATTTCTATAGACTATGAGAGCAGATATAGGTAATATGGGTTGGTATATTAGATTGTAAGCTTAAAAGGTCAAATGAGAAATTTTGGGGGGATTTCCTCCTAGTTATGGGCAGCCGTGCTTCAACAGATAATACTTTCGAAAGAGACGGCAGTGTTAGAAGAAAACTATATCGGCATGAGCGATGTATGCATGAATGATGACTCTAGATGGTGATAATCATTTTAGAAACGTTTAGGGCAGGGTTTTGATATTTCGCTCGAAGTCTCTGGTATTTCGTACAGTGTATCCGCTATGCAACCCACAGCCCGATATATGTGATATCTCAGTTGTTGATGGGGAAACAAAAGATATTTCTTTTGAATTTGGATCTGGAAAAAGAGTTTTGTGGGATCTTACCACTTGGTACTTTCATTGACGATAAATAACCTTACCTTGAGATCATGGGAGTATCACTACTACCTACCGATAAAGTAGAAGGGTAATGTAGGGAACATGTATAGGGGAGAACAACTCAAAAGGTATAATTTATCATGATGCGTTCCGTCGCATCATGAAGCTTATGGAAGAGGAGTGATTCGAAGAATCGGAGACCTTCCCTTTTTGCCAAAAATGATTTTATTTCAAGTAATGTGGATAGAGATGGAATCAAGTGGTATATAATTACTATTACTCGAGTATATGAATATATATTGGCCCTGTAGTCTGGCTATACGTTCTCGAGTATCTTTTCTTTACAAACTATTCCCTACAAATATACTCAAATTCAAATGTAAACACTAGAGCTTTTGTAGTATCTAAACATTATTTATACGCCCCTCGATATTCGTTCCATAGTATTATAACTCAATAAATCATTTTGGGTCTCCTATCTCCTGTCTCCTGACTTCAGGATTAATATTAAGCGAGAATAAAACACACCAAAACCAACTACAAAGCTGATGCTAATTGAGGCCAAACTCCAGTAACGATAAGATACAATTTACCATCGACTCTAGCCCTTTTCTATACTTTCTTTCGAGCGCATAATCATGAATGGCCGTGCTAGCTTTGTTGAGTATACTGTATGTAAGAAATTGGGAACAAGCATTTAGCTGGACGGAATTTGTGAGGATCTGCGGGAATTTTAGGAATTTGGCAGATACCTGATGTGGAATCAAAGATTTTTTGAATATAGTTCACTTTGAGGTTAAGGTTGCTGGGTTGAATGGTGAGAGGGGGATGTCGGGATACAGCAGTTTGTTCATTAGAGTAGATTGCTATTTTTTGTAATTATGGTTCGGTGGAAATATGAGGTGATTCTCGGAAGTATGCAGAATGAAAGGAAGACGGGGTGCCGTTTTCAAAGGCCATATAATTGGGTTCAAAAAATTGAAAATCAGGATATGGTTTGGTTTGCATTCAACGTATGGTGATTTGCTTCCAGATACTATGGACTCGGATTACGATACAGCAGTTCCAAAAATATGAGTATTGGTTATAGCTGCCTACACGGAGAAGTTACTGCAACATAAAGCCAATAATACATCGAGTTTCAAAAGCTGTGAATCCGGTTCATGCACCGGACTCCTTGTTGTAACATAATTTGTATAATTCAGCCGCATAGCCCCATAGCCGCGTTCTTCATCGTTATCCTAGTTTAACTGCACTGGAATATATGAAGATACTATCAATATACACCATGTATTCGCCGCTTCTATTTTCATTGGAAAGAACTTCATTTGATGCCCTTTACATTACATTACGCATTGCTTTTTACACCAATAGGAGAGAGCATTTTGCGGCACTCAATAAGTTCACTCCTAGTCATCCTTCATCCTGATACTACCCCGACATTCTGTGATTTTTAGAACCAGCTCGTTCTAACTTCTGACTTCTATAAGAAATCGAAACATACCGACCCTGACATCAATCTCATGATCGGCAGTAGCACCGATCTGGCAGATAGATTTTGAGCTTCACACTACTTGATATTTGTAAATCCATTTATTTCTATCATCACAAGAAGAGAACTTTGCGACCAGTTACTAGCTAACAGCTACCAGCTAGCAGGTGGAAATCCCAACGTGACAGACGTATCCTTCAATATTCCCAACTGTTGTTCATATTAGATATGCGAATTAGGCCGATGAAAGCTGCTCCAATGAGACGAGAACCACATATTCACCTATCTTTTCCGTTCGTTTTAGACAAAAAACATTCCGATACGCCCAATAATGTAAAAGTGAATTGAAGATAGCGGTTCACACGTATCTATCGTTAGTATTTCAGGTAGCTCACCGTGACCGTGTTGCTACTAACCACGATCTCCACATTCCTCGCTCTTCTTACCGAACTTCTTATTTGGACTGCTCAATCCCTCGCTTCCTGTTGTGCCAAATTACAACCGAGAACTTCACACGCATCTACTCTCATGGCTGGGGGCCAACGAATGAGCCCGAGCCCATATTCATGTTGAATATGGTGATGAATGCCATTCTTAGTTATTCATCTTGATGGCATACAACTCTGTCTGTCCGATGCTAAGCTCATCTCCGAGAAAATAGGAGGAAAACGAATTTTAGGAGGAATCTTATATGGAGGACTGGGCGGTGCTGGATATTGATGGGAGGAGTTCGGCTACAGCAGATGATGGGGAATGGCAAGTGTAATAGATAGAAAGATGACGACGGTGACTTTTACCGAGGAAAATTATGAACGAGTTTGGCAGCGGTTATTGACTCAAGTAAAGGCGATGCTACTGTAGGATACTGAACACGACACGCCCAATAACCAATTTGATCTGCACATCAGGATACAGAGATTTTTACGCTTAATGTTCTTGCAGCGGCGATGTTCAATGAAATGTACAGTATCTCTTCGGCCAAGAAGTTGAGAGGTCGGATACTCACTCATAAGAGCGATAAGTCGTACCAGTACCGAGAATATTCCTCCACGATCCTATCATCAATCATATCATTGAAATATTTCTTCGTTTTCGGAGAACAAGGTCTGCAAGCTTGGTGGACACCTAAATCTTTCAAGGATGCCACCAAAGCCATGGATAGTTTTCGCTCCTATATCTGCGGTTTTGATGGATGAACAGAGAGCGCATCTTGCGCGTGGAGACACCGAGAACCAAAACTAACATTTGGTGGCGCGCTTGGTGAAAGTTTGTGAGAGGACAAATACTTGGAGGCAGACAGACGCTATATTCACGGATGAAACTTGGGCTCCAGGAAGAAAGATGACACTTACAAGTTACGAAAAAGGAGATCTTGAGTAATCTTTTCGATTTGTCTACGCTTTCGCTGGTAAGGTAACGACACAATATCGTTGCATTCACCATCCTGCTCGTACACATTGCCGCAAATCCCGACACGGTGCACACTGTACGCAAGATTGGATTGTCGAGGAGATAAATTAATATCTACAGTACCCACGAAAGCACTATTAGAGTCATGTAAATATGAAATATACTTCAGATTAAAGCGTTGCAACTTGCATAGCTATCATTGTAAGTCCGCTCAGCACCTAATCTCGGAGAAAAGAAAGAAGACCCATGAAGAAATGATTCGAAATCCTGCGTATCTGCCACCCCTTCTCAACTCGTAAAGACTACTTACTGACTGGTCCACACGAACAAATTCTCGAAATCAATGGTACAACACGTATTCTCCCACCTCGCACCAGCATCTCATCCACTGTTCCCTTCCCGCCTTGCACGCGTATCTAAAATACTGGGGTTCTGATCTTCTGGCCTGAATTCGGGTCGTTTATTAGCATGCCATTGACGTCCATTTCTGCAGAGAAATCCGACACGCAAGTCCTGAATGATAAAAATGTAGAAGTAGATACCTCGGATCATTTCATGCTGTTTGCATGGGGTCACAGAAAGAGTACATCCCGGGAGGAAATTTGCGCATAGGGAACTTGTGGCCGTGTGGGCTGCATTGTGTAAGGAGTGGAAAGTCGAGGGTGTACCGAAGAAAGGAGAGATGGTTGAGCAGGCGAGGGAGAGGGCGTGGATGACTCGTAGTCTGGTGGTTGATCGTGAAAGACGTATGTTGAATGAAATGGTCAATCCTGAGAAAGTGGAAGTGAGATGGGTTAAGAGGTGAGGCATACAGTACCGGTAGTTTAGCGCATCCTTGAGGTACTTGATGGGAAGGTGTTATGGTTTATAAGACAGTTATTTCTTGTTTTGAGAATATTCCAAAATCTTATTCGAGAGGATGTGAAAGCCTAGGCATTACATCGCTAGCTAGTTGCTTGTATAGCATATTGAAAGGTGAATTGCTTTAAGCTTGTACCGTGTCAATCAAGTGTGATATGAGTGCTTGGTGAGCACAATATAATTGATGGGTATGGGACAAGACCGTATACCTACAAAAAGTGAATTTATAACATTGGTATTCCTATCATTCTATCTTCCTACCTCTACATACTCCTCCTCCCTTCCTCCTTCTCCCCTTCCCCCTTAAAACAACCATCCATCACTCTCATCAAAAACTGTAGACACAAAGCGAAACTGACTCGTCCATCGAGCATAGACAATAGCCAGAATTTTGAAGCGCCCTCCCCCTTGCAGAGGTTTTTCTGAGCTATCCATTGCAGTACCTGGGTTATATTGGAGATTCCCTACTACAATCCTACTTGAACGTGTCTTGAGAACACTCTAATAAATCAAAGTAGACCTAGACACGTCCAAATAGGGCTGACAATGGATGCTGTGTTATATGTAAAGAGGAAAGAAAAGAAGTTGAGTTGAGGTGAAGGGTTTTATGGTGGATGAGTGGTCTGTGCGTTGTGATGGTGATTAGGTAATACATTTGTGGTAGAGTAAGAGGTGCCTGAGGCTTGAAAATTGATCGGACCAGAATGGGTGGGATGGAAGAGAGCATTAAAAATGTCAATTGGATTGATGGGACAATTATCGGACCAGATCAGAGAGACAAAAATTATAATGTATGAGAATTTCAATGACACTAAATATTTCATAAGTACAAATTGTCCATTCCTAACTCTCAAACCCCATATTGGGTTCATAAACTATCCTCCAACGCTCACAGCACCCCAACAACATAGCCCCCATCGGGGATTGAATCGATGTTATTAACAGGCAATTCCTCCCTCCCATTCATCTTACGACGGTAAGAGCTACTAGCAGGATAGACGACTCTCCTTAATCTGTTTGGTGATCCAAGAGGTTGCAAACTCTTGAGTCCATGCCATGGATCCAATCTCATATGATCTTCCCAAAACGTCTTCCTTGCAGCTATAAAGCTATCTTGCTTGGGGATTTTGAGGGTGGCCACTGTCTGCCATGGATACTTTTCTGGATCCCAAACTTTGCCTGCATATTCTACAGGTTGGTCTTCGAGATTCTCGAGGAATTGGACTTGGAAAAGATATTCCGCATCATGGATTGTGTGAAATTCTTTAAGCCATTCACTCAAGATATTATCTGGATGAGCATCCGGCTTGACAGTCTCTTCATAAAGCTTTTTTTGTGTTTCGGATGATGGAACTAAGCAATATTTGATCACAAAGTCACCGAATCTGTAGGCAGTTTGCGAGTATTGTCGTGTTGACTTAATTTTGGTCAGTAATTGCAACCTGAAGAATGACTGGATGGACGCTACATACCTCAAGATGTGTATTTCTGACCTCATCGCGAGCCTTTTGTAACTGTGTATCCTTGCGAGCCTCTAGATGCTTGTACAACTCGGCCTTGTTTCCGCCATACTTGATTCTGAGATCAATAATTTCCCTTGTCGTCTTTGCATCTGCGAGATCCAATGCAGGGGTACTATTGAACTCGATATCTTGTGTGTTCAGATCCTTTCCATCGAATCTTTCGCCATCGACATTGAAAACCTTCATTCCTAGACCTCGAGGTTGTGGGATACGATCGTCAAGAGCTGGATCACCAGGTTCGGTGCTATATCGCATGACGATAGGATACGTTTTGGGGTGGGAGAACATGCTTTGGGCAAGATGTGGAGGTAAATTCCCAACTACCAACGAGCCTTTTACCAGTCCTTGAGTTCTAGCGTGTGTTCCTTTTTGATCGTGTCAGCATTGCTATCTCAACTCACGGGTTGAGAAGTCTTACCTCCAAAGCAATGACGATGAGTATTGAATTGAGCCTTTTGTATGGCATTGATTTGGTCTGCAATAGCTTGAATGTCTTCTTGTTCATTTGGAGGAATTACTTCGACTCCTGAAGCATCCCATTTGATGTAATCGCGAGATTCCAGTCCCTCTGATTCGATGGAACCCATGATGTAAGAAAGTAAGGTTGAATGTGGAGTGTTAAGAGAGTTGATAATAGGAGATATTGTTACAACCTCGACAGGCTGTCTACCTCGTGAGTCTACATTCCAAGATACTTTCACCAGCTTTATATACCTGGCATAGATACATTGATTTGTATAATAGGGCGGGGTAGAGATCTATCGAAAAGCCTACTCCCAGCAATACCATAATCACCTGGCATCAGCTTGGACTGCTGATTTTCATACTAAACAGTAAACCATAAAATATGATTGGCAAATGAAGAGTAAGTCTACAACTATAGAATATAGCTCTCCCCACCCCCGCATTTGAAGATCTGCCGCCAGTGTATTAAGCATGATTTAAGTTTAGGGTAAACATTCTATATGCAAGTATCTCAAATCATTTCATGGGCCTAGATACTGCTAGACCCGGATGAAAGGTATTGTGGCTGTGACCTTCTGCCTTGACATGTATTTAGACAAGACATTATTGTGAAGTTGACTGAACTTGACTGAACTTGACTCTTATCAAACTTATTATCCTGCAGGTGAATGGCAAATGGTGAATGGGTTTAATGAAGATCTGAAACCCATCCTTCATTGATGTAAAGACAGGGATAAATGTGGCTACAGTAGCTTCTTTGAGCCTGAAGCGAATCAAGAATCATTACGCAGCTTTTATACTTCGGACTAAACAACATTATACAGTTAACTTTCAAATGTTCAAAGCCTCAAAAATACGAAATACAGTTATTCAATTGTGATTTGACCAACAGACAGAGAGAGATTTCTTGTTTATTATCAAATTTGTTACTATTGTCAAATAATGTCAGCCACAGCTTCTCTGGATTCTTCTAATGTTACTTCTCCAGGTTCGTTTGCCCTTGTCCATCGCTGTTAATGGTGGGGGAAGCTAATGTTATCAAAACTACCACTGACAAAACAATAGCGAAGAAGAAAAGCAATAAGAAGAAGAAGAATGCCAAATCAAAATCAAATGGAGAGATCCCTCGGGTTCAAGGCCAAGGAAATGATCTCAACATAAAAGTGGCAGGTGAAGAAGGGGATCCAGAGGAATCCGGACAATCAACTGTGGTACGAGTGACACCTGTTCATTACTCACTATACAGCAAACATAAGCGCATTCTGACTGACATACACAGACGACTCCGAAAGATGCCCTTTTTCCAGCAAACATCCATTCGCAGACGAATGGGCTCAAAAATGACTCCGCAAGTAATGGCCACACCATTGCGCCAACATCACCTAGCACCAAGGAGGTAGAAGGGTCCTCTGAAATCAACGGATCGGATGCATCGGATGCAAGTATTCGACTGGAAGCAATGACGGCAGAACGTCAGGCATTGCGCGCCGAAGTGGAACAATTACGAAAATCCCTCGAGGTCATTCAGGGTAAGCATACAGAAGAGGATTCAACAGCCAAAGGCCAATACTCCGAAAATCTATCGACCGTCGAAGAAAAGTACAAAGAAGAGATCATCGCACTAAAGAGTCAATATGCGGAGGAAATTTCTACAGTCCGGGCGGAATTGGAAGAGACCGAATATTCAAGAGAAAATTGGGAATCTCAATATCATACATTACTTACGCGCGTCAATACGATCAAAACTACTTTGGGAGAACGATTAAAGGCAGATAAAGAGGAATTGGCGGAAGCCAATGAGAAAATTGAAGACTTAGAATCACAAAATGATTCATTTCAGAGTACTATTCAAGGATTGGAGGATGAGGTATCGAAACTACGGAATGAATTAAATGAATCTTCCAAGGAACTCTCGAGTATGCGGAATCGCAATAACTTATCACAACAAAACTGGGTGCATGAAAGGGATGATTTGATTCAACAGGCTAAACATCTCAAAGAAGAAGCTGATGCCGCAAAAGAAGCCATGGGGGATTGGGAGGTTCTGGCTATGGAGGAGAGATCTATCAGGGAGAATATGGAGAGTAGAGTGTCTGATATGGACGAACAATTCTCTACTCAAAAAGAAGCCTACGAAGCAGCAGTCGCTGAACGAGATGGCCAGTTTCAGACAGTTGATGGCTTACAACGAGCTTTACAGGAGATTCAAGAGACTCGGAGACGAGAACTTCGAGAGATGGTCGAAAGCTATGACGAGCAAATTCAATCTCTTAAGAAAATCGTTCAGGATTCCGATTCTCGATGCATTGATGCTGAAACTTCGGAAAAAGCTCTCAAAATAGAATTGGATCGGCTTCTACCGTTTGAAAAGGAAGTGAAGGAAAAGAATTTGTTGATTGGTAAACTTCGTCATGAAGCCATCGTAATCAATGATCACCTCACAAAAGCTTTGAGATTTATCAAGAAGTCGAAAGTGGAGGATAACGTTGATAGGTATGTCACAGCCACACTCCGAAACCGAATCCATAACTAATATTACATAGACAAGTCGTCACAAACCACTTCCTACATTTCCTCTCCTTGGATCGTTCAGATCCAAAGAAATTTCAGGTTCTACAAGTCATTGCCTCTTTATTGAACTGGACGGATGAACAAAAAGAGCAAGCAGGCCTAGCCAGGCCCGGTGCTTCAAGTAGTAATTTACGCCTACCCATGTCACCATTCCACCGAACACCCAGCACCCCATCATTATCCACAGAATTCTTCACCGAACCTTCAAGCACCCACAGGGAATCATTATCAGAACTCTGGACAGGATTCCTAGAGCGAAGTGCAGACGAAGGAAGTGTCAAGGAGAAAGATTCCAGGAGTGGCAGCGTAAGCAGTTCGACTGCTCCCGCCACCAAATAGCATAGTTAGGACGGACGGACGCATCTTTGTAATATGATATGATATGATATGATGGAATAGCATGAGGATGATGCGCATACCGAATAGATTCACACCTGTATATTAGCAACATTGCGTAGGCGTTTCATGGTCCTGGGAGCGATCAATTGGTGTTTGTGTTGTTTGTCAGTCATTTCTATCCTGACATGACTGACTTCTTGGCGATGGATGTATTGCGCTAGGAGGGTTTGACATCATGGCTCGCATGGGTTGTGCATGGCTCCTTTTTTCTGTTCTTAATATAATAAGGCAAATAGCCTAAAGGGAAGGAAGGGACTTTGGTCTTTGGTGGTTGGTGATTAGTGGTTGGTGGTTGGTTGTTATATTTATCGCCAATTCAATGTTTGTTTCGAATGGAAATGATAAATGAGGGTTTCTTGATTACTGAATTGATCAGTATACTTACTATTGGCTCTGTTTGTTTGTTTGTTTATTTGTTTGTTTGTTTGTTTGTTTGTTTGTTTGTTTGTTTGTTTGTTTGTTTGTTTGTTTGTGTATATATATGATATAGCTTGCTTATATATTATTGTTGTATTGTGCATAATGATTGTCATAATGATTGTTTCGTATATAGTGGGTGGTAGGTGAGTGGTAGGTGAGACAGGACAGGACAGGATAATCTTCTGTTTTGCACTTACACTTGAGCTGGGCTGGGCTGGGCTTGAAGTTTGAGTTTGAAATGGAGGCTGATATGGAGGTTAAGATGAAGGTTTAGAGATGTATAAATAGTTCGTTGGGATGCATATTTCTCTTTTTCTTTTCTTTTTTTTGGGGGTTAAAGTAACTGACAGATTACTTATTACCTTACCTTTCTTGTTCTCCGATATTTTTCGGAATCGATTGATAAGAATACATACAAATTGAGATTAGTGTTTCTTTGGTTGGATAAACTGAGAGAAAAACAAAGGGAGGGGGAGAGAGATGTCTCAAGTACCAACACCACTTTACCCGTCGCCTCCTACGACGCCTAGTCCGGGTCCTGCTGCTGAGGGGGATGAGGATGAGGATCTGGATGAGGGTGGGGATGCGGATGAGGGGGTGGATGGGGAGAATGAGGAGGATGGGGAGAATGGGGAGGATGGGGAAATGGGAAAATGGTGGAATGAGGGGGATGTGAGATGTGAAGTGTGAAGTGTGAGGTGTAAGGTGTGAGGTGTAGGGTGTAAGGTGTGAGATGTGAAAAAGAGGTGGGGTGTTGGGGATTAGAGGGGTTAGAGGGTTAGGGGGTGAATAGATAGGTGATAGGAAATAAGGAATGGGGGATGAGGGAAGGGTTTGAAATGTAGAGGGCAGAGAGGAAGTATGAAAGAGGGAGATTTGTTTAAGTCTTTTTGAATTTAGGTTTGGATTTTGGACTTGTAGAAGGAAAGGAGATATAGATTAAATATCGAGAAGTATGGATTAGGCAGGTTAGGGGGTGAAATCTAAGAAGTGTGGGTTCGGTATCGAGAAGCGTGGTTTATGAAATCACGAGCGGGTTGTGGTATGGTACGGTACGGTACGAGGGAGATACATAGAAGATAGACGTCGGTGGAAAGTATAGGGATAGGGAGCGAGGCATGGGAGTGAGTTCGATATGATACGATACGATACGATGCGGGGGAAAATGAGGGAGAAGACGAGAGAAGGGGAAAGATGAGAGATGAAGACGAGAGGAGGAGGAGAGGAGGAGTAGAAAACTAAGGTTGTGGGTGAGGGTGAGGGATACAGATATACCTTGAGACGAATAAAAACACCATATTCTCCTCCCCCTCTGCAAGCCTACAAAATATAAACGGAAAAGAAATAGAAATCGAAAACGCAAGCAGAATCAGAATCAGGATCAGAATCAGGATCAGAATGGATCAGAATCAGAATTAGCAGTGAAACGAAACGAATCGAAACTTCTAGATTTCAAGATCCCAAGATCTCACCTTCATCAGATACAAGTATCTGTATCCATCCACACTCTTGACATCGATTTTCGCTTTTCGCTTTCTCTTCTTTTCTTTTCTTTTCTTTTCTTTTCTTTTCTTTTCTTTTCTTTTTTATTCTATCTTTTGCTTCGATTTTCTATCTAATCCTCTTTTTATTATAACATATCACATCATATCACAACACAACACATCACAACACCAAACGTTGCTTAACTTCCGAAAATCAATTTCTCGAGCAATTAATTCATTTGCTTATTCATCTACTATAAATTACTTGAGTAGTATTGTGCGATATACTCGAATGCGATCTTGTGTCGTTAGGGTGATGGGATGAGGAAAGAGGAAGATATATAATATCGGATGAACATAGTCTTATAAGACAAGGGAAAAGAAGCCCAGAGCAACTCACTCACTCATTTCATGAGTGGGAGGGGAAATTACTATAGGAATAGAGTATTACTCTTCTCTTCCTTCTCCTGCTTCTCTTCCCCTCCTCTTCCTCTTCCCCCTCCAGCTTCTCTCTCCCTTATCCCCCTCCTCATACATCATACATCATACATCATACATCATCTAACATCTTACAAACCAAGTTAAAAGTTCCGCTCCAACTTCTTGGTTCAATTTCAATTTCATTTTCAATTTCTCGCTAAAATAGGACATTTGTTTAAAGGAGATTGTATTATTTATCTGTTGTTATAGTTGTTATTGTAGTTGTGTATTTATATAATAATATATCTTCTCAGTTCTTTCCCTATCTTACACCTTGTCTTACATACACCCTCTTTCATCCCTTTCTTGAAAGTCTCATCCCTCATCCCTCTCACCCTTTCATCCCCCTCTCTCACTCTCTCTCATCCTCTCTCACTCTCTCTCATCCTCTCTCACCCCATTTCTTCTCCTCTCTCATCCCCTCATCAACAACCATAAGCGAAATTAGATAAATACCTAGACAAATACCTAGATAAATAGCTAAACATCACAATACAAACATTGACTTCTTTTAAAAATCCAATTTCTTCGTATGCAATTACATATCCAATTCCATCTCAATCTCATCCCACTATCCTCATAAAAGATGAATTGAAATTCACATGTCATAATACCCAAATGTTGGTTTCTATTTATTAGATAGATAACTACTACTTTAATACTACTGACTATGCTATTTGAATTCTCAGATTGCAGTGTTTTCGTTCTTGTTGAGATGATGTTTCTCAAGCTTGTAATATGGGAAATAAAAATAAAAGGGGCGAGCATAGCTCATAATACCGTCCAGGTACTCACTCATCTTCGCTTCTACAGATTGATTGAAATCTTGATCCAAATGTATCAATAACGATACATATTATAGCTTTGATATTAAATAAAGATTCCATATGTAAAACGCCCGATAAAATTCAAACAACCACATTCGCAGCAGCGCCCAAAACCGCCTCAGCGAACCCCTCCGCATCCCTCTGCACCGCAACCAAATCCACTCTACTCTCCAAAGCATTCCTCACACCATCCACCACCTCCCTCGTCTCCAGCACCTCTCTCATAACATTTCCTTCCCTCACCCAATACTCCTCTACCTTTTCTCTCAAATCTCTATCTCTGACTGTTGCATTACGCATCAATGCTATGCCGTTCAATCTACCTCTTGCTTGATCTATGATTTTCGTCGTGGCTTCTATTCGCTCGGCCGAAGTGGGTGGGGTGAGGAAGGCGCGGTGCGTAGATGATAGATAGAGGAGGTAGCCGAGGAGTCCGTCGAGAGCGGCGAGGGCTATGTTGCGATAGAGTTGCATGTTCCAGTGGAAGAAATCGATTTCTTCAAATCGGGTGGTGCGGGAATTGCTTTGGTGGTTGTAGGATGAGACGAAATAGATGTCGAGGATAGCGATGGCTACGGCGGCCATGGTAGCGGTGGGTCGCCAGATACTGGCTTCTTTGCCGATGAAGAGGCCACTGGTGACGAGGGCGAGAATAAAGAGATTGAAGAGGTGGGGGACGAGGATGCTGACGAGTGAGTAGTAGAGGTAGGATGATGGGTCTTCGGGGGTGCAGAAGAGACAATCGGTTATGGTATCTGGGCCGTATTTCAGATACAAGAGTCGGGACTCAATACTTGTAAATTTCGAGCGCAAGAGTTCCTCGCTAGGGAGAAGACCATTGGGACGTAGACCCTGAAGACGAGTAAACAGGACATCGGTGGGGATTTGGAGGCGAGATTGAGTGAGGGTGAAGAGGGAGGGCGTGGTGAATGTAGGGAAGGTCTTGATGAGGAAAGCGAGGGAAGCTATGAACAGGATTGTGAGAGCGCGGGAAACATGTGGCGGAGCGGGTCGAATAGCGAGACCGTGTATTTGAGGAGCTGCGCGCGCGGATCGATAGTATCCGATTGCTTTGGGTAGAAGAATTGGTCCGAAGAATATTAGGACGGACTTTATACTGTGGTTGAGTTAGTTATGAGCTTGAGAGTTTACAAGCCTGCAAACCTGCAAGCCTGCAAATCTTGGAAAGTATAAGTGGTAATCAAGAGAAGAATACATACGTCCCAAACGAAATCTCCATGATATGCGTGTGAATTTCAAGTTATTATTATTAAAAGGTTTGATCGATATGATGTGACAATATGAATCTCTTTCTCTTCCTTCACTTCAGAACACGTCCGCGATAAGATAATAGGGCATGGCAGAATAACGAACAATGACAAAAGCGGTGGCTAGAAATAGTTTAGCCCATCTTAGCGCATATATTAGAGTGGGCCTCTAGAATCGTTCCTCATAAATAAATTTCTGATATTTTCATTCTCCTAAATTCATCAGTCACAAATGAACTCAATTATGAGCTGGATATGAGCAAAACGTCTGCGCATGAGAATATGATATTGTTATTCTCGTATATATGTTTATATGGAAGTACAAACGGTTTTTGATAAATCATATAGGTACAGTATCAATCTCCTTTACACATGTAGTGGCACTTTCGAAGCTTTGGTGACCTTTTTTCTCAATGGTCTCTCACAGTCAAAAAGTATGCCCAGAATAAGCCCCAAGTACTCTGCCAAGAGTCATCTCACTCGTGTTGCATGATCTCAGCATTAGCTATGAGGATCTTTGCGTCTTAATTGTTGAGAGACAATCCTGATATCCATATTATCGTGTTTTGTAGAAAATGTAGAAATGTTTGTTGCAACATTATATTCGTGAAATATATTCATAAAAAGTTCAATATACGTATCAAAAATCATGGGTATCACATTTAATTCTTCCCAAACTTCTCTGTGCCTTGTCCACGAACCTTCATAGGCTCCTCCATTCTCTTTCCCTCTTGACCTTGAACACCACTTCCTGTTCCCAAAGCTATTGCGACAACCGCAACCAAAGCATCGCTGACCAACAAAATTACAGCCGCGCATGCAAGTGTCCATGCTTGTATACTGATACTTCCCAATGGTGCTCTTGGGAAACTCAACAACCACTCCGCGTAATAAGGGAACGATCCTTTAGGTAACCAAAACATAGCCTGCCTGGAAAACCAAAATTGTAACAACATGCGTAGTCCATTTGTGCCCAACCAGCGGAGTGTAGAAACTGAGGAATCGAAGGTGGATTTGCTGGACTCGAGAGAGGCTTCTGTGGGTGAGGATGAGACGTTAGTTTTGAATCACTCGATATTAAAATCCGTAGTTTGTGGGAGGGAATAGGACATACTTGATTTTTCTAACTGATCATACAGCTTATCGTGCTGTCTCCTTATTTTTGCCCATTTGGCAAACTCCTGCTGACTACTCGTCGTACTCATTTCATGACGCACTTTCATGAAATCCCGCTTCAGCTTTTTTTGCTCGCCCGCGGATCGCGAGGTTGGGGTTGGGAGCATGTTGTATAGATTCCATAACTGAGATTGGTTAGCTACTTCGTTTCTTTAAAGAGTAGATGATATGATATAGGAAAGTTGGAGAGGGAAGTAGAGGGCGGATGAGCTTACTATATTATTGATCGTAGCTGCGCCAAAGGTATTGACGAGGTGAATGAGCAGCTGTACGAGGAAACACGCGAAGAGAATAGACGGCATGTTGGTGAAGTTATTCAGTCGAGATCGACCGCTCCGTTATTGGAAGACTTCCTGAAGGTTATGGTTGTTGGAAATGTGTCGTGTCCGTTTGATGGTGGGTGGGCTGGATGCGATTCATTATAATTTGAATGGTGCTAACTCCCGTCTAGCTATGAACGCACGGACCATGTTGAAGTCATCAAGAGTAACCTATTATTTTTAGGTGGTAAGGTTTTCTGGAATGAAGTGAAGAACTACCTACTCGAGTGTATGTCAATAATATCGAGTCAACATTGAGTTTGGATGTGATGATCTTGATATTCACTTCTACCTACCTACATGATCAACTTTCGTGACTAAGGTGAGTATCATTTGAATAATCTCACCATCTCACGCACCGCATCATGTCAAGAGCCCTTGATAAAGATGCTGCTGCATCTATTAAAGCTGGCGAAGCTCAAAAGTTTTACAACGACATTGTGCAGATACTTAGCCTCAACACCAGTTCTGATTCTTTACCTCATAAACTATTGGACATTGAACTTCTTGGGAAAGGACAATTACCAGATGGTGTCAATTCGTTGATTCTCCAGAACAGCGTTGGTATAAGGAAAGATCAACTTGTTCAAGCATTTGTTGTTGCTCGCCAGGTGTTTTTCAAGATCAAAGATCTGGGTCCCGATTATTCACAGGAGATTCGGGATGCTACTGCTGTCATTCTTCTTACCGATCCGGAACATTTAACGGCGTGTAACGCTCGAAAACGACTTTTACAACATATTCTAAACACATCGGCCACTACACGTGTGCTTGAAACAGCTGTGAAGAGGGAGCTATATTTCATCGATAGTCTTTTAACATCTCACCTCAATCGTCATACAAAGTCGCCGACGCTATGGAGTCATCGGAGATGGCTTTTTGAGATTCGTCAGTCTATGCATCTACCCCATGATGTACTTGGCGACCTTACATCGATTGTTATGGTGGCGGCTGAGAGACATCCCCGCAATTATTACGCGTTTTCTCACATGAGATGGCTGGTAGAATCGGTAGAGGGGGGGCTTAGTGCTTCTACCTACCTTGTTATGATAGACAATGTAAAGAAGTGGTGTTTGAGGCATCCAGGAGATACCTCGGGGTGGTCTTTCCTTTTATTCTGTCTATCTTCTGATACAATTCTGAAAGCGTTGGATCCGGTGGTCCGAACTTCCTTGATATGTGAAGAAGTTCTTGGAATGGCTATTTCACTAAGATGGAAAGAGGAGTCCTTATGGGTATTTCTCAGGACTTTAGTGGCATCTGGAAACGTAACAGAGAAGTGGAGATTCACCTTTTTACAAACACTAGAAGATTTGAAGAATTCCCTAGATGATCCCAGAGGTCGACGAATAACTCAAGCAGCCCTTGAATGGTATCTGGAATATGGAGAGAAAACCCAGTCGGTTGGTTGATCAATACACAACGTTTCAAGATTTATGTGTAAGACATTTGAAATGCAAAGAGCCTCTTTACCAGCCGTTTGTCCACCCAAGCCAAGCCGGAGCCTTCTCAATATCCGGTTAAACGTCAGACCTTTTGGTGGCAGGGTATCAGGATTTGGATGGAAGGATGGAAGAATTGTGATTGTTGTTTTGATTGGAAGCGATCAAACTCCAACAAAACTCCAACAAACCCGTATTGCAAGACTCGGGTTTTTCCTAATGGTTACTAAGGCTATTAAGGGAATTTAACAAATGTTTTTAAAGTAGGGGCCCCTGCCGCGAAACCACTTTGGGGGATTCACAACGCCACTAAATCTGAGCAGACTAGTTTGCGCCATGGATGTAACATGAGCATGGCTCTTTGCAGAAGCGATATCCCATTCGGCTGGTCTCGGCCAACATACGAAAAAGAGAAAACTGATACGAAATTGGAAGCCAAAAAAAGAATGTCTTCTCCCATCAGTAGGCTCAATCCGGTAGGGTTATGATTACGATTATCGGATTGATGATGACTCGTAATTGATGAGAGTCTATGTTTCAGAAATTGGACGAACAATCAATTGGAATAGGAGAAAAGACCAATAAAAGTTTAGAACAGTCTCGAATTACCCAAGTCCTTACTCTAAGAAAAGTGGCTTTTCCATGGCATTTTCCTCGGACACTTTAATGTGACGTTCAGCACAGATGGCGAAGCATGAAGCATCGCAATTTGGAGAAACTCGATCGTCCAGACACTATGATTGGCTTCCCAGGATTAATTTTATGTGTCAGTATTCAGAACGGTCGGGCTATACAGTACAGTTGCATTTCGATGACTATTCTTGGCTGGATTTGGTTACAATCTGTTTAAACGCAAAAGTCGCCAATCAATCTTCTAGTCTAGAACTTCGGAATATCAACAATCGGATTAATCCGGAGCTGTAATATTCTCACTGTGTTTCTTTCCCAATCACTATCCTGGATAGCTGCAACATGCAGGAGTTCTTTGCCTTTGTCTAGGCCCTTAGAGGGTAAAGAGAATAACTACTCATGATATTGATATCAATAAGATGATTTAAATGGATTGATTCTGCCCAGGCCCTAAATATCAATTTTATCAAGGCTTTAAAGATTATACAATCAAAAGTGCCGGTACATGGTTGGGCCCCTGAATAAAAGAAAGATCTAAAAGGTTCAAAAGACAAATGGATCATCAAGCAGCTAGACACACTATACCTAATTAGATTTTAGCCTATGTTTTCTTTCTAGGAAAAGACGCTACTAGACCTCCTCCTCCACAATGTAACATTCACCTTCGGGATTTATTTGATATGCAAGTAAGAGCAATCAACCTCCTCTTCTTTTTCTTCTTTCCTATTTCATCCTTATCCTCTTTTTATATTATACTTCCTCTTTTCTACTTTACGACATTCTGAATAGCTGCATTTAATTCTCGGGTTTTCCTTTTTGATTTTCAGCAGATTGGATTGATTATATTGATGTTCTTTTGGAGGGGACATTTCTCTTATCTTCAAGCTACATTCACGACTTTTGTCTTCTTTTTCCTTCTAGATCACTGCTACAGTATCATACATATTGAAGACTTCACTGTCCTCGATCAGCTTAATATTATTTAATTATTTTCATTTTTATGTCCTTATTACAACCATAATATTTAATATTAAATCCGTCATTATTTTCATTTGTCAATGAATGATCATAGTTCAAATCGTTCGACTTATACCAAAAGAGACAAATCACCGATCCAAATTACCCCTCGAGGGTACTCTTCCCATCGACGACGTATTCAACGGCTCAAGTATCGAGGCAATTGATTCTATCACCCTCAGATTAATTTCTTGTCTGGTTAAGAATTCACCTCTACAAAATACCCAATCTCTCACAAGTTTTGCGCCACAGACGACATTTATTATTTGAGAGTATTGATTGTACTTGGCCATTTTACGATTTTGATACTCTGCTTCCTTGGTTCACTTCTTCTACCAGTCATGATGTGGTCCTTCAAAATATCCTTGTTCACATTATTTGCGCTCCTCCAATATTCCTCGGCATTCTACATCTATTTTCCAGAATATAGGTGCGAGTTATACAAAGACTGTCCAGAGACATCCAAGAGAGAAATTGAGAGTCGTGAGAGCAATACGGTTCTTAAACTTGTCCAAAAGCTCCCATCGGTAAGTTTGGATAGACTCGATCTAATGTGATTTGGCTAATTCATTACTGGAAGGCCGATATACCCAGAGATGTCCAAATTCGTGACTTGGCAGATCGTCTTATCCGCAAGTACAATCCTGAAATGGGAATTGAAGCTACCAGAGTCAAAGAGCGTGGATCTACCCTTGTGAAGAATGATGATGCATCATTATCAATCGAATCTGCGGCAATTCCTACACAGACAAATAGTGCGGGTATTATGCAAACCGGAACCGATTTCTCCTATTTTGCTCAGGTGGAACTGGGAAGCGAGAATGATCCTTTATTAATGTTACTCGACACGGGAGCTGGCACAAGTTGGATTATGGGTCCTGATTGTACTTCTACTGCGTGCAAAACCCGTGCGTCTTTCGGTGCTGCCGATTCTTCGACCTACAAAGCAGTCGATATGGATTTGGATATTGCGTATGGATCCGGTCATGTTACTGGAACATATGCTACCGATACAATCAACTTTGCCGATTTGAGTTTCCCCTTTACTCTGGGGATTGCCAATAGTACCAGTGATCAGTTTAACTCGTTTCCCTTCTCCGGTATCCTAGGATTGTCTCAACAAACTGGTCCAGTCCCCAACTTCTTACAAACTGTTATCAGCTCAAAGTCACTCAAAGCAAATGTGTTTGGAATGGACCTAAATCGTGCCTCGGATGGTATCAATACTGGAGAAATCAACTTTGGTGCTCCGGATACGTCACGCTATAGCGGTAGTTTGAGTTACACAGGAGTCGCAAAAAATGGTCCGAACCATTGGGCAATTCCTCTTGGTAACGTGGGATATGGCGACACCCAAGTTGGTATTACCGGAAGATTGGGCTACCTCGATAGTGGAACATCATATGTTTTCGGACAACCAACGGATGTAATCGCATTTCATGCACTTGTACCTGATGCCATCACCACAGACAATAATACATGGACAGTCCCATGCTCTACAACTACGCCCATATCATTCACGTTTTCTGGAGTCACATATAATGTTTCTTCTAAAGATTGGGTTGGACCTTCAGTAAATGGAGTCTGTACTAGCAATGTCTATGGAGTAGCTGTGGTTGATAAAAATTCTTGGTTGATCGGAGATACTTTCTTCAAGAATATCTACGCCGTATTTGACGTTGATCAAAATCGTGTTGGTATGTCACTTCTGTGTCCGGGTCCCTGCTACACATACTAATAATCCAACAGGGTTAGCGCAAAAGAATGACGTTATATCCTCGACAACATCAACCTCTTCTTCTGGTAGGCTTACCTCTACTATTACTCCTCCTACCCTTACTACACAAACTTCCATCGAGAGCACTAGAACTTCAATCGTTGCCCCTACCATCACCCTCTCCCCTGGATCTGGCACTGGACTCACAATAACCACTTCTGAACCCATATCTAACACAAACTTTCCAGTTTCTACTGGCCAAACAGGAATAACATTAAGTCCACTGCTCCCCGAAGCATCAACTACGGCTAGCGCTCAGTCCTCTGAAGGAACAGTTGTATCAGATTCACCATCTACATCTGCTACTTCAACTCATTCTTCGAGTGGGAATCGCATGAGAAGCTACATTTCTCCAATCACTTTGTTAGGTTTTCTGGTGGTTGTCCTTCTCAATTGCTAGTTTGAAATAATATAATACCCAGATCTCGACAGAAAGATGGAGATTACTTACTAGGAACTTTAATTTTACATTCTTCCAAGGAGGAATTAGGTCGGTGTGGCATGGCATGGCATAGTTCTGAAAGCACTGGGAATACTGGGTATAAGGGGAGCTAGATTTGCAACTAGGGTGTTACAATGGCAATGATAGTTTTATAATGAATAAGGTCATTTATATGTAGAGAGAACATTGAGAGAGGTTATACATAATAAAATGGAATGTTCTCGGATATATTAATGAATCGTAAGGTTGAAATGATGTTGAAGGGAGTGTGATGTGTTGTGGATGTAACGTGATGTGATGTAAAAGTGAATATGTAATGTGATATGATCTGATGTGGTCGGAATATATAACCGAAAATCATATATCAAATCTTCTACTCGAGTACTCGTAATCTCATCTAATCTCATCTAATCTGATCTATTCTGATCTGAGTCTTAATCATTTATTCATTATCATCTAATGATATGATATAATATAATATAATATAATATAATTCTACTCGAGTACTCGAGTACTTGTATATGAAATAAGAATAAATTAGATTTAGATTTTTGAAACTCAAAATTTGAATTATTAAATCTTAAATCTTAAGTAGGAAGATGAGAAGATATTGGTTGAGATATTAGTTGAGATGGTAGTTAGGATGTTAATTGAGAATATGGATTGAGGATTGAGTTGAGAGTTGAGAGTTGAGTGAGGATGTGGTTGAGTTGAAAGTTATGTTGAGAGTTGAGATGAGAGTTGAGGGTTGAGAATGTGGGTGGGGATGGAGATGGAGATGGAGATGAGAGATGAGGGTTGAGGGGGTGACTGGGGATATGGAGTGGGATAGTATGGAATAGGATGGGATGGAATAGGATGGGATGGGATAAGGGTTGAGAATTAAGAATTGAGAATATGGGATGGGATAGTATGGGATGAAATTGATAATTTTATAGGGGAGGGGGCTATTATTAGACATTCGATAGTGGGTGAGGGGAATGGGAATAATTGAGTGAGTGCCAGTGAGGGTTAAGTGAGGATATGAAGATAAATATAAATATAAATATAAATATAAATATTAAATGAGTATGAATAGATATTAGATGATGAATACTATACTGAGTGGGTGATACAGTAGTATACGCAGGCTCGAGTAGATATCGGATATCGGATATTGGATAGATGAGGATATAAATGGGTGTTGGGTGGATATTGAATATTGGGTATCGGGTATTAGATTTTCGATATTGGGTATGGGAATAGATATATGAATGGGTATATGAGCGGGTGTATGAACAGGTGTATGAACAGGTGTATAGGTGAGGGTATAAATAGATATTGGATGCTGGGCGAGGGTGTTGGGCGAGGTTGCTGATATTGTTTAAGAGGTGGGTGGTGAGTAGAGTAGTGAGTAGAGTGATAAGGAGAGTGGTGAGGAAGGTGGAGAGGAGAAGTGGTGAGGGTGATGATTCTGATGAGGGTGGTGAGCAATTGTAGGAGAGCGGCTAGGTTGATATAAGTCTGAGTACTTACTATAAGTATAAGTATAAGGATGAATCTAGGAGGGAAAGTGAAAGTGAGAGTATAAGTGTAAGTTTAAGAGTAATGGGAGAGAAATGGGATAGAGATCGAATTATATAATATACGGTAAGTTAAGTTATTCTCATATCACTAACCGTGAATTGTATTACTCTTATACCACGAAAATAATGCCTATTTTACTCTTATGCTTTTTAGATTCTATATATAATAGAAGGGTAGAATTTGTTTTTGGGTAAGGGGTGAGGGCCCGGGGGGGTAGAATCTACTCGAGTATAAGAAGGTAGAAGGTAGAATGTATGGTGGGAGGGTATAATCTATGGTAGGAGGGTATAATCTATAACAAAAGAGTGAAAGAGTGAAAGGGTAAAAGGGTGGAATGTATAGTGAAAGGGTAAAATCTATGTGTCTGGATATCACTCATTTAGCTGTAGTAGACCATAGGGCTACGGGCTAGGGCAATAAGCGACGCTTTGGCCACCACGGAGCGTATATCATTTAGCATTAGCATCTCTATAGTTTAGTTCCTTAAGGCAATACAAACACGTGAAATACGATCGTATTATTGACTTCATCACCACCACGGTGATACCAACACTATGGTAGGAGGGTAGAATTTGTAACAAAAGAGTGAAAGAGTAAAAGGGTGGAATATATAATAGAAGGATAGAATCTATGGTAGGAGAGTGAAAAAATGGAATATGTAATGAAAAGGTAGAATCTATAGTAAAAAAGACCGTAGTGAAAAGGTGGAAAAGTAAAAAGATAGAATATATAATATAATATAATAATATAATGAGCGGTCATATAATAGAGAAGATCTTGTAATAGAAGATTATAATACTCATTTCTATTGAGTTAAGTTGAGTTGATTATACCTTTATACTTTGTATTGTTTTAGTAGTAGTATATATAAGTAGGGCAAATTACTCTTATGCTATTAAAATTTCAAATGATATCAGATATATGATTCAAGATATTCAAAATGTAGTTTATATGAAACGATATATATGAGCACATCTCAAATGACTGATAATATCGAGTAAATAAATCAGAATAACGTGATAATGTAACATAACCGTCATTTCACAACTCTATCGTACCCCAATCAAGAAATATCCATAATATCTTCTGATTCTCCTCAGCCATTCGAATCATTAATATCTTGTAAAGCTCCTGCGACTTATTATTTGTATATATATATATAGTAATTATGACTATATAAAGAAGTATGCTGTGATATAACTTGAAGATGAGTAAGTGGATGGGGATGGGGATAGGAGTGTGATTGACATCACCCAGCCAATTTCCATACCTATGATACAACACCTCAATAATAACTTTCCAAATGACATCACAAAAACAGGTCCCTCCCCCGCAAATCACAGTCTTACTCTTAAATCCCTACCCATCCCATCTCTCCATGAGTTTTCTACGAGTTTCCCATGTGAGATCCCCCTTTTCCCACATGGGGCCCCAAAAATTGACTCGAAAAAACCTCTTTTTCCATATCTACAGCACATGAAAATCCCGATATATTTGACGCATCGAACTATTTTCTCATGACTCTAGAATATATATCCAAAACAGAGAGTCACAAACCCTCACAAACCCAATCCCGAAAATACATAAATAGTTCGAGTATCCCCCCTCTGGAAACACTTTTGAAGTATCGATACCGCAACCACAACCACAACCATAACCAGTTCAAGTCTTACCTGATAATCACTTTTTAAAATCTACAATACCAATTTCGAGAGCCCGATACTTTGATTTACATATTTCCAACGCTCGAATCTTCTCATTCTACTTCCACGATTCACTCCTCCAACCCCAACTCTTCGAACAGGAAACTCAAGTCAAGTCTCAAGTTTATCTTTCGATCTCTTACGCCAAGATGTCAGAGGCAGCCAACCAAACAGTGTTATTAGTTGACGCCATAGTCAAGGAAATATTGGAAGAGGGATCAGCCGACGGAACAGTTTCACTTAATGAGGGCATAGCAAAGCGAATAGATAAACTCGATAAGGCCGTACTCGATGACAACGAAATCGAGCGAAAATTCCTACCCGATACCGCCGAACCCGTAACCTCCATCCCCGAGATGAACTATGCACAAGCCAAGAAGGAGTACTGGAGAGTGAAAATAATGTCCATTCTTATCGCCAAAATCATAGGGTCCCCTAAGACATACAGTGTCGACCTATTCGACGAATTCCAACATTTTAAACAACGTATGGAACTCATCGGCGACAGACTTAAAGTTTTGGATTCGAAGTATTGGAAGCCGTACCTCGATGGCGAAGCGCAAGCGTTTGCTAGGAGAGCTCATCTCGATCCCCAGGGTCGTATTGCGGCCAATTCAGTGAATGATGTTGATTCTCGGTTACGAATGGCAGTGGAGGTATTCACAACACATTCGCCAGCTGTTTTTGGTCCTACTCTACCACCAGGATTTGCACCAGCACCACAATCATCATCGGAGCGGAGAGATTAAGTCAGATTCTTGCGCCGTTCCACAATACCTACCGCTTTCATATTCAACATAGAAGCAAGCGGTACTCGAATCTCGTGCTACTACTTCGCATCACGACTATACAATTTCACCATCCTGTTATTCTCTTCTCTTCTCTATGTTTTCTCAATTTATCTCAGACTTTGGATTTTACTACATACATATTGGATTCATGGGCACTGGGTAGGGCATTATACCATGGGTTTAATACCTCGGGTTAGATGACATCACCCACATTGCGTTGGACTTTTACTTTACTTTTTCTATCTCTCTTGAGGTCATCTTGGCATGGGATTGGTATGTATGAAAATGCTACTGTTTCTATGTTATGATGGCGCGGGTTGGATAGTGCGTTGGACTTTTAGGATAACAGTATTGTATTATATGGTATAGTAGATACATACTTTCAAACCCCAATCGAAAGTATATCTCACCAAACTTTTGATGTTCACTTGATTTTATTTGTGATTTGTATCAACTTGATTTCAATAAAATTTCCACCTAGACATACACCTGCCACCCACATCCCCATCCCCATCCCCATACTTATCTATCCATCCATTCATCCATCCCTTTATCACAAAACGAACTCCCCCAAAAATTCTGTCTAATCCAGATATACCCCACCCCTACCTCACTACCCCCCCAAAAATACGCGAGCGAAAAAGGGGCTAAATACCGTACCAATGACCTTCCGATTTCTCTACCCCATGCTACCCCACCAAATCCCTCCAATCTTTTAACTTCCTAAACTCTAACTCCAGCTCCAACTTTCCACTTTCCACTTTCCAAATTCCTAATATCAAGAACTCCTACTTGTATCATATACTATACAGTAGTTTCCACACTTCTATACCTTCTATTTCTATACTTTTATATATCAACTTACTTATAGTATTACTGTAATTCAATTTAATTCACACAAATCCAAGAAAAGAATATATCCACTCCAATCCAATCCAAATTCAATTTACTCCACTCCACTCCACTCCATTAATTACTACTCTCTCTCATCCCATTCTCACCTTATTCACCCTACACTCACCACCATCACCACCACTAATATACTCTACTCTACTCTCCTCTCCTCTAATACATCACATCAGCATTTCATCTCCACAAACAACAACCACACCTATACTTACTTCATTAATCAATCAATCAATCAACCCATCAATCAATCACTCCATTAAACTAGACTAATTGATTCCCTTTACTAATTCATTCATTTATTCATCCATTCATCCATTCAATAATAACCCTTATACAAACTCTCAATCTCAATCTCATTCTCCCCTTATCCCTTATCATTCCCCCTCCATTCCCTTACTTTCTCCCATTTCTCCCCTTTCTCTCCTTTCCCTTTACCTCAAAATACACAATAAAAAATCTCCAATCAATAATCTATACAATCTACACTACACACAATACATATTACAAAATCAACACACAATCAACACACAATCTACTCTAGTATACAATCACAACTCAAAAGATAAACCCATAAACCCATAAACCCATACCCATACTCATACAAACCCTCCCTCCCTAATATCCTTCCCTCATCCCTCCCTACCTCATTCCCTCCCTCCCCTCCCCCTCTCACTTCATTCAAGTCCAGGGAAAAAAGAAATCCCCTTCAAGTCAAATCATCCACTTCATCCACTCATCCACTTATCCACTCATCCAACCTGAACCATCTACCCACCCATCACCTTAAAAATCATCACCTTCAAAAAACCCCCGCACAACCATATTCAATTTATTTACCCGTATAACAACGAACTCATTCATTTATTTATTCATTCATGCATGTATCAGTATTCCCTTCCCTTCCCTTCCTTCCTCCCTCTTCCCTCCATACCTTCATACGCTCCCTTCATACACTCCCTACATACCCCTCCTGCCTTCCTGCCTCCCTGCCTCAATCCCTCAATCCACCAACCCCTTTCCCAATCCCAAACCCAAACCTAGAAACGCCTTCCCGAATGTCAAAAAAGAAAGAGAAATGGCCACAAAAAGCGACTCAATTTATGCTTCCCATGTACTCGTATTGCAATTCTCCCATTCCCATCCCTTCACACCGTGCGTTACGTATTCATAGAACCAAAGCACCACTACACTAAGCTACGCCGACGTATCCATAATATCCTCTGCACTTACATCCGCCGCGGCAGTAGCAGCAATAACAGCAGCAGCAGCAACAGCTCTCTCAGCCTTCTTTCTAGTCCTAATCTCCTCTCTCCAAACCCTAATCTTCTCCGCCAATTCAGGAACCGGTACCACATCCTCAATCTTCAAGGGCATACGATTAAATGGATCCTTTTCATCACTCAACAGATAACTCTTAATCGTACTCCTATCCAGAATCATATTACTAATAGGTAGTCTGACCGGATCTTGCATAAGAGACGCCATGAGCGGATCTTGAAATTCCTCGGGGATTTCACCCATATCTTCTTCGGATTGATCATCGAGCTCCTTGGCTGCCTTGAATTGAGCTTTGAGTATTTCCCAGGCGTTCAGATCTTCTGCCGATTTAAGTCCATAACGCATCAGGATTCGGGAAGCACTGTCGAAATTTTCGGGCTTGTATGAACGACCATCTCGAGCGACAGCATCTACGAATGCTTCCGAAACACCGAGATTGATGTAGATTTCCACAAAGTCGCTCAGAAAAGCTCGTGGTCTAAATTGATACTTTTCCAGATTTTCAACCTTCAAGTTGGTTGACTTGTTTCCAGTAATAGTATCAAGTGTATAGTTCAACATTGCTGCAACTCGATCCACGATCTCCGGCATGGTGAATGAGGCGCTCAGAGTAGAAGAGAATAGTTTCATCATAGCGAGAGTCTCGTTTGTCAGTTGCATGTATGACTGGGCTTGACCTTCTGCCTCGCGTAATGCAGTTTCTTTCTTCTCTCGATCTTCGACACTCATGGTTGGTTCTTCTGCCTCTTTCCTAAGTTCGACCTGAAGATCATGGATCTTAGGAAACTTTGTGAGAGCCTCATCTAGAACATAAGTAGCATCATTCAACAGAAGGTTGACGAATCGCAAAAAGAAGTCTGTGTTTGTTCTGTTTGATATTAGTACATTTTTGCGTCTTCAGAATCTCGAGGTATACATACTTGCTCTCTTGCATCAAGCGCTGCCTATAAACATCGTTCGACCATACACATTTGATTACTTGGAAGATCTCATACCGAATATTGAACTTGTCGTAAAATTGTGTGTGCGCGCCAGTAGATTCACATTCTACAAATCATTAGCATCACAGAGAAGGCATCCAACTCTGATGAACTTACCAATATAGAACTTGAGCAATGCGTGAAGTAAATGATCATTAGCAAATTGGGATCCCATCAATACATCGCCCAAAACACCTTTGGTACGATGAAACACTGGCCAAGTACCAGCAAAGAGTAACGAGACAAGTTTTGCCTTTAGGTATGGGTTCTTGATATATTCGGAATTCGTCAAGAAAGTAATACTGAGTGCAATGATCTCATCGCCAACAGCTGAGATCATAACATCAGGGATAAACCTAGAAACATTTAGTATCCTTTCCTACAGGATTTGAGATGATGACACTAACTGGATGATAAAGTTGAAGTTGGTGATGATGTCCTCGAGAACATATTCCGGAAGATAATCAAAAGCCTCTGGGGTGGTCGAGGGTAAAGGCAACCTATTCAAGTCAGCTATCTGTATGGGTAAAGGCTTGAGTGGCTGCATATTCCATACTTGATGGTTTGACTAGGAGTATAACCAGTTTCCGTGGCGATTCTCAGAAGCCAGACAGTTACATATCTCATGAATATAAGAGATTTTGCTTGCATCGGCTTATCAGAAAGAACTCCCTCTATAGCCATTTTTTTCGACATTGAATTTTCTAAGACCGTATTGATTCTCTGAAGTCTGAGATCAATTACAGCAGCAGCTCGAGGATCCTGGTTTTGATTAGTGATGAGATTGATATAGACTAAGCCTGGGTGCTTGACTTACTTGAGTGATTTTAGCACGTTCTGCCTCGATTGCAGCGTATTGCTTCTGAATATACTTGATATCTTTATCTAAACTCTTATGGCTGGCATTGAGAGCCTCACTTCCGTAGTGATGGGAAGCCAACGTTAAGAAGAAGATCTCCGAGATAAAATTAGAGGAACCACCGACGTTAACCTCGTAGTATTTCTCAGAAGCCTTCTCATCGGCGTTCAGCTTTGTCTCACCCTTGATATCTACGCGAGGCTCACGCCGTAAATAATCGATATCAATCTTCGAGATCTTCGAGAATGTGGTATCCATAAATGGTTCGCAGAGGCCATCTAATACGACAGTGACATTATGCATAAAACCATCAGAAGATACTTCTTTTGGATCTACCTGGATCGCGCGGCGCTTGTGGTTTTGATTTACAACGTAGGCAAACCAATCCAAAGTTTTATTCTTGGCTATTGGACTTGCTCGAACAAAATGATTGATGATGTCAAGTAAATCTTTCTGGTGTGTCTGCAAGGTCAAACGCAGTGCGTCCTGAGATGTAGAAACGTGTCGTTTATCCATCGTCTTTGGTGCACCGAAATATACCTTAGTAACTTCCATTTGCAAAGGAGATATCCTAAAAAAGGGGCCAAGAAGTGTGAACTTTTCAATGGTATTTGGTGATACAGCTATCTGGAATAGTGGAGATTCAGCAATGGCCGTCGTGATTGGGTTGAACTGCGTTAGCAATTTGAAAGCCTATAAAAGACATTAGTTCTCGTTGCTGGTCTCAAACTCGACTTTTCTCACATGAATATAGGGTTTGTAGCGATCATTCATAGTCAGGTGAGACAGCTGACTACTCATGCCTATAAATGCTTTGATAATCATAGACTTGGCCATATCATCATCTGCAAAGCGAGCTACAGCTTCCTCGAGGAAGTCAGGGCAGATACCTTTATCCTCACTAGGGTCCGATAGAAAGTAAGGCGTGAGCATATCTGTTGTTGGGTTGGTCTCTCGTCTATACAATGTTAGCTAGGCATACTAAATCCCTTGATCCGAAAACAAACTGAAAAATATCCGGCATTTCGGCTGCAAAGATGCAGTTGCTCATACACAAGCGTTTAGCTTCTTTGAGAATGGTATCTTTCTGTCCCGCATAGCCCCGCAGGCCCTTCGAAGCCTTAATGATTCGTTTCCAACATGGTAATAGGTAGTCGAATACGGGTTTGCTGTGTGGAATCGAGGAACAAGCTTCCATTAGAGCGCCATCGAGCTTTCCAGCTGACATTCTAATCTCCGCATTTTCCTCCTCGAGCTCTTTCCTCAATTCTGGCAGAAATATGAGTCTATGATTCGAGGCATCGGTGCGCTGATGGGGATCTAGAGTAATTCGGAAGATATGTGAAAGGATTCGATCTTCGTATGCTTCTAAAGGCTCCTCGGCGAGATTGGGCTTGCGGGTGGATGGGCGAGAAGGAGTCTGCATGTCTGATTCAGTTCTAGATCGCTTGCCTAGGACGCGCTATAAAGGATCGGTTCTTACAGACGAATTGCTTCCAGTAGGACTTGCCTGTGCGGCCATCTTTGCGAAAGGATTTGCGGCTGGCAGAGAGGTAGTATTCGCGGGTTTGATATTGATCTTGGGTTTAGCTACTGGCTCGGCCGATGATCCATTCTTCTTTATCACATCTGGCTTGGGGGCAGAACTAGGCGATGAAGCTTCTGCGCCAACGTTGGCAATCTTTTCAGAGCTTGAAGATGCGGAACCAGCTAACTTCTCCATGCGGCGTCGTCGGATCTATGTCGAAGTTATATAGATTAGCCACAGCGATTATGGTGCATATAATAGCATATTAAATGGTTGCCCCTACCTGTTCCATCTTCTCCTTATCTGGAGCATCTGGCCCACTAGGTGGTGGTGGTGGTTGATCTGCCATCTTATCAATTTGTAATCTTGAAAATGTTGTGTTGGAAAGGATGATTATTATGTTGTATCGTAGATGGTAGCCTCGTGGGGCGGCGGGCTTTATCGGTTAGCGCAACGATTAGGCTTGATAATCGAGTTACCAGGGTTATTGTGACCTCTCGAAGCTTCTGTTTATTTGATGTTTGGTACTTGTACCATAACCGTACCATACTACTGTAATGTTACCAATAGAACGGCTTTCCAGATGGTTCACGATGCACATTCATTTTTCATTGACATATTGGAATTTTCGAGTGAAGGGGATGATGTCTCGAAAATTATCAAGAAAATGTTCACTGTAGTATATCGATGAGACATTTAACTATGAAGGATACTTATAGTAGGATCTCCGGATCTCCTATCATAAATGTATGATGTCGCTCTTGTAATCACTAGTTGGGAATGATAAATGAGAGGATTAAGTGGGCGGCCACTATGATTATATTAATTATTCGTCCTCTATTAGCTCAGGGTGCATCAAAGTCCCCCTTATAAGTCATTCGTTCAGTCTTTCCCATAATGCTCCCACGCCAAACGCCTTGCTACAAAGCAAATATACTACATGAAACGTTGAATTACACTCAGTATTGGTTCCTAAGACCCATATTGTCCAGTTTCTTACAGTTCGACATCGGCATATCTCGAGCCTGTTGAACCTTATCCACATCGGTGCTAAACCAGCCTTGAGCTTCCTGTAGTAATTGATTTCGTTGTTGTACTTCTTGTTCGCAGCCAACCTTTAGTCGCTGCACATATTGAATCTCCGCTTCTCGGTCGAGCTGTGCCAGTTTGTGTTTGCTGAAACCTTTGATCTCGATGGGATTGACATAGTAATCGACGTTCATTCTCGAACTGACTCGGTGGTCGGTATGTGGCGGTATAGGATTGTCGAAACGCATAGAAGGACCGCTAGATTCTCCTCCAGAAAACAGCGAACCTAACAATGGTAGGCCAAAGAGCAGTAAAAGAGGTAATAGGCTGATAAGGGTTTGGGTCAATGAAGCCGGGGCTTCTGCTGGTGCATTTGGATCTCTCGGTCTCCGCCTTGGTCTTGCACCTCCGAACTGTTGTACCCTAATACCAGGCCCACCACCCAGATTGAAGACAAACCCTGGCTGATCGTTGAATAATCCACCACCGCCGCCTAGTGAACTATTAGTTTCCATCAACTGCTAGGCATGGGAGACTTACCAAATCCTCCTCCCCCAAAGAACCTCTGGAACATCTCCTCCGGACTAATCTCCTCTTCCCACATAGACCTCCCACCAGGTCTTGCAGCTGCCCCTCCCCCAGCACTCCTCTGCGAGAATCCCGAGAAAGGACTTGACTGCGGTGCTCCCCCACCAAATCTACTATCTGGATCCCCGCCAAATCTATCGAATTTCGTTTTCTTGTCTTTATCACTCAGCACACCGAACGCCCTACTGACCATCTTGAAAGCTTCATCGGCATGTTCATGCCCATTCTTATCCGGATGTGTCAACAGACTCAATTTCCTATAAGCCTTCTTGATCTCCGTCTCCGTCACTGTAGTTTTTACGGTTTCAAGCCCCAAGATATCATAAAATGCCGTCGGCGGACATCTTCTGACCCTCACCACCGCAGCCTTTTGCTCAGTTGTATATTTGCGGTCCTGGTTTCCTTGGTTGTGTTCTCGCGACTTTGCGGTTCCGTTGGCCTTTGTATCAGCGCCAGAAGTGGTGGCCGGCATTGCGCCGTTGTTTGTTGAGTTATGAGGGTCGCAATTTGAACTGTCTGCTTATCGCATGAATAACCCTACTCTCATCAATCTCGAATTTTCGCAAAAACTAAAAAATATTGTGTTTGGGTGGTCGCAATATTTGTTATGGCCACGATGCTGCAGTGCTTGTCCGATGCTTGTCCGATGTTTCTCTTCGCTATCGTGCGCTAAAATGTTCCATGCATGGATTCTACTCGTACAAACCAGATCTGTGGAAAGAGGCTGGGCACGTGATAACCATTCTCTGTAGCACCGTCATCGAATCTGTGTAGATTGTATCAATCCATGTGAAGAGGTTATCCACGAAGGATCTTCTAATTTCAAGCTCTTTTTCCATATCTCCCGTACTCATCATCTCTGTGCCAATCTAAGAAAATGTCCAATCAAGACGAGGCAGTCAAAAAAGTCGAAAAGACTACAATTTCTTATGCGCAAGATTGGGGCCGTGAGTTTCACCCCCCCTCCCTTCACCCCTCCATGCCACCAGACCTCCCCCTTTTACCCCAACACCACCAAGCCTTCTCCCCTATTTCCTTAAAAGAAACTAACCCTTCCCCCAAACACAGGATCCTCCCTCCCTCCCGTCCTCCTCGCAACCTTCACCACCGCCCTCCACGCCCGCCCACTACAACCCCTCCCCCTCGCCTTTACCCCCATCTTCCTCTTCAGCACCTACCTCAATCTCTCCGGGTATGCCGTTGATTCTGCTGGCATAACGGCTGCATGGTCGGGTCTATACCTCATTATGGCCAATAGGAGGAAAGCGTCGGGCAAGAACATGTATGCGAGAATCGGGAGTAGATTTGGAGCGAGGGGTATAGTGAGAGGTGCTGCGATGGGTGTGGCTGGCTTGAACTTGGTCGCTGGTGGTATTACATATGCGACTGGCAAGAGAAATGATGAGGATACAACTCTTTGAGAGAAGTACCTGGAAGATCTATCTATTGGGGATTGTATCATATTGGGTACTTTAGAGAGTCCAGAAGGTTGTTAAAATGTATGATGGGACGGACGTATCAGGGTGTCAATGATCATGTCATGGGCTGTATATTGTATATTGTATATTATTATGTAAAGAATGTTACCAGAGCCGCTCGTCTGAAAAGATAGCCAGATTTGAATCTGAACTTTATACGTTATTACAAAAACCCATATTCTAAGAATAACTCTATGTCGAATAGTGTAGTGAAGCCTGGCATAGTTCCCTGATCCAATGCCACATGTTAAACTCCATATTCGCATCGGCCCTAACGCGCACTGCATAACCGACGTCTTTCTAAAACCCTATGCAGAAGATACCCATCCTACCCACCCAGTACACCCGAACACCGTGGAGAATTAGCTCACACCTATTCAGCTAGTGATCCCAAAATCTCATCAAAGTCAAACAAATCCATAAAAGCAATGCCGTAAGAACGAGGATACGAGCCATCTTGGAGGACTTAGCGACGGAAGGTTGGACTGAGTTGTTGTGATAGAGACCACTGAGACTCGAGACCTGATACTCGGTGATGTATTTAATATCGACATCACGGGCCTTTGGATCGGCGTAACTTTTGTACTCTTCGACAATAGATTGTACACCCCAGCCTGAGACGTGACGAATAATGGCAGCAGCGCAGCCGGTACGGTGCTACAATTTAGTCAGCTTGACATCATCAAAGAAGGCTCAGAAGTAGCTACCTTTCCATGATTGCAATGGATCAACAATGGATGGTTCTCCTTATCAAGAGAGATTCTCATGATCTGGTTCATCGTATGCTCGGGGATATCAACCTTTTTGGTTCCTTGCATTTCGATGACAAAATGACGTATGCCTTGGGCCTTGACGAACGCGAGAAAGCCAGGAGGGTATTCTTTCTTTACGAGTGTGCTATAGGGACTCAGCACTGGCTATGGGACTCAGTCATGCGATTAACTCACACGATAGATTTCAATCCGAGAGACTTAAGATACTCAAAATCCTCTTGTTGAGGGAAGCTGCTACGATAAATCGCATGTGGAAGAATAACACCAAAATTGAGAGGGCGACCTTCTTGCTTCTCCTTGGCCAAAGCGTTCGCAGCGGCAAGTGATTTAGTTACTGTTCAAATTAGATAATGTCTGATATACAAGATTGGAACTGCATTGATTTTCGATTTAATTACCTTGTGTCGCGATAGCTTCGCTTGTAGAAGGGAACAATGGACTAAGATCTCTTCCAAACTCGACAACTGGTACTCCTAAAGCCTGAAGATGACTCTGGTGGGAAGAACTTCTACCTTCTCTGTGCTGCTTGTCCTTTTCCTTGGATTTCTCGTCCTGGGTGGTGCCATATTTGTTGTCATGAGGAACCATGCCTATTCCTGCATTTCCTAGCTCCATGGCTTCTTGTTCTCCAACGAATATTCTTGTTGAACGTCTCGATATCTTTGCGACTGGTGCATCCGCCATCTTGTTGAAGCTTGTGAAAGTATGTAGGTTGATGTGGTGTGTGTATAAGTTGACGTATAGGAACGGGTTAAATCTCCACGGGAGCTTGATTCTCAAGGTAAGGTTTCTCGATGTATGTATGTTGTTGATGTTCTTCGAAAGAAAATCCTCTCGACAAGAGAAATTAATCCTCTGTGGACGGCTTTTAATGCCCGAGGGTAAATTTCTTCATTAACATGATTGATAACGTTTTGGGGCGGGAGGTTGAGGTTAAGAAGACGGAAGTAAGTACTAGGTTAGTAGGAAATAATGTTAAGGTCAATGACGAAACTCTAACTCTGGTGGAATTGAAGTTTTGAGTATGGTGTGAAGGCTAGAGCTGTTAGATACATGACTATAATTGATCCGGTCCAAAAATTTGATGATTCATTTGTATGGTACTAGGTAGTTTGATAGCAAGGAAACTACCAATATCCGGATCCAAGGCAAGTCAGTCCACTAGGTAAGGTTTGTTTTTAAGTTTCACTAATGAGAGATCAAAATAAATTGAACACAAAGTAATTGATTTACAAAGCAAATAAATCATGACCCATATTTTGATTATCCATAATTTGATTTAAGAAAATTATATGTAAACCATTATAATTGACGTGGCTATTGCAATTGTGGATTATGTTGGGTTGTACGGAGAAGTGAAGAGGCAAATGCAAATCAGGAGATAAAGTCTTCAAAATGAAGCTCCCTATTAATATGTGTTAAGTTGCAGTGCATCATATCAAAGGGAACCTTTTTACAAGGATTATTGTATATTAATAGAGATGGCCGACAGCCCCAATTAACATTCTATAAAATATACATTCTATAAATTATACAAAATATGAAAATACTAGGTACCGGTAGTACTAGTACTAGTACATTGTTTAATCTTGATCTAGCGATACTCTTTATGTCCTAACTTCTATATATCCGATTCAAGAAAAAATGCAACTAACTATAAGAGGTCTACTTTATTGTAAATCGATGATCATTTTAAATCTTAGTTCCAAAAACGCAGTATGGAGTAACCAAGTGTACAAGCTCTTTACAGTAGCCAATCAAAGTGCTAGCAAGCAGAAGATTCCCTTTCGCTTACAGTTATCCATATTATTCTCTCTTTGGAACAAGAACGTCGCCGCCGGTCAAACACAGAAACTATTTCATATGTATCAGGCAGAAACCCCATGTATACAGTACCGGCATCGGCAGTTCATCTCTAGTTTGATCGAGAAAAAAGCAAACGCATAGAGTTATCGTCTTAGCTCGACTAATATTTTTATATAGTATTATCGAATTCTTTATAAGTATATATATAGTGAGTATAATAAAAATATACAATTATATTATCTTTTATTTTCTCTCTAAAATTCTCATGATCTCAGCGAATTAATATAAGTTTATATTGAAAAGAAATCCTTACACGCCAATAGAAAGGCTCACAACTCCAACTCTAACTATGATTACCTCACCAATTAATTCGTGCAACCACACAACATCACGATATCACGACGTCACAACATCGCAACATCACAACATCACAATATACTGAGTTGTCCTGATAGATCGTATTATTATTGTGATCCAACCGGTTTATGTTTATGTTTACGTCCATAGTACGTACCGTAGTGTAGTTCACATGGCAACGCAACGTATCTTGGTTTTTGACAGATCGCAAGATCGTAAGATGGTGATCTCGGATTCAATCGGTTTATATTCATGGTTTATGGTAGTCCATCGAACCTGAGGTATGGTTCGTGGTAGTACATCGAATCTGAGGCTAAGGTTGCCGGTACCGCCACTTCTCTACAGTACAGTACTTCTCTACCGAAGGGGGCGACGGAAAAACAAAAAAACACACAAATCATCAAATCATTTTGTTATTCGATTGGAAATGTGGAAATGTGGAAAAATGGAGATGTGGAGATGCGGAGAGAGTATTCTCGTTAGTAACTTAGTCTTATCTTTAGAACACCGGGCCTTTTTTCTCCTAAGCTTGGTTTTCGGTAGTTCTAGAACTCTAAGAGTTTAGAATCGAATTCAATTCTTGTTGTCCTCAAGATATACTGGTACTGGCACTTGTTGATTTCTACTCGTAAGATACCAGTCATAGAAAATAGAATGTGAAAGGTTGTTTATTGGGTGCGGTCTCGCGGAGGAATAGACTTTTGTTTGTATTCTCACTTGTGAAGTTCTAGGGAGTTCAACACAATTTTGAGGAATATATAGTATAGACGTATCGAGACGTTTTCATGTGTGCCTCATGTCAAAAAAAGGGAAAGGGGGATGTTATATCGGTGGCTGATGCGGAATATATTTGTGGTTGTAGCTTTGTAGGTGAACCTTCACAATACGAGAGTATATCAGTAAGAGATATCTCAAAGCTGAACAGGTCAATGGTATTACCACTCAACTGTTCAAAATGTCATACTAGTAATACCAAATTCATCAATAAAATACAAAACCATTCACAGAAACCCAACAACACAACTTTCCTTTCCTTTCCAATCCAAATCTCTCTCTCTCTCTCCAATAAAAGCAGATAGATAAATAACTCCACTGCCAGTGCATCTACAAGTAAAACACCAACCATCAAACTTCCATGCAAAAGTCCTAGTCCTATATAATATACCCAAATGCCACCTACCTAGATATCTTTATAATCATCAAAAAAAAATATTTCTCCGCATGCAACCATAGACTGAGAACAGAGCCAGCGGCATGCCCGCTCCACTATCATCAAGCTTCAGATCGATGGATTAGTAGATTGGTGGGTAACCACCGGCGAATACCCATTGTTGTACTGCCCCATTGCTTTTTTTTTGTTTTCGGGGTGGTGTGTGGGGGAGTGGCGAGATGGCGAAGGCGAGGTCTGGGTTTAAAGGGTATTTGATACTTGAGTAGAAGAAATCATCTACTCGAGTAGATATCTAAATACTGAATAAGCCAATAAGAAAAAGATCACTGACTGATATCAAGAAAAACGAGAGAGAGCACAATATACTCAAATACAGTAAAGTAAGACTTATATAATGAAGAATAAACACCAAGTATCTATCTAGCTAAATAATTATTTCCCCCCGGGCCTTCTCACTTGCAGTTCCCTACAACTTCTCTTCCCTTCTCTACTCAAGTATTTCTTACTCTTCTCTCTGTTTTGTAATACTTCTGTTCCGTTTCCCTTTCCTCGCCATTTACCCCGCCTTTCGGTGTACCCGTACTGTACCGATATACATACCGGTATGGTACCCGGCTTAAACCAAGAGCAAAACTAAAACTAAAATCAGTTAATAAATAAATAAATAAATTGTGATTGTGGTTGTGATTATGAACATGATTGTTGATTGTGATTTTATAATTGTAATTATGATTATTGATTATTGATTGATTGATTAATAGGATACAATAGGATAGTATATAATAGTATAGGGCAGGATAGGACAGAACAGGACAGAACAGGACAGGACAGTAACAGGATATAAATCTAAAAATACAGACACTTACTCTAGCAGAAAGGAAATATGCTAAAAGTGAGACTGAGGAAGATACTACCTACTTGTAGAGTTATCAAGTGAAGTGAAATATACTCCGAAGTCTCCACACTACACATTCATATTCACATTTCATTTTCCAAATTCAAACCCGACAGGTACAAATAATCATTAACCAATTCCTTTCCTTTCTTTTCCTAATTCGAATTCTAATCTCGAATTCTAATTCTAATTCTATAATAGAGTAACCACTCGAGTATTTATACAGAGTATTATAATATATGCAAAAACGTCCTTTCCTTTCCTTTCCTTTTTCCGGTTGATAAAAACACAATCTTACATAGTGTAGACCATGCCAGGTGACTGACTGACTAACTGACAGACTGCCTTCCTTATTATAATGCTAAAAAAATGCTGGGCTTTTGTTCATTATTCATAAGCCATGATCCATACTCCCAGGATCCCATTTGCATTTGCATTTGCATTGCCAGTTGTAAAACCACCCCGTCATTTTCCAAACCAGGTACCTTAACCACCACGGTACCACGACGACCATGACAGAAATCCAAATCCCAACTCCCAACTCCCAACTCCCAACTCCCAAATGCCAAAGTCCGTTCCAACTCCCAAATGCTCAAGTCCCAAGTCCGTCCCAAGTCCGTCCCAAGTCCCCGCCACAAGAATCGACATTCAAGTCACCATCAGTAAGGAAAATCTCAGGGTCCTTACATGCCCCATGAGTTGATGAGACCCAAGGAGGAAGTTCCCCACCTACGAAGTAGAGGTGTTTTTTAATTCCACTGCGTCAGGTGACAAGAAAGTCTCATCTTGCAACGCGGACTTGGACTTATAATAGGCTCCTGCACCTAAGGCCAATCCACCAAGCAACAAACTTAATCCCATAGCTCTACCCATGCTCAATTTTCCCGACTCTTTGTTTGGCATGTCCGGCTCTTCTGTGAGGGAAAATTTCCCAAATGCTTCTGCAAAATCGGGATCCAGTCGATATGCTGCAGGGTTTGGGATATGAAGTTTTTGTTCCGCAATATGCATTTCATGGTGATTGGCGTTTGCTTTGCCAAAAGCTGGCTTTTGCGTCATGCTGTTGAAGAAGTTTTCTTTTTTCTGGGCTGATGGCACATCAAGTCGTGGTCTGTTAGGAGGATTGCGGAGTCGATGGGCTGGACTGATTGGGGCAGCTGGAAGTTTGCCATAGAATGGAGATGGCCCATCGAATGAAGTCGGGGATTGTAAAAAGGGTGATGATTGACCGAAAGGTTGAACTTGGGTCTCGGAATTTGTTACCGTGTCCAAAGCACGATTTCGGATTTTGAAGTCATGTTTTACACGAGTGATGGTATGATCCCAGTCCATCTCCTCGCCTTCTTGTATTTTCCACTCTGGTCGCTCACCAGTAGCCAAATAATGAGATATTTCGGCTGGGTTCAAGCCAGAAGTGTCAGTCCTTAGAAGAAGTTCCGTTTGTTTGGGAATTTCATAACGTCGATTATAATTTGGATCGTAGGTTTCTGTGGATGTCTTTTCACGGAAACCAAATGTTTGATTTTGATAAGCACGATGGTCTGGTCGTTCTTGGTTTTTCGGGCTGCTTCGTTGTGCGTGGTTTGTTGGTGGGGAAGGTGATAGTTGATCGGCCTTTGGTGTTGGGGCCATGATTTCATCAAGAATACCTGCCATTGTATTGCTGGGTTTTTCTGACGTCTCGAATTTCAGTGGTGAAAATATTGGCCCTGGAGTTGACTTCCAGAGTGAGATTTTCTTAGGACCAAGGTAAAAACGTGATCCGTATACTATAATAATATTGAAGAAGATAGTACAGATATTTACTATCATCGTGCTGAAGGAGGAGAGGTATGTAAAACGTCCACTTTCGAAAATGGAATAAACAAGTGCTCGCAAAACCAATTGTAGAAGTAGTTGGTATCCATACCAGTTAAAGAAGCCAGAGACACGTCTCGTGTTTCCTCTTGGATACCATCTTGAGAAAAATGGATTCATGCCGCATGACAGAAAGTTGCAAAGAATGCCCCATCCAAGGTCTTTCTTCGATGCGAAGAAAGAGGTGATTTTAAGTATCAAATCAGCCGATAAGTAGGGGACGAAGTTCAAGGTCTTATCCAGGATGTTTGTGGCATTGAAGAGGGCCATAATAAGGGTGATGATTTGTCCAATGACAACAATGTACCAGACTTTTGATACAATTGGGTAGAGGAGGGTTTGATATATGACGTTTTGAAAGGTATCCTTCCATGTCTTTTGCCTTCTGATTAATTCGCTGAGGGCATTCAATCTTCCAAGCCAATCTGATTTTGCAAATTTGTCTGCTTTGTCCCGTTGTTCCTGAGCTTTAGGTGCGCATTCTTCGCAAACCATCGGGTAACGCTTATCGAGATCAATTTTAGCAATACGAATTTTTTCTTCGCCAATCTGATATTCTGGGTGTCGAGAATCAAATTGGACATTAAATTGTTTTAGAATGTCATATTGGTATTGCTGGTTAAATAGACAACGTTCACAGAAAATAGGTGACTTGATGGTATGACTTGAGTCGCTCGAATATGCAAATTGATTGTTGGAAGTTGTTTCAGTGATTGAAACTGGAGGATCGGTGATATCTCCATTTTGATCCAGGTAATTTCTTGCCTGGCAACTATCACAATCAAATTGAGAGAGTGAACCATCAAATTTATGACCAGATTTTTGGCCACAATAGAAACAAACAAGTCGTTTGCTGAAAAACATCTTGATGTTTTTGGTGATGTGTCAAGGGAGAGGGTTTTGGTATCTCGAATTTCGAGTTTCTTTGAATATTCGTATGGAATTTGATGTACGAGTACGAGTATTGAGTATTGAGAGATCTGAGTTATCGTTTGAAGTTTGAGATGGGATGGGATGGTATTTTCAAGTATCTTGGAAGTTTGGATGTTTCTTTCTGTGAGTTTATGGTTATGGTGATGGGTGTTTCGTGTGCATGGTTGTGTGAAGTGGAGGATGGATATGAGACTTTCATATAGGAAAAGGTCGCGTCGCGTTGCATTGAGCGTGTTTTTTTTTAAGTTCATATCAACGATCACCGAAGACTTTAGTAAAGAAGTTTATTTCGAATAAATTTCATCGGCTTTATATTTCATTGGTATAAACGGTTCGGCTTACGGCATTCGGCAATAATTGGTACCGGTACCGTATTCATTACCGTACCGATTAATTTACTGTAGGAAAGAACGAATATGTTGTTGTTTACCATGAAGAGTTGATATGAGACTCCTCCTCTTCGAGTATCAACTCATATTATACAATCTGTTCAACACGTGCAACTAAGAATAAATAAGTCAAGTCAACTTATACAATTCAATTAAACTACAGACGCATGTCATGTCATATCACATCATATCTCCTTCAACATTGTTTTGTTCTCCACCTCGAAGAAACCAGCAACATCTACCTCGTTCAGCCTCGTGTGGCTCCAACAATGATTGTCCTTTCAGCCTTATCCCTGATTATAGCAGCAACCTTGATAATTATCACCACTGCCTTTGTAAGAAAGAACCCTTCCCAACAATTCTAGAATGCCGTACTGACATTGAAACAATGTAGCTTCGACTCCTCTATGTGATATCCCCGAACTCTCGGCGTCCTCCCGTCAAAAACAAAAATGAGCCTTCTCACATGGTAGTAGTACTTGGTTCTGGCGGTCATACCGCCGAGATGATATCTCTCCTTCGCGATACAAATACGGCAAGATACAAACATCGAACATACATAATATCGGCGGGCGATAACTTTTCTTCCACCAAAGCACAGGATTGTGAGGAGCATATTCAATCGAAGCTTCGTCCTTCTTTGCCGTGTACCAAATCTGGTGAATTGGACTCTACTACGGGGGTCTGGGATCTCATGGTGGTTCCAAGAGCAAGAGAGATACATCAACCGCTTTATACTGCGCCTATATCATCTATCTGGTGTATGCTGGGTTGTCTTAAGGCACTACACAGAATCTCGGTGACCAGTACAATCCACCAGCAATATCCGGATATCATTGTAACAAATGGTCCTGCTACAGCTGTCATAATGATTCTGGCTAGCTTCTTGTTGAAGTTTCTTGGGATGGCCCCTATATGGAAGATGCAAACAATCTATGTAGAGAGTTGGGCAAGGGTGAAGACATTGAGTCTAAGTGGGAAGGTTTTGTTATGGCTAGGCATTTATGATCGATTTCTCGTTCAGTGGGAAGGCCTAGCTACACAGATAAATGGGGATAATGCTCGGAAAAAGGTAGAATGGAGGGGCTTCTTGGTACATTAGCAAAACACCAGATGTCGTTTGCAATACCATAAGTTTCCTTCAAGCTCTAAGGATCCCAATTATAGACAGTGCAATCGATCACGACGCAGCGCAACAATAGCAACCCGCCTCGGTGCATCTAGCAATGACCTCCAAAGCATCCTCGAACATCTCAGCCCAATTTTGCCCCATATAGATTTTGTACCGGTACTCTACAATGCCATTTCTGCCCTCAAAATATTGTTGTACATGCCTCTAGCAGCTTGAAGATTCTTATGCGACAACCGTTGCCGGCTCTTCAACATCCTCCACGTCTGCATTGTCCGAGATAGACAGCTCATCTTCCTCATTATCGACTGAAACGCCAGTGTACGATCCTGCTCGTTGCAAGCTCGCAGCCTCAATTTCCTTGATAGCCCATGCCTTCCAGTCCTCGTAACTCTTGTCCTCCAGTTCCATTCCCACCTCCAAAGCACCTTTATGAAAGTATGCCCCCACGTACTCTGCCTCTTCTTTTGCGATTCTTCGTTCGATCTCCTCTTCGTGACGGAGAGCATAAAATTCCTTCCGGGCTATATCGTAAGCCTCGCTATTAGACTTTTGATTGTTCTGTATCAACCAAAGCTGCCTCTGTACCACGCTGTCGACATGTTAACCAATTGATGCAATAACCCCAGACTCGGTTTTACCTTTCACCCGTCAAAGCTCTTCCGGGTTGTATTATTCTGCTCCAATCACATCTTTGCCCATCACGACCATCGTTCTCTAGTACAATTCTTGGCCTTGCCAGCTCCCATGGGTGATCGCGAAAGAATTCTTGTCTTATTCGGTCTTCTTCGTATACAATAGGTTGAGGTCTAAACAGCTTGCTAGCTTTCTTCGTCCTAGGCCTGCCATTGCTCTCTCGGTGTTGAGCGGGTTGCGTCCGTGTAAGAATTTCCGAAGGAGGCACTTCGCCGATTGTCTTATACCATGGTGGTGCTTGTGAAATGCTGTTAGATTCGAGTAATGCCCATGCCGTTTGATAGACGCGAGATGGCTTCAAATTTAGCCCCTTCATACTCGCAGAACTTTCAAATTTATTAGCATATATTCCCCTTTTTAAAACCCAAGTGACTTACAGTCTCAAAGTAATCTATGAACAATAATGCGGGGTGTGATGGTGATCTGAGTTAGCATTTATTGATAGGGTTTTGAAGCCTGACGGAGATTGCCGCCAAAAATTCCAAAAATTGGCGATAAGTCCTAAAACTTTCCTACATATCAACCCTCGACCCCCCCACAAGTTTTCAAGTCAACCACAACGGCAGATAAGGATTTGAGGGCTGGCCTGGTTCCAATGACTTTCAAGATACGTTGACAAAAATTCAAAATGTCAGCCGACTCATGTCCACCTCTTGTATCTCCTCCTCGACGAGCAGCACCCTTGTCTCGAAGCTAGCAGCACCTCGACAAGCTCTTTCCTTTCTGTACCCAATTGGCATCCCAAGAGCTTTTCGGAAGCTCCCTCGAGGAAACGATTCCAATAAACCTATACGAATGGTCTCGAGTACAGTCGGGCTCGAAGCATGGTTCATTTCCTCACTTGCCAGTGCAGGTCATTGCCAAGAACATAGTCCAAAGCCTTTACAACCCGTAACATTTTTTACATCTCACAGGCCAAATCTCTCTACGAAGAGTCTGCAGTCGACCAAACTTGTTCCTAGGCCACGAAATTACACGGATGATACACAATTTGAGGCGGAAGGGGAAAAGATACACAATGATGCAAATCAGACTCGGAAAGAGCTTATGGAGCTGGTGGATCAGTACCATGGAACTTCATATACACATCAATTACCCGTAATAGAACCTCCAAATCTTTACCAGCCAAGTAACGGACCTCACTTACAGGTTTCGGACGAAGAGGAAGACGAATGGCCACCCCCACACGCGGCATGGCCCGCCGACGACATAACGAAGGAGAAGCTGAAAGAGCTTGAATCCGCCTTGAAATATTTCTACACCACAGATCCAGAAGAGGTTTACCAGATCTACCGTGAACTGCCAGAACCTCGAGCTCCCTATCTAGAAGCCAACTTAAGACACATGTTACTTCGTCACTTGAGTATAGTGGAAAGGAAGGACGGGCATTCGATGCTCAGATACTTCTCAGTTGTCGACGACATGAAATCAACAGCTATTCCCTTGACTGTTTCAGAATGGACAAGTGCCATTTCCTTTGCTTCCAAATACGTTGCTAAAGCCACAGAAACAGAAGTTGAAAGCGCTTTGAAAATGTGGAGGGAGATGGAGCATATCGCAGGTGTCAGGGGCAATAGTGCGACTTTTAACGTTCTTTACGATGTCGCAACCAAAGCTGGCAAATTCACTCTCGGCGAAATGATTTACAAAGAAATGATAGCCAGGGGCCTCGAATACAACCGATTCCATTATGTCAGCATGATATTCACTTGTGGACTGAAAAGAGATGGGGACGGGGCTCGAGCAGCGTATGCAGCCCTGGTTGATGCTGGAGAAATTGTCGACACCGTTGTCCTCAACGCCATGATATCAGCTCTCATTAAATCATATGAACCCAGCGCCGCCTTGAATATTTATGAGCGAATGAAAAATATGCATGCCAAGCGGACGAGCACACAAGAATGGCACAGGCACTTCAAGAATCGTCGAGAAGTCAAGCGCGCATTGACCCGAATGGCATTGGAATTTAAGCACGATCCAGAAGGTCGAGCGAAAGTTCAGCAGACCTCTATTGTCTGTCCAGATCTTCAAACATATAGACTACTGATCAATCACTTTGCAGTCACAGAAGGCGAAATTGACAAAGCGGGCCAATATTTGGAAGAAATGGGTCTATTCAATGTTCCCCTGCACGGTGCACTTTTCCTCTCTCTCTTCAAGGGATTCTGCATTCATGGCGGCACGCGGTACACGAAATGGACCAGTGTCAGGCTGGAAAGTGTATGGAAAGCATATTTAAAAGCTCTCAATACGGGCGTGGAAGATATTTACATGTCAACGTGGATCGTAACAAATGTTCTCAAGGCGTTCGCGACGTGTTCGGGAAAGGCGAGGGCAACGGAGATTTGGAGGGATATAAGAGAGTTGTGGAAGCCGGATGAGAGACAGCTGAATGCTATTATGCCGGATTTATATAGAATTGGTATACCGGAAATGGGATAGAGATGGTGTATCGGTGTATTGGTGTGTCTGTAGCTGGATTTTTGATATCTGTATATATCTGTATATCTGTGTAGAGTACTAGAGTATGATGACTTACGAGTCGATGGTCATGGCATAGACGTATTTAGATGATTTAGACATTGTGTATAATACAGGTTCATTACATTCACTTTGACATGGTACGAAAGTTTGAAAGTGATTCTCAATACAGTACGAGTATTATTCTATACAATTATTCGTATCCATAGTTTCATAGTTTCACGGTTTAATGGGTGTAATGAAATATAATATGATGTAATGAAGCGGAGGATGGGATGTGCAGCTAGTACCAATACCAATACCTTGTATCACTTTTATGGATTAATACTTACTTGAGAAATAATATAATATATTTGGAGTACTCCAGAGGATGTATATGGACGGTATGTCGTTTATGTCGTTTGTGGCGCGGGGAACGCGGGTAGGGGTAGGGATAGAGATAGGGATGGGGAGGGGGGCGAGGGAGGGAAAAAAAGGGATGAGAGGGATGAGAAAGAGGGAAGAAGGGGGGAGATGGTCCATGGAGAGGGAGAGGGAGAGGATGAGGGAGAGGGAGGGAAGGAGGGAAGTAGGAAAGGAGGGAAGTAGGAAAGGAGGGAAGGAAGAGGGAGAT